GCTTCCGGACACAACTTCCTCGCCTTAACGTGCATGCACAGATTTCCGCCAGTGATTTAAGCTATGATCTTAAGTCTATTCTAGATCGTGCATTCAACAATGATGTTGGAATACGCTTTCAAAAACAAAACATGAAAACTCCTAGTGTCTTAACAGGTCTTTACAGGCAAATTGGAAGAGTTGTTGTAAGGTATCCAAGGCAATGTATAGTAACAAATGCTCTGGACAAACCGCACAATTCTACATAACATCTCAAGGACACGATAACTCATAATAACGACATTTATTTAGCTACCAGTGTTTCCCAGACCTGACTTCGCCCGGAAGACGGAGTGACTTACACTTATCGAAATTTCTTCAAGGAAGGGTTGTGCTCCTAATGAGGCCAAAGGCATTGATACTAAATAGGTTTTGATAGTATGAGTACAGTTAGTACTGAAATAATGACTAAAAAGATTAAACGCGTGTCAAATTGTTACAGAAATCGAGGTCATCCCCTTTACAAGGAAGCCTGGAGACTCCACAACTGATCAATCAGTAGAAAAAGAACTTACGAGATAATTGCTACAATGCAGCTCCTCAATGGTCATGTCACGTAATCCTAAGACCATTAAAATATTTAGCGAGAGCCTGCTTATGAACATTTGAGCATTGGCATTGAGTCTTCCCATCGGGCGTATGGTAATGCTCGTAACACAGAAGCAGGACGGCGGCGCAGCGTGCAGGCCTCCCAAATCACGTGCATTTGTGCGTGCTTAAGTGCGTAGGTGCTCCCCCCTCCGCGTCTCTGATTGGTCGACCCCCACTCTCCTGCTAGACCCAACTAACTCGTCCCGTTGGTTGCCCTTACGGCTTCGCTAGACATGCATAAAGTACTTCTAGGCCTTAACGCCACAAATTGATCAATTGTGATGAAACAGTTTGAAGACGGTTTCTTCGAGCTAACTAAATTGTGAAACGACAGTGCTTCACACCCGAAAATAAGATTGATGAAACTTTCGAAAACCACGAACAGTGATTGCAATGGACACCGAAAGAGGATTCAAACCAAACCATTATCAGACTAAAGGTTCTTTAATTGGGGACTTCACTTATAATGTCAGTACTTGGCTGATTACCTCAAGCTTGGTACAATGGAGAGGTGGATTTAGGGTAACTCTATGCCTTGATTTAAAAACACATCTGTGACATTAGTTGAAAATTCGCTGCTCCAATGAGTCAGCGTCGCAGTCGTTTGACCAAGGACAACTCATTGGCAGGTGGACTTAGGCGTCTGACCAATCGGAGAATTCCCCTAAAATGGTCCATATTGCAATGCAATCTAGTGGCATTCAGTGATTGGTCTAGTGGTTATTCAACGTTCGAACTCTTTAGCAGAAGAAAGAATGGAAACCCTTATGGGGATGAGAGCATAAATTCAATTTGGTGTATTCAATTCTGAGGTGTTTTAGGTGCCGATTTGTACTACTCAATTGTCCGCCCGTGACATTAGGCCTTGTCTTCCTCATGTGGGTGCGAACGCTTGTTTGGGATGAGACCCTTCAAAAGTCGGTCGTTTTATCAAATGCTTGAAATTGTGGGATCTAATCCATCGCATTGCGCTATATATGGCGTGTTTCGACCTCAAATTTGAATCGTTTATTCTGAATGGACGATTTTCTGCAAAGGTGTTTCTTGTTTCTGGCTGGCATTCGTATGAGGAGCCCATAGACACGAAATGAAATGTGGAGAACTGACTGGAATTAGGTGGCGATGCAATGGTCGCAGCAGCAGTAGTGCTGGTCGCAGTAGTCACCACATCACTTCTTTTTTTCCTTCCTTGTCTTGGCTGCGTATCACTTCTCGTCGCCTCGCTCTCGCGCGGGACGAGATATGGCCGGCAGGGATCTGCACGCGACCGCAATAAATCATGGATGTTACGAGCTATTGCGCCCCAACTGCTATGACAGCTATGCACGAAAAGAAAGCAAGAGTGAGAAGGAAAGAATAACCGTGACACAAACGCCGCTGTTATCGCCAAATACCAACCGAGAACGAGTGCTGAGGTTCAATCCAAGGGCAAGAGTCGGGAGGAGGCGAGTTGGCCGCGAATTGCAGACGCGCAAGTGGACACACCGGCAGCCCTGGAACCCCCAGTGTTGGCGAAATGCAGTGACAAAAATGTGCATGCTTACTTGAGCAAACTGGGAATCGCGATAGGCTCGGAGACATTATGATCGAGCTTGTCACATTGTTCTTACAAGATTGCTCTTGATAGACAATTCCGACTGTTATCTTGTTTGGGTAGTTGCGTATTGCGCATAAGATACTGTCTTAATTAGTAGTACGCACTTACAGATCGTGTCCCCAAAATATATGTTGATATTCAGTAAATAAGCGCTGTGGAATGCCCAGTTAAAGTAATACATTTTGGCAATTGTACTTCGAGTTTTTAATCTCTATCTTAAGTGTTCCCTCTGATAAATCTATTTGCTCTACAGTTACCTAACTGGAAATGAAACAAGTATGGGCTCATGGACTTTGGTATAAAAATGTTTTATTGGAAAATATAGCGTCGAGTAAATTGAAGTTGGAATATCTGCCCAATTCTGCTACCTTACCGATGGTATCATCAAAGGCTTGAGTTCGGAAAAAATGCCTGGTGATGCCTATGCGCTCACTACCACCGATGAACAACCTTAAATTTTACAGGAAGCAAATATCCTTGCTTTGTTGCAGGTGGTTAGCAATTGAAATGTTGTTTTTTGCCCGAAACCGAACTGACTGGCAGATGAACGCGGACCTTATGTACGCCTCACGCGCAGACGTGCTACGACGACGTATACAATTTAAATTTTCTCGCAGTTATTAAAATAAAAAAGATGGACTATTTTGTTATTCCATTTGTGTTACGTCTTGGGAAAAATGCACCACAATAGGTTGCCTGTTGTGTCGGTAAATAATATTTTGAAGATGGAAGGCGAAAATCCGTTGCAAATCCAAGTCACTGACCAAGTGGGTCTCTCGTGAGTGGAGCTTGGTGAGGCTATTTCGTCTGGCAGTAACAGCCCAGCGAAATGTAAACAGGGAATACTTAAATTAGAGAGCACTCAATTATCCGAATGGAAGACCATTAATTAAGAGTGTCAACTGAGTGCCACAATATGAATACTGGCAGCTGGAATCCCATCATTGATCAAGCCATTGGCTGTGGACCATAATATGGTCTGGCTTCGATATTTAAGCCTATTTTTAAGCATGTGTAAACTTTTACAAAAAGCAGGGGATTGAAGGCACAGTAACTGTTTTTTTTTCTAGACCCACTTCCCATTTTTTGTTCTCTGTACCACAGTCTTGAAAACAATAGAATTTAGCACAAAGAATGATTTCCAGGAAAACAAACTACACAGAGAATTTGGGGTTTTTGCACGTTGCTGCATTTTTCTCTGCGTTGCAAAGACCTTACGTGCTTAAAATATGCATTACACTGTTGCTTACAAATTTCATCCTATTCAACCAAGTGATTCACGTTAAATCAAACATTTTAGAACCATTCCACTTTGTCAATCCTCGTTACCTACAAACGATAGACTTTATGAGGGTTCCTTAGTTAGTGTTTTGATAAAGCCACACATGACGCAGTAAACACTACTAAATCTGGTTGTCAAATCAGTTACACAATTGTCTGCAATTTGCTAAGGCGGAAACTTGAGTGCATTTTTTTCCCATCCAATATTAGTGACACACTAACCTATCGTTTAGAGACCGATCTTAGTCTTGCTTTTCTTGGTTACGCTTTTTGGGAACATCTTTAGCAAGTCGAAATAATTGAGAAGCTGTCTGTTAGCCTGAATTAAAATCAAATGTACTAGATTCGCCTAAGTACGAAGAAGGGTGGAAACTGTCAACATGTCTGAGAGCCAAATACCCTGAGCACGAGACGATCTTGCTGCATGTTCTCTCCACCTTTCAAACACGTTAGTCATGCACCTTTGACACACAAACACACACACACGCCTAGGCGTTTCCACTTTGCCTGCTCCACCTAGGTTGCCGTACAAGATTCGACCTATGTACGCTTCTGCACGCTGTAAAAAAGTCTGTTTCGTCCTCCGCCAGTCAGGAAGTGCACAGACGTATGCAGCGCTACCGAGGAAATCGCACCGATTCCTACGTGCTCCTCGCGTTGCGCCAAATTGATGTCTAAGCACCCCGTGCTATCCAGTTACAATTGAAGTCTTCGCAGAAAAAAATTGTTCTCCCTTTATGGTCTAAGCAAAGAAAGTAGTTTATAATGAATTCCTTTTAAACACACATTTTAAGGGCTCAACCTTGGAATGAGTGGCGAGTTTTGCGCATATCATTTTCAATAGTCGTTACAGAAATGGGGGACGCTCACTCTTGTTCGTGTAGTTCTTATTGTTTGCTGTTTAACAGGCATGATATGGATGAAATATAGGCTCAATTTCGAGTGCACTACCAAGAATGCATCTTGTTTGGTTGCTCAAGTGAGATTTATGGATTGGCTAAGCAGTATTTCGTCCACCAACGACGATTACGCTGGAAGGGACTTGCGATAAAGCTGGCACTACGCGTCCAGGGCATTTATGCAAAAGGAACTAAATCCTAGCAAGTGAGATTACTTGGAGAAGTAGGAGCAGAAGTAGTAATTAAATGCTGTCCCCATTACCGAAAATGGGGCTATTTGACAGGCCAGGTTCATAGTACCTTTAGCGTGTGAAATTATGTCTGATTGTCATGTAGGGCACGATTATATGGATTTAATGAAACGCCAATGCTTATTAATGCTGATTAATAGCTTTGGCGATTGGTGTAAATTAAAGAAAAGAAATGCAAACGATCCTTATTCCGATGACATGGCATTTCGGTAAGACCTTTATTCAAAATGCTTAAAATTTTGTAGTCCTTCCAAAATGCAATTTATGGCTGTATTAACAGTTGCTCTAGGCAACAAGATTTGAAAATTGCAGAATCGCTGGATATTTACACTATTTTAATGAATGGTCCTTGAATTTGTAACTGTGCAAAAAATTAATCAAATAATTTACCTTTTACAATATTCGTGTTGCATAAATAAAAGGCCATCAGCATGTGACCGTATGCAATGAAGAAAAAGTGCTGGTTGAAAATAAAGTCAGTTCGAGTTGAAGCTGTAATGCTTTCGAAATTTTGCTCAAGATTTTGAATGCGAATGCGGTTCTCATAGTATTTCCAATTAAAAAATCTGTAGAAATTTCCCCCTCCATGCAAAAAATGCTAACAGCTAAAGTGTATACTATAAAATGTCAGCAATCTAGCAAAAAGCCGAAACATCACCAACTCTCACTGGATTTGAACAGTAAAATGTTTTGCTGACTTGATTTTGCGTCGCCAACACATTCCGTAGCTGAATCCAAGTCGAGCATCCGGCCTCGAGGCACTGCCCTAACAGTACCGTGCACACTATGATACGAAGAGTTAGCGACTGCTTCATGCCAAATTCGTTAAGTACCTTAGCACGCACCGACTTCGATGAACACCGGAATGGGTCTGCTAGTTAAAATGTGATTGTAGTGCGGATGACCGAGCTTACGAAACAAATTGCATTTTCATGGGAGTTTGAATAGCATTTTATAGCATTAATTCGATCAAGTGTCCGTTTACCAATCTCTTTTTAAGTGGCAGCTTTTTTGGCAGATTTATGCATGTTATTCTCACATACATTATATGTATAGAACATACGCATTATCGACGTAACAGCATCAAGCCTGGCGTGGTCTTGAGATTTTTGAAGCGAAAAGATGCCACACTAAAGTGCAGCATTGACAATCCAAAATGAAACGACTAGATATCTATTCGTACCATCGAACTCAGCGCACAAATACTCACACGCACCTAACTTCATTAAAAACAGGCAAAAAGCGTCCTTAAGGAGCTCCTTAAGTTGTTGCGATTTTGATAGGCTCGTCCTTCAGAAAATCTGCTATCTTTGGAAAAGCAATCATCCTGATTTCCAATTTGGTCATGCTAGAACTATGTGGTTTCTGACAAATTTACGCAAATTTATGCGTTTGACTTAAGTAAATCAATGCAAAACTTCACTATACATAGGGTCGGCAATCAACCAAATTAATATTTTGGCAGCTTTTGTATCTGTCAAACGTACGCCACGAATTGTTTACATGAATGGGAAATTGAATGCTTGGCTAATTTCATGTTTCATGGATGGTTAATGAGATAACCGTAGAATAATCATTTGATTGGATTTATAATAGACTGATGGAGACACTACCTTGGGGAAGCTTTAATTAACGGCTGCGGAAGTATTCGGTAGTGAAAAAAAGTATGACAGGGCCTGTCTCTTCATCAAGACATTGGGCATGTAACGAAGGACGAGTTACCTAAAAATACCATCCACATATCCAGTGACATTTATTTGATAAAACTACATAAATGCAACTATTTTTTTCCATTTTTTACGTACTGAATTTCAAGTAAGGTGTGATCGTGAAATAATAAGAAACTTTATTCCAGAGTAAGCAGAACGCAGTCTAATGGATTATTTACATGGTATATATAAACGAAGTGCTTGCTGCTTTACTTTTTATTAGTTGGTGTAGGTTTAACTAACAACGACAATATATGGTAAGAGGTAATTAAGCGAATTTTATTTTTTGATGAGGTTCAAAGTAAACACTTCAACCGTAAGAACCAAGCACAATAGGGTATGTACCTATGTACCACTCTGGGGGATGGGGACTACAGTCGCCTCGTGTGAGGGGATTGATAGATTCAATTATATGCTCCAAACGATCGTGATTTCAGAAGCCCTATATTTGAGATCTAGCATTTGACACAATTATCAACGAGTGTTCGCACTTCATAGGCCCACTTAACTGTGAAAAACGCAAACAATTTTCTCGCAATGGAGTCAAAAGAGCTTGCTGCTGACGTCTGTGGAGCATTTTCGGCATCAAAACAATTGCTTTTTCAGAGTTTATCAGTAGTTATTTAGCATTATATTCATTTCTTAGTTTGACTCGACTTCGGGTCTTAATATCTTCACATGTGCACCAAAATGTATGACATCACAACACGAAAGTTGCGTCATGGACTTACACACAGTTTGAAGCTGCTGTGACTGTTGTCTCGACAAATGCTAGCAAGGGTTTGAGTCCGGTCACCTCAAGTCAGATCATCCGAGCATCGAGGGTAGGGGTAGTATTCCACTCTCCCTGATATTCACACTGGTATCTTCACAAGTGGTGAGGGGCGTGGGCTTGAAGTGCTTGAGTGGGCAGATAGGTGTGAGTTCTCGTATTCTGGGGCAGCAGATTTGGCCCAACAAGCAAGTGCTTCAGTTGATTCCTGACTCTGCCTTTACGGGCTGAAAAACACTACGCCCGAAAAGAGCACGCACGCACGCACAGGAGAGCAAGCGCAAACCCAGCAACATCAGTAGCAGGGACGCAATTGGCAAATCGTATTTACCAATGGCTGAGCGCGCTGCTCTATGACATGCACACGCGGGTGCGCCACAAAGTGGGACTGTGTGCGGAGGCGAAAGGAGTTTCAAAATGCACATTACTTGTGACACATTGGGCTCATCATCATCACCATCGTCACCCGTTTGTTTACTCATTTACTCACATCGCATAAGCACCATTTCTCGAATCCATCCTTTGCTTCTTGCAAAGGAGGGGATGAATGCTGGTAAATAGAGGGAAATGCAATTAATTTCAATTGTATTATGGCGTAAAAGTCGTTCCGATCACAGAAAATCGCCTAATCAAATGGAGGGGTAATTTTGTATCTAAATAGGCTCGATGCAAGGCATTTCCACGTCGTGGTTGAGTCAAATCAAGCATCTCGGGAAATATGGTGCTAAATTTCATCGTTTACGTCATCTGTTAGATTGTAGTAGTTAGAAGAATCAGATATCGACGTTGAAGCAGATACTGTATCGAATATTGGATTGAAAAAAAAGCATTATTTAAAAAGTTGAGGAATGTGTAATAGTGCCTTATTGGGGTATCGTGTAGTAGTATTTGTTGATTATCTAGCACCCTATTAAATGGTAGTCTACTCGACAAGCTGATGAAGAGCAAATAAGGGGAAAAATAGAATGATCAGTCAATCAATTAGTCGACGCGTGAGGGATCGACATTAAGGTCTCGAATTTGCCCATGGGGTTCAACACGTCGCATGCGCTCAACTCAAAGGACCGTAGGTCCTATACCAGTGTGAGCGTGCGAGTGAATGCAGGGCATTTGCTAATCTTTGTATTTCTACACAATTTAATTAAAATGAGATTCATAATCCTTTGTCCACCTGTATATATTTTTAGCTTGCACGGTAAAATTTAGGAGAATAAATTCTAAGGCTTACATGAGGATGTGGGGTGTTCTGTAATATGGGACCTGGGTAATTGTTTAAATAAATTTATCGTTCTTTACAAATGAGCAATTGTCAACTCTCCCTGCTGTTAGGCAGTAGTAAAAACTTTAGGGTTTCTTTGATTGCTCGAGGACTTCATGAGGGCCTTAAGGTGTCCAGATTTCAGTAATTTCCCCGTCACCTTCAAAACTATTTCATTGATCATTACAAAAAATTTTTTAAATGTAATCTTCATATTGGTATTAACGCTTGTTATTAGCAGAAGGAAATATCATGATTAAGCACTATTAATTTCATCGCGTTTAATATTCGGTAGCACACCATTAGCGTTTGGCAAAACATCACCTTAAAAATGATATTTGGGGTATGAGGTTACCCACCAAATTCCACCCTTAATTGCAAGCGTGGTGATGAATACCTAGTTCCATCCCACTGACATATTAAGCATAGTTTCCACCACTTCCTGGTGTTCCAAGGTGAATGATGAACAAACATGAATTTGGCAAAATTACTTGCCGAGTAAATGGAAAATTTTTTTATAAATTTGTATTTTATGTATAATCGTTTTTAATTAATGCTGAGGTTAGAAACTACAACAGTAGCGTGCTTAGATTCCCAGATGAGATCTGTAAAACGTATTTTTAATGTTTAGAGGAGGTCAACTTAAAATCAGGATGTTTTGACTCGATATTTTATACTCATTTTTTGATCTGGCTGTGCAAATGCTACCGCATGCGGAGGCAGGATTGGCAGTGAAGGGAATAAATCGGCCTCTCGATTTGGACTAGTTATATTACCTTTTAGCTCAACAGTGACGCCACCTTGTTGCCACAGACGTCATGGTATACGGGTCACCTCACAAATTGCATTGCATTCACTGTATCGTGTAGCCCAAACTATGCCCAATACAGATCCTATTGCATTACTTGTTCCCTGAAATACACCTACATTCCTCAATCCTTATCTCAACAAAGTCCCAATACATCACGATTCACGGCTGACTTCGTCTTTGTTACCCATGGTGGTAAATGCATTATGCTTACGCAAAACGTTCTCAACTAACCATTTTTAAAAATGCCAAACACTTTCCTTCTGCAAGAAGGGCTTCATGGTCTTTCAAAAGTATTAGGCTTTGAAAATGAAATCAATGCATGAAATGTACCCTAAACTGACAAAGTTCAAGAATTGAGGCATCCTTTCGTTCACCTCGCTGACGATACAAAAGTGGGTGTAATGCAGAAGTAACTGGGATGGGACTTTCTGGATAACTAAGTAAATGAGTGTTATAACAATAATAAAATTTGTCATTGAGCGTTAAGGTAGTGGAGGCAAGTGATTTCTTTACTAAGGGTTAATCGAGTGGAACAACTTGACGAGCCTCTGCAGGCAAATATAATTTAACACAGGGTTACCTCTATGATCTTGGAAATGGGTATATTACTGTTGAAAACTACAGAGACGGCACGTCCATAATTTTTTGTAGGTGATTGCCTATCACGATCCCAACTCGCCATGTCATTTAAAACAAATGGCACATCAGCAACAATCGTAGTGCTGAAGATAACATAAAAATGTTTAAAGAAAGGAATCATTAGTAGGCATAAGTCTTACCACTTATACTCATTATGGTTTAATAAAACCTTCACCAAATGGTAAATAGAAATCACCGGGTGGCGAAACAACACCAATGGGTTAGAAAATTTTCCTTCATAACCAAACTTGATCTCATAACAAAGAAAATCCATCGTTTTTCAATAAATTGAATAAGACAATCTCTTCTGGCATTCACACTTCTGATTGGTGCAAATTGCCAGTTCTGGGATATCGGTATGCCTTTCAATATGTGCAAAGCAATGTAAATGCTTCTCAACTGTAGCAAAAAGTTCGGTACCACGCCCTACACATTATCATTAATTCTGATCCGGGAATAACATCTAGAGATAACAACTTCAATTTCTGACTTCAAAATTTTAGTCCACTTTTACAACCATCTTTGGATAAATCCTAATCTTCATGACCTGGATACAACAGAAAGTTGGATAGTACAATATTTTGGGACGACAGTTTGTGTAATCTTTAACCACTAAAATATAGTAAGTCTTATGGATAAAAATTTGCAAAATCTCATTGCGGCACTGTGACTGGAAGCGCTTTGCCATGTTCCGACCTTCCGCAGTGTGATGCTGCTCAGCATTTGAGTGCTGAATTTTGGCTGAAAAATCAACACCAATCTCGACATCACCAGTACATCATTTTAGTAAGACCTAGTTGATAGCTAAGGATGGTGATATAAAAAAGACCCTAAAACGTAATTTTGGCACTTTATTAATTTTTAAGGCTATTCTAGTGATTAGTTCCGGACACTTTCAAGTGGGCAGGCAAAGTGGGAGCTAACATGCAATCTTTTGAGACAACTACATCACGGAAAAATAAGACCTCTGCAATCTAATCATATATTAGGGAAACATTTCTATTTATCTGAGGAAAGAAAACATTAAAGAAAGACCCTATTTATTTTTCGTGGGTTAATCAAATAAATATTGAGAGTTTAAACATGCCTAAAGCGACTATGGTACCTTCCTCAGAGAAAGAAGAGCACACATAGTCAATGGCGTAGGATGAAACTCGATTTGATATCAATTACTCAAGTTATATAGTTTCAAAATTAGGTGGTTGCTAAAGGCTTGCGACGTTTGAGTGACTCAATTCACACATGACATACATTTTAAGTACCTGAAACTTTTCCATTAATCTGCGAATGTACTATCGCATCGAGGTCACCACCCACACAAGATGGCCACAACTCCAGAAAAGTTGAGAAGACAAGTGAAAGCATTGTTCGAAATTTGTGGGCACAATATAAAAGATGCTGGTTATGGAATTTATAATTTTAATGAACAAAGTTCCGAAAGGTCTACATTGGAATAGACGCAATAAATAGATACCGTTCTGTTTTGAAGCTGACTCATGACAATTTGCGGGGGGTTGGACTATGGCATTTAAATAAATATCCAAATAAAACCGACAATTTGAGCTTTTAGAAAATTTAGGATGTGCTAGGTGAGCTACAAATGCAATTTGTTAGGTGATGCATTTAAAGATGGGAATGTGAACGATGAGACTCGGTCCTCCTGACAGTTGTACTTAAATAAAACGGCTTTAAAAGAAATCATGTTATGCACATAGACCGTAGCGTTTTGTCTCAAAACGTGTTTTATTGATAATGTGACGGATTGCGAGAGGGGGGCTGGGAGTGCTTTGATAAGCCCTTTCGAAAATACCGAACATAGGATTAACATTATCCTACAACCTCACATTGCCTACAGCAGTTTGCAGCAATAGGGGTGATCAAAATGCCTTCTTACTGAGATGGTTAATGGGTTAGAATAGGTAGACCTAACGAAGTTGTAGGTGGGCATATTTTCACTAAGACTACTTAGACATTTGATAGGTATCATATTTTGCACAACTGCCATTGCAGTTTGAAAGTGCTTGCAGTATTCATCAACCTTTAGTCGAGACTGCAGGACTAATTGCCATGATCTCAGTGCAGATAGCCTAAGTATAAATCGCAGAAATTCGAAAAACCGAAGGGGTATTAAGCGGAATTATTGCATTTGTAAAAAGGGCTGGTTTTTTAATTTTTTCCTCCCATAATATCAGTTCCACGTCGTACACTTAAAAAAAACTTCCACGGATTAATAGGATAAATGCTGCTTAATCTTCGGGCTGGCACGACACATCAAAAATCTAGTAGGGGTTTGTTAATCCACAAATGAGACCTACTTTGTTGCTGCAGAACGTTATCCACTTTTTCAAAAGTGTCGGTTCCTACGAAAGCCCATACTGCGTTATTTAAAACAAGATTTGTTTCTTGATTCAAAACAGTTCACATGGAAAATGAATGCTTATGAATGCCAGTTTTTTTGCTAATGATCCTTTGCAGAGCTGGTCTCAAAGCGAAGCCACTGATGATCTGTAAATCAACTATGCTTAGCCCATCAAACATGTATTTTTCAACAATGTTCCTCTTCTTGTCTATGTCTTCCCGTTTGTTCGCACAACCAATTTCCTGCCGTTTTTAATCAGTGTGTTTGAAAGTCACAACACATACATGCAATGCTCTTAAAGCGTTCCTTTAAGTCTGACATGCATTTGTGAGTCTGGCTAGTGATTAGTTGAAGACACCATAACAAATGCAAAAAGGAAAGCTGAAGTTGGGAATATTTTGAGGCAACAACTCATCTATAAATAATAAACTGTCTCCAGACGGCTCCAGGGCGTTAAATTACAGCGAGGAATTTATTACCATAGCCTTTTTACATTTCAAGGAAATTCATTTTGACTTCTTCCACTACTTCTGTTCAAAATAGTTCCCTAAATTTTTATTTTGATCAACGATAATTCAGCTATCTGCTCTACCATGCAACGGTTAAGCAGAATGTTTGAAAATATGATTTTTATTTTGCAGTTTTCCAAGTTTAAGCCTTTTATAAGATAGCAGGCATCTGTATGTCATTTGCTCGACTGGTTAAAGTGGCTCTGACAATACAGGCCAGCTTACCTTAAATTGCATCTGAAAAGTTGTATCTGCCGTTCGCCTTCATTTGTGCTACACATAGCATTCACCACTACAGTCAAAATAGATTTTCACTTTGTTTACTAAAAAGTTCAACCAGGAGCGCATTAACTTGAACTCCAGTATTCATGCGTAAGTGCACAATCGTAAAGTTTAACTTCATTAATTGCCCTGCTAACTGTCACGTTCCCATTTTTAAATTCCGGCTGTTAGAACAATACAAACCTATGAGATTATTCGATTTTGGGCTGATTAGTATCACAGTGATTAGAAAAGTAGGTAAATTATCGAAATTTTTAGCCAAGCGGTTTATAGCTATAAATTTAAAATGTGCATCGTTACTGTTATCATTGCAAACTAGGTCTTAGCGATTGTAATGTTTTCTGAACGAAGAAATAGGAAACACACGGTCATCATTATTGAGGTAGGAAATGAAAGATACCCGTGACGACAAATACATACACTTCCATGTAAATGTGGCATCACGAGTCTTTCCGGAGGTCCTAGGAAGTCGTAATAGTATGGCAGAGAATGTATTTCTGACGTGAAGAAGGACTGAGAGGTTACTGGCATCACCCGAAGGCCATGCTGAAGAGCGGAAGTACAGTCTGTGAAGAATAAAGTACTCGTGTAATCAAACACAGAGTTAGGCAAACTATCAAAGCATTACATAAAGTACCTAGAATTGAGAGTCACCTCCAAAGATAGCTACGATTTTAAAAATAAAGAATTTAAATTATTAGGCAGACTGGTAAGATTAATATCCCTTCTGGTGGCAACTTGTAATACCGTTGGGCTCAGTCGGGTGAATAACTTACTCCTAATTTGAAATCCTTAAAAAGATTACAGTTTTGAGTTAAACAAACCAAATTTTAGTTGTTCTTTTAAAGCGTATTTGTTTGAAAGCTTCTTGTGGGTCAAAGGTGAGCAGGCTGAACTGACCTCGTGCCTGAGACGGCTCATCGAACCTCAAGGAGGGCTAAAATGCTGATTCTCCCACGTACTTTTGCCATTTGAGAAATTCTACATTGTGACAGTAAAATATACCTTTCTCTAACCAATCCCTTCCACCAAAGAGCCTGAAAATAAAGGTGAAAGGGCAGAGTGAGGACAATATTTCGTAGCATGATTAGAATTATTTACAGCCCTCGACTCGACCCTCCTTTGTTGATTGATAAGCCTTTAGGCGGTTCGCGTGCTGCCAGTTATTAATACCTTGTTATTGACTATACTCGACCAGCGTATGATAAGGCGATTGTGCTTAGAATGATTCTAACTTGATCAACTTTTTCACTGGTTGAACTCATTTCAGTGTCCATGAGTGGATATTTCATTCACTTTTGTTGTGCTTAAAAGAAAAATTGTAATCGAGAGCCTAGTTTCATTATTAGCGCCTCCAACTATTGGTATTTTTGTTTCTTACAGTGGGAATTATTTGCTACACAGTATGAGTCGCCTTGCCGGGGGGTAACCTGGTCGAGCATTCATCAGGAAGGGGCAGGCTCATCGGCTCGTGGGAGGATTTTGCGCCAAGATAAATCACACGAGAGCACGAGGCCTACGTGTAGAAAGTTGAGGGAAGAAGAGGTAGGAAACAGCGTCATCCTCCCTAACGCCCAACCGCACCAGATCGCTGTCACTGCCAAGCTTGATTTGTGTGCGCGAATGCATGGTGGAGTGCGCATAATTTATCTCAATGCTGGGAGAATGCATTTACCAATGTGAGTTTCTCTGTCCACTCTCTCGAGGACGCCCTGTGTTGAAGTAACTAGCAATTTTACACAACCATTGGTTCATTCGGAATGCAAAATCATTTTGAAATGTGGGTATCTAACGCCGTCAAGGTCTTTTATTTTCCAATAATCCGAACACTAGTCTTTGTATCTAATGCAAAAACTGGTTTTCCAATGCAAACTAACCATTGGCTTGCTTTCAAACCGGACCTTAAAATCCATATTTTTTCTTTTGGATTAGTAGGGAGTGCTGCATTTAGTAGCAAAGTATTTGGGTAAATGAAGGAGGACTATTGGCACATTCAACTGTGTTGTCATTTTAGATCCTGAACAGTTGTTAATTGAAAAAAATGAAAGAGTGAATTTTACACCCATTTTTACCTCTAAATCCTTGTTAATTTTCAAAAACAACTGCAACTATTAGACGTTAATATAGAAGTCAAAGTAGTCGTTCGCCGAGGATATCCATGACCTTGCGGCCCCCTCCTGTGTCTATTACTTTATTCAAACACAAAAACTAAACATGCGACTTTGAATAACAGTCCTAGCATTACAAAATTTTTGCCTTTCTTATTCAGCGCCTCCTTAGCTTAAGGACATAATTACTTAAGCGAATTACAATTCTGCTCCATTACCGCAGATCCTGTTAGCTACCCCTATTCTCGAAATGTATTTTAAATATTACCGTGCAGTTTTGACTGCAGGCATTTGTTTGTAATAAATTGCGCTTTACAACCAACCAATTTTTTAGCGTATACCCACAATAATAAAATACTTTCACCAAATAAAAGACTATGTACACCTCGCGGCAATTACAAACGACCGTGTAGATTTCTGCTGGGGGACCCTACACTGTAGCCATTAGCAGACTTTCATGTGTTCTGCATTATGACAAAACTGATGTACACAAAATGCGTTATCACTTCCGTATCTTAATTTTTTCCCTGCTCTACACAGAAACGATTGTGCGCCTGCTAGAATTCACACATCCTTGCATTCCCTGCATTAAGTAGCACATTTTGTTCTCAACTTTATTATGGTTTTTCTTAGTGGAGATCTTACTAGAGGAATAGACAAGGGAGGATTAGAGTCCGCAGTTTAGTGGAACACAGTCACATGATTGTGCATGGCTTACATCCGCACCTACTCGTAACCTTTTTGCCAAAACGACGGGAATGCCTGCATACGTTCAGTCAAACGATGGTCGAGACCCCATCCTCTTGGCATTATGCACTTTGTGTTTTGTGTGAAAATTGCGAATAGATATCGCATCTCACGCCAAATTTGCTACTCAAGGCCCAAGCAGCACTTTCAAGCAAGCAGTTCGCGCATGTAATTATTTTTTTAATGTTTCAATAAAAAAAACTCTGAATACAACATACAGATATCTGAGAGGCAATTAACAAGATGGCTAAGCTAAAAGCTATGCAAAAAACAGTAAATTATGCCATTGTTTTGCGGAAAACAATGTTTCGCAATAATTTTGCATTATTAGTATCCAATTCTATTGTCTACTTATATTTCATCAATAATATATACATTTGTGTAAATGTATTCTTTCGCCATAACCAGCATCGGCTGACCAAGAAAGTTCGCTCCGTTTTGGGTGCACCCTGCTGCAGTGACCTGTTGGTACTTCTAGGGACTTGTGAAGCACTATAACGAAAATGCATTGTAAAGTAAAAACATTCATCAGTCTATTGGTACGCTTCTCTGTTTTACCCACAACTTTCCGGTTATTTTAAACTCTTATTTACCGTCGACTGAACATGGTGCAATTTGAAGTTATTTACTTTAAGAACTTAACCTTGCTCCCAAAGTTACAAAAGCTTCTCAGTAAATTTTGTCTGTCTTTTAAGAAAGGTGCGGTGGCAGAACACTACCGTTCAGAAAAAGCTTAAACGATTTGAGTGTGTCTAGTGATTAATCGCTTCCTATTTCTGATCATGAAGAAACACACTCAGTTGTTAGTTAAAATAATTTAAAGTGAATGTGTCAAGAACTTGCACCCATGCCAACTGGGAAAGTGGTGGTATAAAATACGCAAATGAGTCCCACATTCATTAAAAGATGACACGGAGTATCAAAACTACTGATTCATCCTTAAATTCCTTTACCTTTTTAAGAACGTGCTGTCCGGAAAGGTTTCTTTGCAACTCATTTGTGATGAGAAGTAGCCTTGCATTACAACGTTAGGCTGACGGTCACATCATCAATCTATCCTAATAGATCCTTTCACCAACCACCTCACACCTCTTAGGTGCGGGCCACCTCATCCTTAGAGGAAAACACTTTGTGCGAGTGTGTGTTCATGGTATACTGCAGAAGGAGTTGTTCACTATGAACTTCTTGCTAAAGACCAGACGAATACGGTTGCTATCTTGAGAGTGAGCTGGAAGAAACTCTACTTTAAAGACAGTCGGGATTAGTCAGTCAGTAGGAAGAAAGTCCAGACATCGCAAGACGGTGTACTGTACACAGCTGGATTTACTTCTGAGAGGATTTGCACTTTGGGCGAGGTGGGTGAGAACCTTAGCATTAAGCAGTCACATGCGAAATAGAATGGGCAACTAAAACATAAAAGTGAGATAAGAACGGGAGCTACTTGAGCGAGTTTTTTTCACTTCCAGAGAAAAAACGCCTTGTTAGAGTGGAATACCCAGGCTCTTTTAAAAAGATTTCCAAAGGTTATTTTATTTTATAATTATTGCATTTGGACATCTCATGATAAAATGATTGGTTATCAAAGGGTGCGGTTCCATGTTTTCGCCAGTAGAAATTGATATTATGAACAAAGCAGCATAAATGTAAGTTAAATTATTCTATCCAACCCACATGAGTCGTAAAACACATAAAAGTAAACCTATACTGTTCTGAAAACTAGAAAATGCAGGTTTTTGAAGTTTATTGAGATTCTGCTTAGGCTCTTAACTCATAGGACCCTCTTAAAATTACAATAGCGAAAGTGAACAACTGCATAATATTGTACACTTCTTTAGTTAAAGTGGTTTCAATTCAAATATTGCATGTAATTATTGATGTGTTTTCATCTACATTTTGTTATTTCTCTCAGAAAGTACCTTAGTGAGATGTTGAATTTTATTGATAAATATTACCGTGGTGGATGGGGTTCAAGTAGGAAACAAAAATGACGGTATTTTCTAAAACAAAATATTTAAGATTTCAAGATCTAGGTCGTTTTAATGAGGCATAGTCCTTTCTGGCGATTCTGGTGCAGGAATTAGGTGCCTGGTAGATAACTACATTTATTAGTGGGATTAAAGAATAGGCGGCATTTCAGCACAGTTATCACTTGCGTAAGGAGGGGCGTTGATTCACTTGTGTCTTAACCATGCAATCGTGAATGCTCTAGTTGAAAAGGGTTTACTTGGGAAATACCTGATATCCCCTTGTACACATCTAGTTCTTCAAACGTTAAGGATAATCAGAGAAAGACAAATCCTTGCGCAAAACACTGTAGGCTCCTTTAGAAACAGTGGATTTTCAAATATCCTTTCTTTGCATGCCGGAAAATTCCGAAGGAGTATATCAAGGTAGAAGTTGGTATGAATTAATTATATTATTTGTAATCCACATGTACAACAGTGATTGATAAGTTAGCTCTTTTCAAAAACACATACATAAATACGTGTCACGAATCTTCAATCGCAAGAATTTAAGGAGACTTCCTTGCATTTCACCTCTTATTTCGGTGTTTCCAATATAACTCCCGAGTAGATTGCCATTAATTGATTAGGCGCCAAATCGTTATGCTAGGGAAGCACCTTCACGTAGAAAACAGACGACAGTGGTAAAAACGGAGTGCCACCACATATACGATAGAGGGCCCCCAGTGTCATGAAAGTGTGATGGGTAAAGCAACTTGCAATCAATGAAGAAAATACGCTTACTTTTGCCAATGGTTCCATTATTTGCATTGTGCTTTAGGAATTATAATCTTCCAAGGGACCAATTCCAATTACAATCAGGAATGATAAACCCAAATGCAAGAAAACTTCTTTAATGCCCCAGCTTCCCTTACTGAACTTTTAAATATGTTATAAGTTGGAATTTCGATCTACCTACGAAGTAGTTGCACTGACTGGTTCTATTTCAGATATCAAAGTAGGTGCAAGTGGTAGTTATAACTTAGGGTATACCAGCACAGTTAATTCCTCTACATTTCGACCGTCTTTACTTAAAAGAAGCATTAATAGGTTTCGTTTATACGCTAATTTCAATATTAAACCGGTTTGAGTGAACAAAGCCAATTCACGCCGAAGATCGGCAGTTAACGACCAATCAGATGAAAAACCGGCTTTCCCATTATTCTGCACACATTTTCGAGACTGTTCTCACCTCCGCCTTACCTTTTCAACTACAAGCTTAGTCTCCTGCAAAAGAAGTAAACTTCTATGGAAGTAGCGGGATGCCCTACCCGTCTGGATTAAATCATGACGGATTCGCTTATTTGTTAGGTGGTTTTTGGTGCACCAAAGTGGTGTAAGCGATGATGGAGGCTGGGTTCTTTTCTTAATAAGGTGACCTTTAGGATTTAAAATGCCACAATTTCTAGGGAAAGTAATTTATTTTGGATAACTGCCGCTTCCGAAAGGCCACATATTCCTTTAAAGAAATGCAATTTTGCTTTAGTTTATTCTGAGTTAAATTAACCAAAGTGTCTCTGTATCCCTAAGATTCTCACCAGTCTAATTAGACAGTGAAATATTCTTAGGCTTAGTTTTTACAAAATTCCGTAGCATAATCTCCACCTTTCACCTGGTATAAATTCATGTGGGCTGGCAAACCACATGCAAATGATTTTGAGACCCGACTAACATTGTCAGGAAATAATACAATTCCGCACTACTGTAAGTGATCTTGTATTGCAATCTTTCTCAATACTGGTCACAGTCAAGTTGGCGTTTAAGTACAATCAATGCATAAAATTAGTCGTCTGTTCCTCATACCAACTCTCAGCAGACTGCGCAAAACCACTTTTGTACGTATTTTAATGTCAGTTAGCAATTTTGTAAAGTGAAAGTGCTTTTGCATTCCATTGAAGCAACGGTGGTGTAAGATTGCATTATGAACAAAGTAGTGATTTAGGTTTGTGCTCATTAATATACTAAATATAATGCTGTCACTTTCTTTCTAGTGTTTTTGCTGTTCTACAATGTGATAATATATTAAGTGCAATTAATAAGTGAAACTAAGTTATGCATACTTTACAATGGAGCATTGTTCCACAGTGGCAGGTCTAATCGCAATGGCCACTGCCTGGGACTGATTCGCCCTCAGTGGGCGACGCGCTCATCTCTTCGGTCGCGATGGCTACTCTGATGGCCATGCTGGTTGAAGCAGTAAAGCAGACTGTATAGATAAAAAAACCCAATCTCATTAGGAAGTGAACTGGCGCTGTTAAAGGTTTGCTGACGTATTTGCACTACCACCATCGCTGCCATCATCATTCCTGTTTACTGGTCTGTCACGCTTTTTCCGTGGTTACGTAATCTGAACTGGTTTTTCTGCATGAATTTGCTATCTGCAAATACTCCTAACAAGTACACACACAAGCTCATGTGATACAACCGTATTGGAAAGTGTGCAATTCTCCTTCATCCTGACTGCATTCCCCTTGCCATTTCCTCCCCTTCAGTTGCTGCTGTAGCAGTCAGTAGCAATAGTCGGAGCTGCATTAAATGGGATTTGTGTAGCCTGCACCAAAAGGCCGACCACTCTTTCCTGACAGTGCAAATATCTGCTAACCGAGCAGCACAATCTTTGACATTGTCAGACTTTTTAACACATCCACTTCGAGGGTGCTGTTCTTTCCACCGCGCATGAGCCACCGTCATTTCTCCCTCTTTCCCTCTTCCCTGTTTGTGCGCAGATTTGCACAAAATCATGCACTTGCCTGCATGAACGCTCGTATTCAGAGTGCGTGCTTGTCGTGTGCGGTACGAGCTAACGCCGACTAGGAGCGCTTCCCTCCTCCTTCTCCCTCTCCTTCGCCTCCCAACTACAACAATCACAAGTGGTGTCAGAATTGCTACAGAGACTTCCTGAACATGCCAAATAAAGTTGAAAAACTTTCCATTGCCTTAAAAAAACCAATTTATTATAAGCTACGAAGGTAATCAAAGGTTTGTGCTAAAATTTAGAAGTGCATAAATTATGATATAAATGAAAGGGATTAGTGCTGAAGGGTACATCAATTTATATACCTTGTACATGGGTTCTATATCGTCGCTAGTGTTGCATTCTCGATAAGGCTTGACTGTGACAGAAAAAATGGCACTCTGCTCCTCAAATTCAAAAGTTTGCCATACCATTGGCTTGCATACAGATGTTTGACACCTTCGGTGAGGTCACCTGTAAGTAAACGGCGGCAGGTCATATTTGATGACACATACACCCCTGCTAAGCCTCGCAAAAGATCTCCCAACACCAGAAGAGGTTACTTTTGCGTTTCTACGGTAACGTTAGCGTACAGACGCATTGATCCATGCGCCTTTTGACGAAGACGGGTAGTGTAATCCACGCAGAATAGTTAACTAACTCGATTACAGTTTCCTAAGGCCGTTCCACTTCTACCTTGAAAACTGTTATTGCTCCACCGTGACAGCACTTGACTTTAAACTCTTCCAGGTCTAGAGATCCGGTACGTGTCGGTTAGCTGTACTTAGCTGCTTTTATCAGCGGCAGTGTTCTTCTTTGTGGCCAAATTGGAAACACATGACACAACGATGTCTTCTGAAATGGCGAAAATTGAGGAGTGCCAATCCGGCATGCCAAGGGTAGTTTCTGCTTGGTTTGGTGATATGAAAATAGTTCCTGTGGAGTTTTTTCAGAAGTTTTATACACAACGTGTATCATATGTCATACTTCAAATCAATCAAGGGCTGGAATTCTTCTGGTATGGCTCCTAGGATGGCCTCTAACCCCAGTTCAATCTTGCTCAGAATTCTAGCTATTAAGTTGTTATTCTTGCCACACATAAAACAAAACACTTAAAATGGCATCCAGGCATTCCTCAGAGCTTGAATAGGTCATATTTCTTCAAAACCTCATCTGTGTACATGACCCATCATCTGTGCTGTATTTCCAAGATTTGGGTAGTGGTACCTTATGCTAAAGAAGCAGAATCGAATTGACGCATCGTTCGTGGTCTGTTACACTTTGCACAAGTCATCTTTGTCGGCAAAGTCAACTGAGAAAATATTATTGCATTTAAAGAAAAAAATTTCAAACAGGAATCAAATCAAATGTGAATTTTGAGACATTCTTGATCAGCGTGTCCACGAACGAATCACTGCAGTGTCGTCCGAGACGGTGACTTTTGCAGAGGGACCTTGTGTCTGTTGCTGCCACTGAAGTATCGCGCGCACTTACTCCCTTGAGATTGGCATGCTGAATATCTACACCACAAGTGCTGCATCCTCGGTGAAGTTGCATTATAAAAGAGAATAGCAAAGCTACCAAAGAAATTGGCATTCAATTTCTTGGACCCATGGCTTGGTAAAACACTAGTCTATGTGTAGATATGGATGGTCAGATATGGGATCTACTGCGTCTCAGCGTTACTACTCTTTATCCAGTACTACCAAATGTGGCCAGCCATTGGTATGGAACAAGTCAGATTGGTTGTCTTGCTTGAAAATGCGTGTGAATGTGTATTCATGTTGATGCTGTCATCACAATTGGTCTGCATGATAAACTACTTATCTGACATTCCTTATAGCAGCCTTCAGTAGGGAGGCAATGGCTCAGTTGCTGACGGGGGAAAGAAAAATGTGACCGATAAAAAACTAGCAGACATAGATTGAAGTTACTTCAAGTATGGTAGAACTTCAAGCTGTCCTTAGGCTTGAGACCAGCCAGACTATATTCTTTGTCAATCTAGTTGTTGATGGAGGAAGAATAATCCGGTCAAGCCAAAATTGTCATCGGGAACAATCTGGGAAATTGCTAATGAGCCAATCAATACCAGTAACACATATCTTGACTAGTCCCTCAAGGATTGATTCGGGATAGGAACAATGTGCTGATGGAACTCGGTGGGTACATGAAACAGTACACCTTCAATCGAAAAGGTAAAGACAAAAGGATGAAAAGGACATAACTGCTTGAATTCACCACAAGGGGCTTCGGGAGCAAGCCGTAACCACGTCTATAGGTTTAGTACTGAGTAGTTTGAGAGATTAAACGTCAACCATGTATGGGCTGTATTGGCATTCTAAGGATTGTGACTAAGGCCCACTTTTTTCCAGTTTAAGGAAGTAGTTAATTTACGCACTATAATATCCAAAAGGAGTGGAACGTAATAGTAGTAGCGCGTGTTGAAACAGAAGTATATGTTTTCACAAAAATCGAGAAGTTAACTGGGAAACCATCAGTTGACCAATTCTGCGAAATAACCGATACATCCAGAGGACGCACCAAAACCCAAGAAATTTGTAAAATGTAGTTTTCACCAGTGCAATGACTGGGGAAAGGCATTTCGCAAAAAGGAAATAATACAAAAAATAACAAGAGCATATTTGCAGAAGTGAGTAGGGCGGCACAGCGATATAAATATGGCAGCGAGAAGAGTGAGAAGGGAGGAGGGGAAAGGAAAGACATAATTCTTGCATTTGGACGAGAGTGTAACTTTACTGTGTTGCACAGTGCAGTACAGGTGTGCCATTCACATGGAGGTCCAGATGGTGGAGTGATTGATGTTGGCCGCCTCGCTGACAGTGGAGTAGTTTTCGGTGGTGGCAGCAACGGAGGCGAAGTTAAAGGCGGAGGCGCCAGAGCCAGTGCGCTGGTGCACGCCCTGGTGGTGGTGTTCCAGCTTTGGATACTCTATCATGTCGTGGTTGGGCGAGGAGTTATGGCTGCTCTCGTTGCTGCCGCTACACTCATTCGACGTCGACAGCAGTGTGTACGTCTCATCCGAGAGACCGCGACCCTTTCGCTTGCACCATGTTGGAGAAAAGCGATGCTTGAAGGATAGATCACTGCTGAGGTGCACTACGCGTGTGGGCACCGGACCCATAAAATCTTTCACCAGATCGCCCAGTGACACATTCATATCCTACAAAGGTACGTAAATATACAAATATTACCTAGACCCTATTAGTAGGGTTAACTTTATTCCTACGAGAAGTCAAGCGCCCACCATTGTATATTGACCATTTCTCTCGACGGCAGTGTCTTCAAAAGTATTATCACATGCCCCTTAGGTATATCATACAATTTTCAGTGTTGAGAGCTCTTCAGTGAATAATACTATTTGGGAAACTCCAGATAATGCATGGTGAATGACGTGATTCGTGACTCAATACTAAGTTTAGGGAGGTTCAAAGGAGGTTTTTTCGCTCACTATAATCAGCTTTACTCAAGCCATGAGCCCCAAAACATCACTCTCAACAATGTGCTGTTTGAGGAGTTCAGTGACAATAACCCCCATTCTCATCGAAACACAGGAATTACAAGGCAGAAGTATAATTGCATGTTTGCCTTAATTCGTCAGATTGAACAGCATAATTGTGTATCGATAAGGAATAGCAGTGTCATGTTGTTCAGTAGGGCGAAGTATCAGGAAAGCACATGAATTGGTGGACCACAGAAACGCGAGACACATGAATCGCAAGCTGCTATAAATCCGACCGGTAATTCCTAGGCGCCGGAAGCAAAACGAAATCCCTCAAGGAGCCAAGATGAGACCGAATGGTGGTCGGCTAAAATAACACAAGGAGGAAGTAGTGGTGTTCGTCGTCGCAGAGCCAGATGGCAGATTCTCGGCAGAGAAGTGGAGTTCCTTAGGGTCCTTTCAAGAGGCAACATACAGCAGTAACGTCTAATTTAGCGCATGCGCGTTTGTGAAAATGAGGCCTTCAGCCCACGCACTCACAGAGCGCTCATAAAATTATGCAAGCGAATGACGTAAATGCGAGAGTGAGGAGAGTCTGTATTAAACACCAGGTGGAGAGATGGCAGCTCACACCAACAACCCTTTAAGCAATGCGAAGATTTTGTAAGTGGCGCTTTTCCAAAAATCTCGAGCACGGTGCTTAAACAGGAATGAGAACATTAGGTTAGGCGAGATAATCCAAAGCTATGTGTAATCTCACCCGGGCAAGAAAAAAATTACCCAACGTGTTTTTAAAACAACGCGTCATCTCGGCTTCAACTAATTATAGAATCACATTAGAGACGTAGAAGCGCATTTACCTCACAAAGCATGGGGGTTTTTAGATGCAAAATCATACCAATGAAAATCAAATGGAATCATGACTAAAATTGTTACGCTTTTACATTTACATGGACATAGCTCAGTGAGTGCAATTGAGAAATTAGAGATCCTCACAAATTCATAAGCATCTTCAGCATAAGCATTTATGGCATTGCGTTAAATGCAACACCAAATAAAGTCCACAGACGATTTCATCTCTTTCGAAACACTTAAACAGCCTATAAGCGATCGCTGCCAATCGTCTGCTTGAAAAATGTGTTGCAATTAGTAAACTTGAACAAATCTGAAAATGCTAATTACCAGCAGGTAATGCGGTTCACAGAGCACTGATGCATACGAACACGGAAATGCGCGAATTCACTAGCCTCGTACATTTTCTGGCCCACATATTGGCACATTGAAGCATTCAGATAGCCCAAGGCTTACGCAATGTCTTGGTCACTTAGACTTGACTAACACCTCATCCCATCTGCAGTATATCTGCTGAATACACTATAGACGAGATGAATGTGCGTGAATAAAGGCACTTCGATTTTGCCAATCACGACTCCTTTGTTTGCCACATCGCAGTTGCAAGACGCCTCTTCCTATTACCGGCGGAGATGATGACAGTACACCTGAAGTGCCTAAACACAGTGTGGTGCAGCGGTCTCGATAGAGATTCAGATACTTCAACCACTTAAACCAAAGATCATAGATAAAACGTCAAGCACGAGAGGGGAAAGGCTTGCCAGTAGATGTAATTGTTACCAAATAAGCCATAAAGAATGTAATCCTACTAAGAAGGAAGCAAATGCCTAAAAAACAATTAAAGTGGAAGTGATTATGCTTTATGATAATCGTGAAATCGCAAAACCAAGCGGTACGACTATCGCCACTTTGCGACCAAGTAATTTGAAGATCAGTATGGAGAACGCTTGTGATAATACCTGGCAAAACAGTGCGGCAACACCTTAGCCCAAGCAAAGGCATGACAACAGTAAAAATGCGAGTATTGCCTCTGACCTCAGCTAAAAGTGTCAAGTGAATGAATACAAGGAAATGAAGTGAGCACTCCTAATTTACATTGTTAACTATTTGCAGCCGTTTGACTGCGTCGATGTGCCAATGTTAGCGCCCAAAAATGAGTAAAATCAAGCCACATCAATGGACGTAGATGTATATATATGTATGCATGCATATATGTAATGTTAGTATTTTGGTACCTTCGCCATCAAACGGCCTTCAATGAAATGCATCCATATTGAAGTAAGTTGCACGCGAAGCAACACTTTGGAAAGGAAAAATGTTTTTGCGTGTGCCACTTCCAATAAGCAGTTCATGTGAGGGTTCAAAAGCTAAATGCTTCATCTCTAATATAGCATAGACAAATTAGCTTCCAAAATCCAGGGAAAAACTGGCTAATTATAAGAAGCACTATAATTAATGATGAGATGCCTTGGACTAGTTAATGTGTATAAAAAAACTATCGGCAGGTAAAAACCACCGTCTTTTCTTCTAAGACACAGGAACCAAATTAATACCCAAACAGTGGCAACAGGATGGTTTATGAACAAGCAGACGCCGGAATTAGCATCAATTAGCGACTACCAACTCACTCTGAAGAGCGTCAGAAGGACGATTCCGCTGACGATGCAAATCAGGCCGACGGCGTTGCCAATGTAGTCGGTGGGGGAGAGCGAGGAGCCCTCCTTAAAGAGGATGGTCGATGCGATCAGCACGAAGGCCGTGAAGAAGACATAAAGTAGAGGAGTGACAATGCTGGTATTAAAAATGTCGAGGGCCCGATTGAGGTAGTTCAGCTGCACAGTTAGACAAAAAACCAGACCGATCAGGAAGAACCAGAAAATCCATTGCCGGAGGATGGCAAGAATGCCATACTCGATAGCCTCCTGAAGAACAAGCGCATAAGATACCCCAGTTACTTCACCGCTAGGCTTAGGAACTAAAATGTATCTTAAAATATTAAGTTGCTTAATCAAATGCATACTGTTAAGTAAAGAAGGTTCAGAGAAGTTTCAAACTGTGCAGATAACAATTCTAAAATACTTTTTTGGAATTTGAGAACTGCTTACTAATAGCCCTCATAATCATGCCATAGAAGAGAATCAAGCAACAGAGGAAGAAGTCAAAAAAACATAATTTTAGCTTCATCTTAGAGTCAATGGCTAATTCGGGGAATATAAAAATACACATTGACGGATATTTTCAAACTCGGGTTCGATTAACAACCCAATTCAAATGGACATCGATAGTTGATCAAAATTCGGGATATTCAGAAGCAATTTCCTCATAGGACATAACAACCTCCAAGTCGCGATGCGCCCAAGTTCCCTAATCGCGATACTCAGTCTACAATCTAGTAAGACTGATGGCACTAGGACACTCACAGACAAGTTGTTATAGCAAATCCAAAATAACATTTATGAACACGGCTAGATAGTGATGTTAAGACTCCCCTTTGTACCCTTTTGGTCAGCAGTGATCAGTTTGATAAGTGTTTCTAAAAGACAGCTGCAGTGACCTAGTTCGTGCGTGTGCAATTTCTAAGAAATGCTGTGATTTGGGGGAATGATTATGATAGTATTGCGTCCCAACGGATAGCACAGGTCCGTTATTTGGCCTAGTAAGAGCCACTTTGCAATCTCACGAGTGTGCGTGAGCGTCGTGTACGTACCTGAGCGTAAGAATGCTATTACAGAAATGAGCAGACATTGACGACCGAATCATAGAATTGAGGATCTCAATGAGGGCACACCAAGAGTCAGGTGCTGTGATGTCAACTCAGTCGAATACAAAGCTCAGAATCTCGACACTTTCATCACTACTCTTGCTGCAAAATCGTCATCGACCTTATGTTTGCTAGGCCCGAGAAGACGAACAGTGAAATGTGCCAATAAAAGAAGGTACATTGTGGTATGCCAAGTAGAATCACCAGAAACCGTTTGAGTTTTAAACCAACGCTACTGGACGTCCTCTGGTGCAAATTACTTAACAAGTAAAGCAAATATTAGAGGTATTTTCTAACCACAAAACACATCCTACATCCTACTTCTCTGTTTAACCGGAAAATAACAACACTCATTTAAGATACAATCGAATGTTTGCTGCCAGATCACAAGTGAGTTTTGGTACGATGCGTTTTCTTTCAAAAGTGACGATCCGACAAATGATTCCCACATAAATCTCACGGAAAATTTAATATAAGCGAGGTACTGAGGAAAGTTGCACCGTGTAGTAAGTATAGATAATAAGGAAATATTAACCTGGTTCGTTTTTCTCCACCAAAGACGGATGGCAGCTAAGAGGAAAGTTTAAGAAAGCCTTGCGGTAGGAAAAAGTGCAGTTAATTTAGCAAGGGATGAAGGGGATGCAATGTGTTGCCTGAAAAGAAGGGTGACGATGCAGAGAATTATACGTTTTTTAGTGGCAAAGGTTGCACAATGGCAAAAATGAAAAAAAAATCGGGCGATAGGAGTACGCATCAGCATAGTAACATTAAACCATGAGCTCAAAGTACCAAACCTTCAAATAACTCCAACTCATTGCCAGAAAGGGGACCAAAACTGACGACGCAATATATGAGGAATCAAAACATTGGCAAATTTTAAGACTCAAGGTTAACAGAACACGTAAGCAGACGAAAACATCATATTGAGTTTTAAAAATGCAGAGAAAAAGTCTTCCATAAAGTCAAATTAATACGCGAAAAGAGATCGCACGTGATTGCTTACGAGCACTAAATTTTGCCAATTAACAAGATGAAATTTGAAATTGGCAAAAAAAGTTTAAAGAACAAGTTGTTTCATCAAAGACGAGTTCAAATTAATGAACGAAAGTAAAGTTACCTGGAAGTCAGATAGAGAACTAATTACCCGGCCGTGTACGAATCATCGGTATGAAAAATGGGATGAAGGTAGGAGGTGAATTAACTTTATCACTAAGACGTCCGTGTAGCGCGAGAGCAAGATGGAATGTTGTCGTGTAGATAGTGCACGATCCTAACACTCGAGTTCATGCCCTTCGCCGCGCTCGGTTGCACACAAGCGCGGTGATCATCCGCGTGTGGGCGCGTGTTTGTGCGATGAGGGCGCGTCACTAAGAGTTCTCTCAGTAGCATTCAAGTGACGGCACAGCCATTCGCTCTCATGCCCGCGGGAAGGCACCAGTATATGATACTCGTTAAATATGCATGGATTGCGCATGTAAGCACACACATCTAAGCGTTAGCGACTTGCAAATGCGTAAATGTGGATTTTTTAAGCAGATAAGAGGGAGTATAAACTCACCTTAAACCCCAAGCCGATTCCTTTGCACGCCATAACTGAGAGCGATCCAATACTGCCACTAATGAAGACAAAGACAAGAGGATTGCGAGTCCCAAACTTTGGGGCGATCACGAAAATTGACACGATACCTGCGACTGCAACTGCTATTGCATAAGTGAGGAATCCTACGTAAAAGAAAGTGATAGTGATAGTATGTGGTTGAGTAGTTCAACTTCTGGTAGAACAGCGTAGAAGCGACCAAGGTACGACCTCGGAAAGTGAGTTTTGAAAACCCTGTGCGCATATTTGCTCACTGATTAGGAAATAAAGAAGGAGGGGGGGGGGGGAGGGGCTTCAGACGCAATGCTCTAAACTTTTGAAGTTCATTGTGTTTAAAACTTTTTATCAGATATATTGAATGTGTGAATATATATAAATTTGTGAACAGAATGGTATGGAAAATGGTTACGTTAAAAAAGGTAGGCAAGAACAACCCACACATTTCGACTTTGCAGGAGTCATATGCTAGAAGAGCTATGGGAAGCGAGTGGGTGTTTTATCGTGCTCTAGATTTTGCTTTGATGGAAAGTCCAACAATTAAGAGGTATTGCATACTCAGCACTCGCGCATAATGCATACAATTGTCACTTGCTCTCACATAAGAAGTGAGTGCATCTAATTGCGTTCGGAAGGATTAATTTTCTGCTGTTTACGTGAAAAACTTCCAAAAAAGTAGCAAAATCATCGACACAGAGTACAATTTTTAACTACGCTTAAGAAAGAAGGTCAGTTTACATCTTTTGTGAAGACATCGACATTTATTGTAGAAACGAGAATAAGATTTTGCCAGTGGAGATGGTTACACCTAAGCACACGCATAAAAAAGTCTACCTACTTACAAATTGCTCGAATTTGCAATGTCTACAATACCTAAGGTATTACAAAAAGGAGAAATAACTACCCAGTGAAAAGAAGAGGAGAGTCTTCCGTTCAGAAGACACACTATGCGGATCACAGTGCGATGATGCTTATGCAAAAGGCCCTATATCTGAGGTCTTTAAAATAAACCAACCATTGCCTTTATTATGCAACCACAGTAGTGATAGCACAGCCATGAGCACAGCTGCAGAGTGGAGACAACGAAAGTGGTCATACACAATAGCCCTTAGTATCCATCCGACACAAGAGACGATTAGTAGTCCTGGGGTTCCGCAACGAGTGCTACGCCATATCCTGTACTCGGAATGGTTCTTGGACCAAGGGCCACTCAATATAGTGTCAAGATGTAAGTGAGTTATGGTGGAAAATAGGTGCAACCCGATCGGACTAAGCACCGGCAATCAGATACTATAGGTGAAATTCCCACATGATTAACTAATTGCCTTCTAACTTATTGCTCTTTGGGTGCTTTCTGTGCGCGAGATGTATAAAAAGAATTGAAGAAATGCATAAAAAACCATTCAAAGTTCAAGAGACGGAACATTAAGAGAATTCACTTCAATGGCAAGTGGCGTTTTTCATCACGGACTTTACTAGGTCATGCAAAGTGTAGTTGAATTCTAGGGGGATAGTAGAGATAGTACTCGACCACTGTTATTGATAATTTTCTCATGTATGCACTTACAAATACTTTACTTCCATGTAGATTCGTAATGATAGACGACTCAAAAATTAACTTCCAAGCGATCAGACTTCTAATATTAAGGACAATGATGAGAAGGCAAACAGGAGACGAAAAACATGAAATTAAAAAATCACGACATTTGATTAAGGGATGGCTAAATTATTTAGGATTAAGGCCCAATGCTGTTTTTTCATTTTGCTTCGTGGGACAACTATCATTGACACCTAGATGAAATATAGGAAAAACCAAGTTATTTTTTACCGCCTTAAATGAGAGGTGTCATAAATAGAGAGTTATCTTGCAAAGGGGCGACAAAAAGGCAAAAGGTGAAATTAATGAAAAACGATAGATATCGTGGTGTATTGTGACATTGAGAGGGCACAAGGAACGAAATATGCTAGGCTTGCTTTATATGACCAATGCCTCAAGTGGGTTGGCCTGTGCAAGCACGCTCGTAAAGAAAAATTTCATTGATTCCTTTCAAGCGATGCGATCGAGGAGCCATTACAATCGGCACCGGCGGAATCTGCTTCTCACATGATGGCAGCAACACTTTCTAGCAAAAATGGTGTGCCGTTGCTTCGACCTCCATCAAGTTTACAACTACGGTCATAAATCACCCCATGCCACTCCTAAAGTGATTATTTTTCAATAACAAAATCACAATTTGCGTAGTCCTTTGCCGTTTGAAACTCGACTCAAAAATGCACGAATATTCAATATTTATGCTCTGTAAAGCTGGTACGATTGACCTAAAACCCTTTGGTAAATACTTGGCGGGAAAGAGCATAGAGGCTTAAAATTTAGCGTATTCGTAGCGGAAGTGCCATTAAACTACGCACACAATTATTGACAACCCCCACAGACTTGCGTGAATTTCGTCTTTTTTCTCCATAATCAACGTCAATGGCAACAGAGATGCACAGGAAGGTAATAACTCCCGGAATGGTGAATTATTCTAAAAAATCAAAGAAGTTTACCAACGAAATGATTATTCATGCTTTGAAATTTAAGGTCAAAATATCCTGAAAACAAGGTCCAAAAGAATGATGAGAATGCGAGTGTAAAACCTTAAGCCAAAAACATTAATCACGGACACATGGAAGTGCTCTTCCGCACTGGTCCAAAGAACAGATTACGCGAAATTCGAGTCAACCGTCTTTGAAATGGTATCGACGATAACACACCTCTAGCTATATTTTAAGTATTCTAATAACTTGTGCCTAGCCAAATCATTTTTAAAGAAAGTTCTCAGTATTTAAAGCAAAACTATCTAAAAGTATTTCTTGTAACTTTAAGTTGTCTTAGTGCAAAGGTTATCCAAATTGTAAAGTTACTAGTTCGAGAATCACTTTGACAAATTATACCTCAAGGATTGGTGTAAGTGATTTCTGGAGTCAATGAAAGGTATGTGTGAACCATGCGTGCACACCCATTTTCATCTAATATCTCTTAAAATTGGTCAGAAGCACTAGAAAGGACACTGCAATTCCTGTCACTTATGGTCTTGCACACAAATCGCCAAATTAAACAGAGAAAGAAAATGAGAGTGAAAGGGGTCTTAAATGTCAACGGTCAAAAGATCAAACAGGTAAACTTATCCCGATTCTTTAACCTCACAGTGTGATAGTAGAAACAGGATCCTACATGCGTATTCACATTAGTGTCTTTCCACGGTACTGTAAAATGAAAAATAATCAAAATTTCAAGACGGAGCACGACAATGTATCAGTGAGTTTCCGAAATCCGGGATTCATAAAAGGCGACATAAAAATCTGAAGGCACAAACCTTGAGAAGAAAACGAGGAGACAAGAGAGCAAAAGATACTGAAGCCCACCTGGATCCATGACCTTAATACTGAGTTCATGGAGTGATTGAACTTCCTGTTCCTTGGGAGCGTGAAGGACAACCATAGTCGAGCCGCAGATGCAAACAACGCAGCCAATTTTGCCGATGAAATTGAGACGCTCACCAAGGAAGTGAGAGCTAAAGACTGCTGAGACAAGGACGGAGAGACCTCCCATGGGGGTTACGAGAGAAGCGGGTGCGAAAGTGTATCCCGCGAAATTGGCTGCCTCTCCCAACCCCATGAGGATAAGCCCCAGCCACCAAACCCAGTCACAGAGGTACTGGTAACCACCATCGCCTATGATAACCGATTAAAGCGTGATGAATAAAATAGCGTTAAAATGACTCCATGATTTACCCCAATCATCTAAAATATACTTGTTATAATTACTATAATTATAATGACCTCCAATTCAATTAAAATAGACACTATCTCGGCTTTTCCGTGGTAAAAATCCCATCAAGTCAAGGGAGAAAAGCAACAGCAATTACTCAAAACTTGTCTTTCCATTGAGAATGATTTCGTCGCATTTGAGTAACGCATTTGAATTCTTATCAGGCCTGAGACTAATGTACATATATAAACATAACAATGAGTATTATAATGGTTGTTATACAGTAATATTGATAATGACAGCTGATATTTCTAAAAAAACGTTGTACCCTAATATCATTACACAATATCTCCAGTTTCCTGCGGCAAATTTTGTTATTATTTGTCCCCACCGTTTACGTGCATGTAAAGAAACGCCTAATAGATGGAATAGGGCCTTTACTGTTACCCTACATGAAATCGGAATCCGACCCTAGAATTTTATTGCGCACAAAATAAAATCTTATCTCAGTTACATAAAAGATGCACAATAGAAAATCGACCTATTAATTTTGGCGAAGGGTTTTGTAGGCAATACAGTACTGTCCCTCTCAAGAGAAACTATCATCTCAGATTCCATGGCCCAAATCTTTTCTATAAAATACCAGCAATCCTAACTTGATGTAACGGATGTCCATCAATGCAAAAATAGTTAGATACAAGAATCAAGAGTATCGTGAACAAAAATGACGTTTAGGTAGAGCACAATTAGGATGATTGAGAATATGCAGCACGTTATTAGTCTAAGTTACTGAAGGATATAAATCGCGCCATCAAATGAAATAGTGAATATAAAATGGGATTTTCGGCATTGAAATCCTCACACAAGTAAGCCAGAATTTGATTTTTAGTGAGCGGTGACTTAGTTCAGATCAATGAAGACACATTACTGCGACTGGCACTATGATTCAGTTTGATTTAACTATATTAAGGGATAGAGAGTGATTTCAACAACTAATTCACACTAATTAACTACGAATTACAAAGCTCTGTGAAGCTATTTGCTAATTATAGAAGCAAACTGTAGTCCTAATCTAAGAACAACGCGTAACCCCAAAAATGAACTAATAAATGGTTGAAAATTAAGCACGCTGTCTGTACAAATCACAGAGGGTAAGTCGAATTCTATGTGGAAGGAACACTACAGCAATATATGAGTAAAAGTGTATACTTACCTGCTCGCGTACCTGTCGCAGCCAACCTTCGCAAGGCAATCTTTTTAACGATAAAACTGCAGCCTATGAATATAGTTGATGCCAGAGCCAAAGACAGTCCAATGTAAAAGTGAACATCCGACTGAAACATTTTTCTGACTAAATATTTTAAACGACAGCACGTTCCTAAATTAATCAAGACAGCCGGCCAATGGTGAGAAGAGCGACCTCAAAGATGAATGGTGGCAATTGCCTCAGGCAATTTCAAACAAACCCCTAGGTTATTGCAGATATTTAAAATCATCTACACCTGAATGTATTTTAATGCCAAAATTACAAAGTCTAAATGGATCGGGCATGTGTTACCTGTAAATTGCAAGAATGGCACCTATGCATAAGAGTATTATGCTAATCAAGTGACTTTGAGATATGTTCATGTATTTTTGTCACATGACTAGAGCTTTTCTGGTCTTACTATCTTAGAGTGTGTCTTTACTTAACGGTAGGAAATAACCTGATCATGTAATTTACCGCGTACTTGTCATCAACTTTGCGATTGGTCTTCTGCACATTTAGGGCTTGATTGAAATGCATTTTTATCTGCTACTAGGTATATAAACATGATGAGCAATACTTTCCAGTCTTTTTGAATCCCAGAAAAGGCACCGGAGTCAGAGTATCTACCTGACGAGGGTCACGTTGGCTCTGCAATATCAGGAGTGCAAACCTCTTTTTTCCCTTAGTTTTACTGCAGGGAAACAGTTGTTGAATTCGTCCCTAATAGTCGACATATGCTAATTTAATAAACTACTCTAACGCTTTGATATTCTAGGCTAGACATGTTATTCACTTGTATCTCAACTTGGCGACTGTATAGCATCAACACAACCGCTGTTTTCAATGTCGACTCATGTGATTTTAGGATTTTTTCTTCAAAAATGCATTCCAGATCCAGGATATCGTTGTAGTGTAACCATCGGAGACTTCCGTGAAAACAAAAAGGACATTTTTCTCGGGCAGAATATGCATTTTCAACACACAGAAATGATCAGGAATACCGACTTGACCTGGAGGCCAGGCCACCCTACGGAGGAGCCATGGCGGAGCCCCTAAGGCGTTCGTTGCAAAAGCCAACGGTTAAACAAATAATTAACGTATAGCGATCTTTTAACCAGACTAACGCTTAGTTCCCTGAACTATCCCATAATCTGTACTTACGCAATAAAACACTTTTCTGCCTATTTCAGTATATTTAATCCCAAGCTTTCGCATCAAAACTACATTAATTAGTCCAGCCCTTGTAACTTTCGACACTACGTTTTGCATAGTATTTTCAAATTTTTGACTCCAAGACCTTTAAATAAACATATTGGAGCATCGTAACCACTTCTGACGTAACACCAAAGGAATACGTTCAGACGGTAACTCTCCTGCATGGGTACACATGGCTAAACAATAGGCCATGGTATGTGCTTTTATCAACTTTGATACGTCGATGGTTTGGGTGCCCACTCGCAATGTTAAAAACTGTAGCGCATTTTCATTACAAAGTGTGGCCGTAAAAACAATAAAGACGGTTCAGATGAATAATATTAAGTAAATCAGCTTTTACCGTATAAGGCATCCTGTTGCACTTTTCTTCAACAAATGAACTGAAAACCATCCTTGCACTTTCGGATTTTTCCATGACGAATAGCCTACAATGTATTAATTTACTTTCACGTTTGCGTGATTCTCTGCCTCCAAATTTTGAGTTGCACTATTTATCCTAACAATTCATGATTAGTGCTGCTATCCTCATCTCCTTATGAGCATAAGCAAAAGCCTACATGAACGAGGAGTAGATTTATTTAGTGGAAGTGGCGTATGTCCACCATTATTAAGGTGCCGTTTCATATTCACATTCGTATTTTCTGAGTTATCATTTCCATTTAAAATAGTGACTTACAAACAGGTCCAAACGGGGATCGTGGTTTCGCACTCTCCTGTAGGACAATTCCAGTATTTTTCAAGCGCATAAATATGCGTTTTCAAATGGGTTTTGGAATAAACTATTCCAAAATGTCGATTTTCAAAGTGATTCTACCATAAACTGTGGCATAGTGCGGCGTTAATAATTCATTTATTTTCCAAATAGCCTAATTAAAATACCAAATCTCTTCTCTTTAAAGTACTTAACTTCATGATTCTAGGCCAACTATTAAATACGGAACTCTGAAGGGATTTCACTACGTCTTTCTGCTTTGAAATCCCCAAATGCCCACTTGGCGCCTTATCTAACGGAACCAGTTACATCATCATGCAACCAACTCAAAGACTGACCTCCGGGCTAACAGAGATCGCCTCCGAATATTTGGGGACAGGGAAGCTCTCCGACTCTGTGCTGGTAAAACTAGTCCCCTTTGGGAGTGCGCCAAACCAGTAAGGCCTTCCATACCCGTTGGATTAAAATAAGCATATGTTATTAAAACTCGCACTCCCCGGTGGAGCTTTACAATCGACATGTTTTGGGTTGCACATTGGGTCTAAATCATGAAATCTAGATTTTGTTGAAGGAAATCGTCGCTCATCCATGCAGTATGTTCTACCCTTTATCAAAAAATATCAACAGAAACTTGGGTAGAATGGAATAATAAATGGCAACCCTTTCGAGGAAAATGCCAAAACAACTCAGAGAATCAGTGAATTAGTGTGATCGAGATGTGGGAAGTCTAACACACGTCTTACCTGCGTTCCGTAGCAGTCTCACAGCACATCAACAACTAAAAGAATAGAATGATCGTTCGAGACCTTTCTACAATCGTGTTTCTCATCATAAGTTTTGGGGTAATAACCTAGCGATTGTAGATGTTCTGATTATTTAATTATGAAATCCCATCATATACAATTTTCAGTTTATACTTGCCTCCACATTTCAGTTGGTCGAGAAGGCTTTTTATATGTTGAAGACTTCTCCACCTTATTTGGGTCCAAACTTGCATCTGGTCGATACAGGCTATCCTGTTGGATAGACAGTCAAAATAGGTCAAATTTGGCTTGTTAATAACGAGAAACTAGTTGGTCCAAGTACTCTCCCGCGCTCACCTCTGGCGCAAGCACTCCTAATGCCACAGCGCGCACACACGCACGAAGATGCAGACCGCGCGTCCATTCGACCGTGGGACCTTATTGGCCGCTTGACGAGACCGGGAGACCATTGGTCAAGATGCAAGCACTTGCGTGCAATCACACGGGCGTGCACCGTACTTTGGGTATGGCAGCACCAGCAGCAATGCCAGCACATCGATTGGTGGCGAAAACGCGGCAAGGTATGATGTGCTGGTCGTTCGCGTTGTGAACTCGTCTGTGGCTAAAGATACAACCATATTGAGGTGTTCTGAGTGTTAGCGTTAACTTCATGGTTAAGTGAGCAACACCATAAAAGTAGACCATCAAGTCAATGACATGTCTGCCAACATTCGGGAACTCATCTTAAACATCTTTCCTTTTTAAACAGTTGGAGGTCCAGAGTGAACAAGATTTATGTCAGTGATTGACATCGCCATATGACAAACCTTTCTAAAGGAACGTATTTTCATCAGTGGGAATATATGCCAGAAACGAATTATCTAAATCCTTCTAATGTAGCCTGAATCGCAATTTAGAAACGCCCCATAGCTTCTTCAAGACACAATTCACATTTAAAGGTGAAACATTTGTGTAACAGGGTACACAGACCAAACTTTGTGTGAACTCTCTAACCTGATGATTCATAGTCTGTTTTGATGCTATTCTCAGTGGCAATAAGACCATTCGTCGATATCTTGATGCTAACAAAAATGACCATAAACAAGATGAGGAGGATGCAAAAACAAAAAAATAATATCCTGTGTGTATATAGTGCCACCTCGGTCTGACAAGTTCAAAAAGAAGTGAAGCTGATTACTTGAAAGCGTATCTAGGTGGTTTGGGATAAGATAGTCTCAAGCATCAGCAGAAAAACGTTCACTTTTATGGAGCTTTCACAACATTTAAATTGGTGTGTGTTATTTACCTATTCTTGGTTGAATTGACCCAATTTGTATAGGGTACAGTAGATTCCCTACAGTCGATGGTTTTTTGCGCTCCTCTGAGCTCGGTTGACCATTTGGAGTGGCTCGCCGGACAAATCCATTTGCTCAGGTAGTGACTCGATATAATCTGCGGCCGACCATTCCAAGATTTAAAACTATTAGCCACTCAGTAACTCCAAAAACCACTGGAGGTGTCATGCATATTTTTGCTAGACTATGGTAATCAATCAAGTGAGGATGCAATACTGACAACCGATGCGTCTATGTGGTAACAAATAACAGATGACTTGGGGAACTGGCCTTAAATATTACGATTTTAAGAAAAGGCAGGAAACGTCAGAACACAATCCGTGTGCGGCTAGGATTGGCTATCACATTCACACAACCAGAGCAAATCCCATTGATACAAGCGTCTACACGGCAACATCCACTATGAGACTGACAATTCAAGCAGTGTGTTTTTATTCTCAAATAATAACATGGAGAGCGAATAATGAAGTGAGATTAAAATAGAGCAAAAGGAAACTATGATAGGGACGAGAATAAATGTGCAAAGGAGAAAGTTCGTCTATTTTACTCTGAACGATCCTCTCTAATGGTGAAAGAAACAATGATAAAATAAATTGACGGGAAGAGAGGATTCAAATGGCACGGTAAAATCACGGTCACAATAATTTAGCCAAAATAACGCCAGGATCGGTGGGATGTTCGGCGAGAGAAAAGCGCGATAAGGCGTCGGGTGTGATATCACAGGTCGGCTGCTACGCATGACAATAGTGATGACAGAAATGAATGGAGTGCAGCTTAATCGTCTTAACAGAAAGACTAAGGGTATTTGAAGGGGGGGTGGGAAATGGGGGACTTCGATTGTAGACTTTCTGCTCTATCGGGAGCTATTATCTGTATTGGTTGTAGCACTTGGCCCACTTCCATTATCCTGAGGCCGGTAGTAGGTATCGACCGGCGAAGAAGGCTGCTGTTGCTGCTTTGGCTGTTGCTGTGAGGCTGGTGGAGGCGCGGATTGAAAGGCGGGAGATCCAAATGGGGATGAAGAGGCGGTTGCTTCTTGAAATGGCTGCGTTGGAGGTGAGACTGTTGTTAGCTGTGGTGACACTCCAGGCCTCGATCCATTTCCCCCACAGCCACCACCCCCGAACCTAACCCAAGATGCCAAGCTTGTTAGCGAGAGAAGCCCATAAGCATTTAGCACACGCATGGCGCGAGTGATTTCCTCCATCGCTTCCTCGGTGAAGCCAGTCGAATGAAGAAGGCCTCGCACAGCGTCTAGGCTGATGGGGAAGGGCGGAGACGTAGGTGACGACCAAAGACTGGCTCCACCCGCGCCTCCGCCATGAGGCAGCGAGGCTGCACCGAGAAGGCTCTGGGGTGCTGTTCCACGCCCATTTAGCACACGACGGCTGACAGCAGCACTTGCCTCCACTCTCCCATTAACTGCCGTGGGGGAGGATAAGGGACCACCACAACTAGCAGCGCCGCCTCCACTGTGATGATGATGCTGCTGCTGGAGTGGATGCATAAAACACCTGCCTGGGGGAGAGCAAGAGGACAGACCCGAAGTGGTGGAAGGGTGGTGGTGAGGTGGACCAGTGGGAGGCGCGCTAAAGAGGGCGTAAGGGGAACCTGTGGGGTAGGCGCTGGCCACAGGACCAGTGACGTCTATGTAGGAAATATTGGGACAACTCGATGACAAAGGGTCTTCAGCAATCTTCGTGAGTAGAAGCCGCATCGTTTCGCGAGTTTGATTCAACTCACCTAAGAAATTATCAACGGAACAATGATAAACAGAAAGTATTTGCTTAGACCACATTTTTGCACTTCAGTAGACCAATTACATATCAGTAATATCCATACTACAGCGAAAACACGTGTCCCAAATAAAGACTGTGGTACTGTGTGAAGACTACGTGTTTATGACTAGGTTTCAGGTTTCCCGCTTTAAAAAAATCGAGAAAATGTTAAACTGATTGAGTTACTTCGTCTAAAAAGCAGTTACGAGTAATCATTTTTAAATAAATAATCCGTTACTTATGGCAGTTTTGTCCCCATATATAAGTAGTCCATAAATGCTACTTCGACTTCATCACCCCTCTGAAATTCACCTCAGAAAGGCGCCATTGACGTGAGGCCATGTATTTTTGGAACCACAGAGCCTAGAGTTGAACGATTAAGATAGCACAGCCTTTATCAATACAAGGATTTGCAGCAAATACAGCAGTACGAGGGGTTACACTAGGGATAATACGCCAATTCACACTTAAAAGAGACACACCGAATGTCAATGAGTTCGATTACTTGGCCTGAAAACATTCCTTTAAAAATACCTGAATTACCCATTTATTTGACAGGTAACTTGACAAATGATGGAATCCTTAACGATTCACATGGTACACAAATTAGGCTACAAATTGTAAATTTTTTGATAATAGTTCCATAATTTAGACACAAAAATAATGATAACGAAAATAGAACGTGCAATATGACAGCCGGGCGACATGACCGCAGTATTCTGTGAATACGACTCCAATTCGTTTTCCAATGCAAAAAAATATCACAAGTGTGCCAAAAATTTAACTATTACCAGTTAATAAGTACACCAGAAATGGGAAGAGTATATTGCAGAATAAATACTTGAGACTTCTACAAAATTCAATGCACAATATAATTCCAGAAAATACGCCTCCAAATTATAGGTACTGAAATTAAAAACCACCTACAATCAATTTTAAAGTTGCCTCAAAGTTCGTAACCAAAGATTGAGACAACTTATCTTGATTTCAAAATGACTCACCTCCAACAGTAATGCACCGTTCAGCAAGGCTCATTTCTCTTGATTTCTGAGAAACTTGAATGAAAGCACCAGTCTTGCTCTTGATTTCTTTTATAAAACTTCCACCTTTACCAATGATCATTCCAGCAGTGCTATTGGGCACTAATATTTTTACCTAGCAGCAGAAGAAAAAACAACATCATTTCAAATGCTTTATACAGCCATATCACCTCAATTAAACGAAATGTAGGAGTGAATGATAGCACCCATATGATAAATAGAACACATTCAGCTGGAAACAATGACCATGGAAATATACTGAACAAAAAGTAAAATCCCTTACTTGCTTGTGACGTTCATAGGGAACTCGGCCATCTGCGACCATACGAGAAGCCGTTTCAGGTTTCTCATATATTTTTTCAGAAATGTAATCATAGACTTCAGTAATAGCGGCCGTGGTTCCAATAATTAAGCAAACTCGTTCATTTGTTCCTGAGAAAATTACACATCATAAAGTAAAACCTGGATAAAAATCGTTAGCTTTGGACATCTTGACTTTAGCACCAGTGCAATTTTGTATATTAGTGATAGCTTCTCCATTTTTACCAATAATCGCTCCTGCAGCCACCGAAGGCACGAGGATTTTAAGATGTGCATTGTCTACTAAATATAAAAAAGAGATATTTGCCATTTACTTTTGCATTGTTTGACCAAACTGAAGTCCTTACTCTGAGGGACATCGACTTCGACATCTTCGGCAGACTCATCCCTCACATCGCTGTCCGAGGCAGTAGGCAGCTCAGCCTCGCCTACCGAAGTCATCTTAAAATCATTCCCAGACATAAAGCGCGCCTCCAGCTCATGTATTTTATAACACGGAATGACTTTGAGGGTGGCGGAAAATTATTACCAATATTAATTTTGTTCAACAAAGTGCAAAGCAATTTAAGCTCTTTCATTTTAAATTATCCTAAAACGAATATTGTGTTAAAGATTAGTTTTTTAGTTTGAATCCATGACACATATTTAGGAATACCACTAATTAGCTCATAATTTGAATCCGGGTCAGGTTAGGCACAAAAAAGACAAACTTGTTTTAGCGTTTTGAGACAACCCTGAAGCCGAAAGAAGACACAATACTCGGGCAGAATATGTATATTCAGTACAGCGAAGGTGTTTGAGTTACTAGCATGGCCCAAAGGCCAGCCCACTCAGCGAGGTACAAGAAGGTAAATTCAAAAGTTCAAAAGTGGGGCCCAACCAATACCGAGGGATAAACCACCATCGTATTACACCACCGTTTGTCGATTCCTATTTCTTCAGGAACTCCCTCCCCCAGCTATTTGATCGAATTTCGCGCCCCAGTAAATATGCAAATTGTCGTTAATTTTAAAATTATTGCTAATTTTTCCTACACACACAGCATGGCAAGCGCCTTGTCGCGAGAGGTATACCGTTTTTAATCAGGATCTTAGTCCTGGTTGTGGGTGTGCGCTGGGGTCATCAATAACAAGATGGAAGCACTCAGAAGGCATGAATGCAATCATTGTAAATTTATATGTCCTTGTAGTCCCTATTCGCATTATTATTCACCTTAATACTTCATTATTGTCAGTCACTTGGACTGCTTCAATGGTATGGGTGAATATTAAAGGTGTGCTATTTTTCAATTTGCTAACTGATAGTAAATAAGGAGAAAAAACTATTCAAAATCTTTTCTGTAGTGCCCTGTCTGATGATCAACTCTCTTGCCGACTGCTATTACTCAGAGGAAGGCAAGCAGAAATTATGGTAATTTGGGCCAAAAGATAGTCGTAGGGTTGAAGATCGAGTCAAAGCAAAACGAAAAAAAATCCTAAGAACTAAGTCTGAAAAGTGCAATGGCCATAACTCCATATTATATCATAGTGATAAAAGGACGAAGGTGGGGGGGGGGGGGAGGTTTTAACCTCATCTCGATAAAAAAATATTTAGCAGGTAGGTGATTGGAAAAGCCATGGAACCGTGGGGATACATCAATACATTTTAGAAATTGGTGGCGATAAAACGCGAATTTGATGGTTGCATGAAGTTGACTTGTATTCCAAGTAACATCATCTTAGATTCCGGATGCGCATACTTCCGCCTTCGATTCCTTTTACTTATTTTCATCATCGAACACCTATGTGCCTGAAAAATGAATTAATTTGATAATCATTCACTACACTTACAATAAGCGGGGATTTGAGCTGGTGAAATATCCGGATATCCAAGCGCATGATCGGCACTGACCAAGATGCATGCTATTCGTTATGGCTAATGAAAACAATGCTGAAAATCATGACATATTTACCTTGCTCTGCAACCCTGCCATTAATATTCTTGTTGATTAGTCAATAACTTTGCCCAAAGTTCCACAAATTAGATCTCGAACGCTGATCACAATTTCCGCCAATATCTGGGTATTTCTTTGCATTAGCAGCAATAGACCCGAACGTCAATGCTCATTTAAACCCTCAACGCTACAAGATCAATTAAGTTTATTTTTATAATTCATTTTCTGGTCGGGCAGCGAAATTCGTACTGCTACGATCACAAAGTAACGGAAGATTAGCAAATCTAGCATTTTTCTTCGATTGTCGTCTTTTTCAATCACAAAGCCATTTAGCCTTACCGACTACCTAGTTGAGAGCATCGTAGCACCAGTTGTTATTATGGGAAAAATTCGGAGACTACGCACCGAATGGAAGAACTTTCGGTCGCTGTAGTTCGTCTTGGGGTTTTAAGCCGCCCTCGATATCGTAGCTGATGACTAACACCCAGTTTACTCTACTCAAACTTCGGCTAATTAGTCACCATTCGGGTTGTGTGTGTGTGTGACTGAAATGGGCAGGACTTATCAAATGACTGTTTTGACAATGGTGATATACCACCTTCGTGTTTACCACCTTCAGTTGAAGTAAAGTATTATAAAAACACTGCAAACCTACCCATTTTAGCTATCTTGTAAAAGTTATCGGCATTCTAATGTTGACTGCCTAAGTGGGTGAAACAGTACCCAAGTCCAAACATTACTATCCTAAGGCGCACAATTGGCTACTTTTCCCGAGTAACATGTTTTTTTTGAAACTTCTGAATTTACGGCCTCAGATTTGCATAATACACAATTTAAGGTATATGTAACTGGTTTTATCGAATTCAAAGCATTGCACAAGTCTAAAGCTGGTGATATAGGCCCAGTACTTAGTCTACCACTAGGTTTTATCATTGGTGAATGGTGTGCCAACTGCTGTCTCAGGTGTTTTCGGTATGCCATCCTTTAAGCCTCCGTTTGAAAACCCTTTATTTGAAACCTTTGGTAGCGGTCGTATTCACCGTTGTTACGTAATCATTTCCATTATTTTTAAAGGCCTCAACTTTCGTCACAAAATGTGGGGGTCTGATGATGCTGCTGGACCAAGGTGGGGCTACACGTTCAGTGACGGCGCCATAAAACTCATCCCCGTCATCCTTTTCGTTTTTAGCCCAGTGGCCGTGACTCACATCCAAGCCACCCATCAGATGGCCGCCAACGTCACGTCTGAAAATAATGCATAACAGAGGATAGAGAGCGTGGTATGTAAGACCAGCACTGAATGTAACTCTGTGAAGCGTAGTTGCCTGGGTAAAATGGAGGTAAGTGCCGAAGTGAAAAACAAAGAAGAGAATGAAAAAGGGACTCCATAGAAGCGCAGGGAGAAGGTTGTTCATAAGGTACATCTGTTGAATGGAATTATATGTGAGGAGATGAGTGGCATTCGGGGACTCGGCGAGGGCATTCAGCATGTTTATGTAGAGATAGCGGGTGAAAAGAAGCGGCAAGATGAAAGTCACGGCTACGTGGTGGGCGACAACAAGTTTTTGACTGCCAGTCGCATCACCATAAAGGCGGAACATGTCTATGGTCTCGAAACAGAGCATGTGCCTTCCCGTTTCAGTGGTTAGTGAGTGCACGAAATCTGCCACAACCGCTTGCACGACGTAAAAGATGAATATACAAACTAGTATTACCCACTGACCATGGCGGCGGTAGACAGACGGGAAGATGAGGCGAGTAAAGAGGTACCAAGCCTCCATGATCGTGAGGGCCATACGGATGGTGAAGCAGACCCAGAATGCGGGTTTTGAAATCAATACTGCACAACCCATCCACCTCTGGCGCAAAGAATTGTGCACTACCCGATATATCTCGCCCAATGCATAGAAGAAGCAGGCCAACGAGTCACAGCATCCCATCCCGATAGCGAACCAAGCAAACGGAGAGTACTTCTTGAGGAGCAGACGCATGATAAGTGAAATGTTCAAAAGAAATCCGATTACAGCTACCACAACCGCAAACCAATGACCACTAATTGGTGGGAATTTCACAGGTACCTGGCTTCGAGGTGGAGGTGCGTTGAGCCCACCGCGAGTTTGCCAGTGTTCTAAGTATAACCGAGAAACCGATGCTTTCCCTGACATTTACTGAGAGAACGAGACAAAATTACATCAGGTCGCCTGCCAGTTTACAACCCAACCCACCGACCACGTGAGTAGCCACCTTCAGATGAATCGATAGCAAAACGGTGACGGGAGCGAACTAGGAAATTGCTCCCTCATTCTCCCAAAAACCAACTATCCTCATTCCATATGGTCATTATTCTGACATTTTTACCGTGAGGTGCTAATGCAGCACAGAGGACGATGGATAGCTGCACCCACTTCGGCAGTTCATTGGGCATGGAGATGCTTAAGCTGCATTTGATAGATGTTTGTCAAAAGGGCGGACAAACAAGTTCACACACTCCCACCCCTTGATATCTCTGAAAAAACCTCAGGTAAAGATATTTCAAACGGATTATTTGTAATCAAAGTAGTTAATTTACGCATAAGTGACGAAGATTTGAGCTTTATCAGCGCCTTGCTGAGAGTGGCATGATTACAGACTTAATGCATCAGCACTCCAGCACTCACTGCTTCGGCCACAAAGGATAAAACGCAAGTAGAGTATAAGATTATTTACAATGACGCATTTCACCCAAGAAACCGTGAGAATTTACACTACGCATATTGCCTTACATATCGAAGGAACACGATCGCAATTTGGAATAATGACAAACAAGGGCTTGATTTCAGATTAATGAAGGAGACACTTTAGGATTTAAGACATCGAAGTCGCCTGGTAAGGCCAAAATAGGTTCACAAAAGTGCAAATACATATCTAGTAGTTACAGTAAAGGTGAGTTGGGAGATGGAGGAGGAAATGTGAAAATGCGAGTAAAAAGTCGATGGCACATCGAGTCTCGAAAGCAAAATTTACAGAGAAACTGAGACCTTTGTACAGTAATCAATAATAGCTATGTAATTGAGATCTCAGTCATCCTATGTCAGAAAAACACGTGCGAGGACGTAGAAAATGCCTTTTTCTCACTCATGGTTAAATTGTCTTCACCTTGTGTGCATATCACTGAACGCTCGCACACATATGGGTATTTACAGGAGAGCAGGATAAGCCCGTGAATGGCTGGCATGCGAAGGAGGCTGAGGTTGCAACTGCTGGTGCAAGTGACTCGGGACCCCCACTGGCGGTGGCATATAGTACTGCTGCTGTGCTTGAGATGCTTGCATTGTTGCCGTAGGAGGCATCATCATGACATCGCTGTTACTACCACCGGTGCTATTTTGAGATTGTTGAACGTAGAAATCGCCTCCAGCCATCACTTGAACCTGTTGTTGTTGCTGCCAACGCTGCTGCTGGTAGGTCATATCGCCCATGTACATTTGAGAGGACGAGGGGAGGAACTTTTTGGTGGCAGTGGTTGTGCAGGTGACGGCGGAGGAAGAGGTGGGGGCGGTGGGGGCTGGGGCAGAGGACGGAAGCTCGGCATCCACTCTGTAAGTCACAGAAGTGCTCGAGCATGCTGGTGAGGCGTATTGAATGTGTAGTTGCTCGCGATAGGGCCCGCGAGGCTGGGCGTTCGCGTTGGAGGCGGAGACGGAGTACGTAGTGGCACCTTGGGGAAAATCGAAGGGATTTATACTGTCCAACTGCTGCGCCTGAGGAACATCCACTAAGGACACCGGGAAGCCCTGCGGATACTTCTGAGTAGTGGCGACCCCACTGCCCACGTACATCCCATAAGGCAATGCCGTCATCTCCCCTAATGGAAAAATATGACGCTAATAGAACGGAATTGTTCCATGTTAAAAGTTGATGTGCAAATTATTATTTAGTTTACAAAGCCGATGTGGGCAGGAAACAGGCCATTGAAATACGACACAAAATATAGAATTCCTGCCGTTTGAAGAACGGGAAACAGAATATGAATAATAATTTGTACACAATTTCTTAAAGGGAGGCTAGAAAGTGCTGGTTTTCTAGTCATTTTCCTACCCAAATATAGTGGCAGATTGATTGAAATAGCCATGCGTTGGGGCAAAATGATGGCGCATCTTAATCGCTCGTGTGGTCTGGCAATCAAGACACGATTGGCTAAGGGCACGAACACTCACGGTCGTAGAGTAAGCCAAATCATAACTTTGTCGAGAAAGTGGTAGGTCGCATAATACGACTGAATGTGCGCGTCACCACTCGCACGCGCAGGAAGCGAGACGCAAGACAAAAACAACAATGGCGATTACGATAGTACCGAAATACGTCATCACAGGGTTAGCCACATCTTCAAAGCTCTCTCTCACACATAACCAGTACGATTCCCATGTCAGCACCTACCTATCAAAGTGGGACTTTCTAGCTTGAAGTACCGCTATTCGAAGGAACAAATGATACGCAGCAATTAAAACTTACTGCCAAAAAATTAATTAAAATTTGATTTTAATGCATATAAAGGTGAACCAATACCAAGACTCCAAGTACATCTACATCCACAGCAAAGTTCGTTTATACTCTAGTGGATGTAGACCTACAGCATTTCACAATTTAACTTCAAATCAAGGAAAAAGATGGTGAATTGACTAAAAATCCACCCTTAGGAGAAGGCGGACCACCAACGCATTCATAAAACACCTCATGAATAGAATTTCAGTCAAAAAAAAACACGAACACACTTCCAAAAAACTTTATGAATGACCCTAATTACAACCGATGAGCCAATAAGTAAACGAACCGGAATGAATCGCACCACCACTACTGCTTATTGCCATTGAGCCCTGTGCCATATTTGTCATAGGAAGCTGCGCTGGATGTGTTTGTGAGTGATCTGTTTTTTGCTCCCTTTGTTGTTGTTGTTGTTGCTGCCTGGGTGAAATTGTCGTCGCCCGATGCTCGGGTGTAACTGAAGTAGAAGTAGCGACACCGACGCCAACTGTTGAGGGGTTGGCTGATGGAGCTGTGGAGCTGGTGGCCACTGCATTAGGGGCCACCTGAGAGTGAGTGGGTGATTGAATTCTCGACACGGGTGGCGGAACGGTAGAGGCCGCTGATTGCGAAATTCGCGGCTTCCCGTTAACACCGAGAGAAACCGGCTGTGGTGGATACTGTCCTCCGACCACACTAATCGTGTTTGTTGATGTCATCGGAGGGGTAGAAGCGCCAGATGTAGCAGATGACGTGGGGATGACGGGAGCAGAGGAGGTGGGAAGGTATTGAATGGTATGGGGAGTCTTTGGCATTATTTGCACATTACTTGGGGGTTGTGGAGTACGCGACTCAATCCTCTGGTTCGGTGGAGGCTGTGGCACTGGGCAACCGTTGCTGCCGTAGTAGGGATGTTGTTGCATAAACTGAATCTGCATCTGAGCGCTGCAGCAGCCCCCGTTGATGTGTTGATAATTCATTTGTTGAACATTCAACTGTGCGTTGAAGAAGGTATTATTGACCTTAAACAGAGAATAACTTCTCCAGCGTAACTACGGAGGTATGTACCACACAAATGAAGAATTTTAGAAGTTCTAAATGCGCATAAATTAAATTGCTCTGCTGTAAAATACATCCTTCTGTACTCATATAACCTAGTCGCAAGAATGACCACTTGCATATAGCCATCTTCAAGGAATAAGACTACTCTAGCCCATCTTATTTAGTGAAACGTTTGAGCTGAAACGCAAATTTATCTTAGGGATGAAAAAACGCTTAAGGTTTTTTTAGTACTCATGAAAAGTTGCGAGCCGTTGTGTGCATGACGGTATCGCATGCACAATATAATGCTACCGTCCTTGTAAATGGAAAGACACGTATGTCCGAAACGCTCGCCTGCGCGAGCTACTTATCAGCCTCTCTGTCTTCACAAAAACGCCGACTCAAAACTTTCTAATGATAATTGAGTGCGGTGGTAGAAGTGCGCACCAGGCGCGCAACGAGATGCTGCTAAAGGAAGGAGTGACAAAGGGGGAGCGCACAAGCAACTGAATACACGAGAGCTCTGCGCGCACACGCGGAAAGAAGTATCCCTCTCGCACCCATCGATTAGAGGCATGAACGCGCACGCACATACACACGTACGCACGTGCGTGTACCCATGCACGCAGATTCAACGGAGTAGTTTCTCGATTCAGGTGACGTACGCACAAGCATCCTACCACACCGGCGAGGGGGCAAACCGGAGCAGGTAAACCTGTACCACCATCTGATGACTGCACGTTCACGCCACCATCACTGATTCGCCAGCTCTCGAGCCGGTCTGATGCACACGAGGCAGTAGGTAGCTAATTAACCCATGCGGACCACGGCGCTGAGGAGCGGTGGGACGCATAAAAAGCTGCGTCAGTTATTGAATAACTGCATTAAGACGTAGTGGACTGCACCAAATGCACTCAGTCTGGGAGACTAAATTATAGTCACCACTTCTACCATAAGAAGAGATAGGATAAATTAACATTGCCTAGCTGAGGCATCGTGAACCAAAGCATGTACCACACTAAATTCGCATGCTGATATTTGCTTTCAAGGCATAGGGGGCTAAATTAGAGAGAAGAATCGTAATTAGTGGAAATGGTTGCGAAATCTCATGTCCATACTCCACAAAACAGACTGCACACTCGTCCCAAATGAATGCGAACGCGCGAATTTCCACATTGCGCGCAAGTCACATGAGGCCAAATATTGCTCCCAAGCAAGCCCCCATTGATTACATGACATAGTGAGTTCATCTAATCGTTTTTACAGGTGAAATGAGCTACCACATTTCAAACAAACACTATTTATGTCAGCTGATAGACATATGGTCCCAAGGAGGCTAAGCAACCATTTCGCCTATTTTAGTTGAAAATGTCATGGTTTCAACACTGCTGTTTACGAAAGCGGGTAGGCTAAAGATGTCTCAGGCTCCACGGCTAGTGTTTCAATAATAATAATTCAACAGCGAAATAGTGGATGTCCTATCCACTAGATGCGGCCTATATTACCTGTATTGACTGAGGAGGGGGAAGTGGTTGCTGTGATGCAGACTGAGACGCCGCAGCAGAAGCGGGAGGCATAGAGTTTACAGTTGCAGAGGTTGTGGGAGAGACGGAAGTGGGACAGATGGGTGGAGCTGAAGTCGGTGTAAGGCATCGAGACGCAGAGGGGGAGGGATCCACAGCTGATCGTGGTTGATCCGAGGGTGTGTAAGAACCGCCGGGGCCTGGCGGCTGCACCTGATCCAAAGGTCGAACAGCGCCCACAGGTTGGCTAGGACCTGTGGAAAAGTGCTGCTGCGGCGAAATCTGTGGATGTGAAGTATTGAAATCCCACTGCTGAGGCGTAGAAAAATCGAACGGCATAAGAAACGCATAAATACCTGATTAATATTCATGGAAATAGTCTGTTTTTCGACCATCTAGTGAAGGGGAATAACTTAACGAAATTTAAAAATTCCGAGCTGTACCTTCATCCCACAGAGAAGTTTAAGTGGAATAGTGGAAATGCACGAGACTAAAACACTGGCAACAATACACAGTGCAGAATAAGTTTTGGGCTATCGCGCATGCGTGACATCAAGTAGAGTTGGGTAGGGAGAGATTTGGGACTCCATTCAATTTCCTCTAATAAATGTCTGTCTCCCAGCCAAATCATATTACTTACAATAAAATAAAAAGGCGCCTCTTTTCTTCGTTATTTTTAACAGGTGATTTATATATCACCACACAGATGTACGCTTACAAAGCAATTGGGCCCGGTGATTGTTCAGGACAAATAAAAGTGCACTCTACACCTGATATCAGCATATTCAATAGTATGAACAACGTTTTGAAAAAGGGAAGAGGCATGAGGCGCCTAAGCACGCTTACTCACCAATTAGTTCTAAAGAAAAGATCAAAGCACCAGGCATTCGGTTAAATAAAAAGCCGTCAATTCGAACAATGAAGATTCAAACTAATTCCATGTAAGACAGCGTACGGCTGATTCTCATAAGTCGTCAAGCATGGACGAAATAAAAAGGAATCAGACATAAATGAGTTTTTACACTAAAAGTCAAGAAATGAGCGGTAACAATATCAGACCAATAAGCCGTTACTTGCGGTAGTGTGATAAGACATTTTTTAAGGCAGAAACAGCACAATAACAGGATAAAGTGACCACAAAGGCAAAATTATGTAAGAAAGTAAATTGAGAAACAATCCATATATTTTAAGCAAAGCATACGCTTTAAAAAAGTGGTAGACGACCATGGTAAAGTACCTTCGCCAAGGCAGATCCTATGAAAACTTGAGAAGAATTCTCACCTGCTGACTTCCTGGGGGTATCGCCACGGCCTGATAAGAGGGACCACCACCTCCAGTACTAGAGTTTGTGGGAGCAGAGCCTATTGAGAAGAGAGAGCTTGGATCACTATCGGGATTGGCAATCATGGCAGGACCGCCGCCACCGGAGAAGGCAAGAATATCGGGTGCAGAGGCCATCCTTGAGTACCCCGAGGGTGGAGGAGGACAGGAGGGGGCGGAGTTAGTCGAGACAGCGGGAGGAGGGGAACAAAAGGGGCCTTCGGAACCCGAGAGTTGGGAGAGGCGCGCAAGACTCGCGAGGCTCGCAGAAGTGAGATGCTGTGTAGGGGAGGAGACAGGGACACTGTCCACCAGGTGACTGTAACCGCTAGTGGAAAGCTGCTGTTGGGTTGTGGGTGGGAGGGGAGTGCTTGTAGAACCAGGAGGAACTGGTGGATATTGAGGCTGTTCTATCACTGTTGATGGATTGCCAGAGGCAATGGCGGAGCCTCGGTAGCTAGGATTCTAAAATAAGCAATTAACCTATCAGTAACGAATCAAACCTCTCTAATTGTTAAAAGCTTACGCATACGCATTACCTAACGAACTTTTAAAGATTATCTGACAGGACTGTTTACAATTTGAACTAGGAGGCAACACGTGTCAATGGAGCATGGAATTCCAAAGTGTTTAAGTCGAATAGAATGGAACAACTGATATGTGAAACTTAGTTTGACTTAAAATATAATTTTTGAAATAAATAATTACTTAATATGAAGAGCAAACAACTACTTAAATGAAATTCCAGGCAAATAATCGGCAATATACCGATGCAATGACCCAGTCAGAACAAAACTTAAGCTGTCAGCTTCGAATACCGCGGATACAACCTTACAACTTTCCACAGCCAACAGAGTTCCTACTACGAATTAAGCTAAAACAGTGTTTATTTCTGTCAAACAACTCCGATGGAGGTATATTAAAAACCTAGTATTCTCGAGACCTGAGAGGCCTAGTATTTGAAACGCATAATTTGTACAACAGACTCTATGCTCTTCCAAGCGGATAGCTGAATGCATGCACTAACGCGTACAGGAGGGAACTGTCGAAACAGTAATGAAGGCGAGTCAGCGTTCACCTTCCCTTCGCACTCCCTCTGCCCCGTTCACCTCGCTGCTCTGCTCCATCCCCTCCACCTTGCAAACTGGGCAAGATAGTGGCGGGTGCTGACTATTTTTAGCAAAACACCCTCACCTTGATACCACCCCACGGAAAGGACTGCGCTGATTGGCTAAGCTTAATTGTAGACGGCAACGCGCAGGCGCACGCACCTCAAATTGAAATGCCAAGGCGAGCGAACGGGCACGCGCCTGTGGATGGAGGCCTGATTGCTTGTGCCTCCTGCATGCATGAGTGTGTGTATGTGGACACTTGCGTAGGTATTTTTCATTTCATCTTCCTTATCCCACTTTAGGACAGAGCCAACATGAAAAACAGAAACGGAGTCTTGATGTACATATTCTGGACCCATCTTGTTTCCTTGTAATGAGATAGGGTCACACTTATTCTTACGCAAACAAATTGCGCTAACCCGATGGATCACTGATACGTATATTAAATGGTTTCACTAGCCTAAATTAAGGAATTTCCAAAAGTCAAATTAACCGACAAAACGGATAGAAATACATGAAACCTATAGCGAGGATAAAAAATCCATTATAACACTAGCAATGGCGCATTTACACTGATGAACCCCAAAAATGCACACAACTACAGATTCAAAAAGCTGGGTTGATTAACGAAGCCTTTTTAAACTATGAGGTCTGGAAATAATTAAGACTTCGCCCAAACACTGTTGAACAGTCCAATAACGTAAAAAGTGCATACCCTAGAACCGACTCAACGATTATTCCAAAAGCCAGTTCTCGTGACCCCCTTTAATACACATGTTTATTGCATGTGAAAACAAAGACGCGAATGGTACTGGTAAAAGTAAAACATCGTAGAAAACACCGGGTTAGCATCGATGATGACTCACGAACCAAAGAAATGTGCCATCACGGAATGAGCAATTATCCTTAAACCCATGCAAATCTAATAAGGGGTGATTCTTTCAAAAACACGAATTAATGGGCTATCTGGATCACTATGTGTATTCTTCGGTCCATTTTAATATCCTCAGCAGTTTGCCACTAGTAGAGTAGTAAAAACAAATTTGGGCTAACAATAACAACGACCGCAGATGCAGAGATAAAAACCACTAAACATACCACATATGCGCCGTTCAACGGATCACTGGGTATGGCTTGGTATGAACCGCCTGGAGCGGAGCTGCGTAGAGGCCCAATGGGGACACTTCCAAAACCTCCAGACTTTATCATACTGGCAGGTGGTTGAGGTTGTGGCAACCGCTGTGGACTGCTGAAGGGAGACATAGATGGCAGCTGTGGAGGGCGAGCCGACGCCGATCGACCAACTGTTCCAGAAACCGACTTGCGTTTCTTGCTTAGACCACCCCTGCCTGAAGTTGGCCGACCACAGTTCACCGGAGTGGTGGCAACGGTCTGTTGTTGTTGCATCAGCATGGCTTGTTGCTGCTGATGCTGCTCAAACATAGCTTGCTGTTGATCCCAGAACTGCTGTTCAGGAGGTGTCATATCGGGTGGGTAGGGACGCTTGTATGGTGGTGGTGGAGGTGCAGGAACACAGAACTTATTGGGTGGAGGCGGGTATCCACAAGCATTGTTTGGAGGGACCACAAGGACAGGAGGACCTCCACCGCCTGGAGGAGGAGGGGGAACAACCATATGGTCCATCGAACCACTATACTGGAAGTGGGCACCATTAGGGTCCCCCATCGAGCCAGGGTGCTTCCGCTGCTGCTGCAGCCACGACGTCCGATCAAAGTCACGTTCGTCAGGTCGAACAACCATCAGTCCACGTGGCTGCTGATTAAGGCCGGCAGATATGCCCTCGGTAGGATGGGGTGGAAGATGAACTATTAGGTGGGAAAAATGATCGACTACTTTACTGAAACCTTTCACAATGTATGATCATTAAAAGGTCATTTATATAATATCTCTTAAATCGGTCAAAAATGCTGTCAAACCAATTTAGGGACTAGAGACCAATAAGCACACAGCTAACATTTGGGCTACTACTTTGAAAGGGGATAACAAGTGGTTAACTCGTTTTTAGAGAATCGCCTAATAACGTGTTTTCACTCTCCTGTGTGCACAAGGATAAAGTCAATCCGGGCTAGACAACAGATAACACGACGATAACTACGATGACTCCTTAAGCACGCGGCAGCAGCAGCGGGACGATGAGTCAGGAGGCGCAAATAACGTGCTGCCACTGAGGTGCTTCCGCTTGTTGTCCCGTCATCGTCAGGTACTGCTAATACTACCGCCTCGTATTCTAGAAAACCTCACTGCCACCATGTGCTGTTGCTGATACCTATGACAGCGTAGTCAGGTGCTAATGCCTGGGTTACACTAGCTACGATGTTCCGCATAAGAATGAGTAGGTGTGGTGAAGCAACTCCTTAATTTCACCAACAAGGATTGGCCGAATCTGGATGCTACAAATATGTGACAAAAACTTCTTTCACCATATGCTCGAAGATGTGGTGATGAAATTTAGGCGAAATTGTTAACTGCTATTAGCACAAACACAAGGTGATCATGGGAGAACACGCGCGAAGAGAGGCAGTATAACTACGAGTAAGGCCTACCATAGGCTATTTTAATCAACAGTACAAACATGGGAACATTCTTGGATGAGATCCACCAGAAAATCAACGTACGCGGGTCGTGTTGAATTGGAGGAATGGCGGCACCAGGTGGCGGAAGAGGAGGTGCCAATGGTTGAGATAATTGACCACCATTACCAGCGACAGCCGCGTACATTTGTTGCTGCTGCATGGCGGCAACCGTTGCGGCGCCAGGAGTAGAAGCCATTTTGCTCTTAGTAAGTTTCGAGTGTATTTTCTCTAGTTGAGCCATTTTACTCTTCCGGTTCTCCAGCTGCTCCTGTGTGACAGCACAATTGGCAGAGCTGCCACCAATGGCGGAAGAGTTACCGCCGGGAATTAGACCGCTTTGCAGCATGAATTGCTGTACCAGTGGATGCATTGAGTGGAAAGTCGTGATGCGCATTTGGGTACGTTGGCACTTGGCTGCAGCCTCGTTAGCCATCTCCGTAGTGAATACGAGGGCGTGCGGGGGTAACATGAGAGGGCCGGGGGGGAGGGGGCCGGAGACTGCAGCCGTAGGTTGAGGCGCGCTACCACTCAGGGAGGGAGCTGAGGAAGACACTCCAATGTTCGACGTTGGGACTGCATCCACCACTCCTTCAGGAACTAAAGGTACATGCTAGTACACGTAGCATACTTTAGAGACTACAAAAGTGAAGTGAAATGCAAATTTGACATTGTAAACTATTACATGAGTGTGTTGCAAGACATGGATTTGTAGCAATTCGAGGCAAAGCCCACTCGAAAATAGGGAATACAAATGTACTGAACAAGTTTTCTGAGGTATTGATTACAAGAGGTTTAACGCCGTACGAAAAGTAGGCGAGGGTGAGAGGATAGCATTTTCAGGAAATGTTAGTGATAGATCTTCGACATATAGCGTAGTGCAAATACGGAGGTATTCACTGGAGACGAGAAAAATGTCAATTGTTTTACAAAACCTACCGGCATCAAGCTTTTGTCCGCTCATGGGAAAGGTTTGATTAGAGACTATGGAAGTTCTCCTGCGACCATCACCAACAGACGAAGGAGCGGAGAAGGGCGGAGCCGAGTGTGGTTGGCCACCGTCCGCTTGATGAGCGACCTCTGCAGGCATGGGTCCACTGGCCGGTCGCCGAATGGGCGAATCAAGTAAATGCTGCTGCCCTGACACCGGCTCATTAGTCAATTTGATATGCTGCTGAGACGGTGAGGAGGAACAGAGCGAGTAAACTGAGTGCGGAGGTTCCACGCTGTTTGGGTGCTGAAAATGGGTTGCCCTCGTCGAACCTCCTACTACAGTTGATGAGGACGGATGACTGCTATCCGGTATCCAGACTCCAGTGGCTGTAAGAGTGGAAAAACGGAATCGGACCAACGGTTAATTGCGCCATTATTACAAAACCAAAAAGTACTAAATAATGATGAGCTATTCATTTGCCATGACATTTTCACATATTCACTATGTACGGAAATTCAGTACAAACAATAATCCTATCGGTAGCAAGTTTCTAAGATTGTCAAGACGTGGGGAGGAACAAGTTCAAGATTGAGGTATAAAAAAATAAAAGATCACCTACGCTTACCGGGTCGGTGTGAAAATAAGAATTTACGATTTGAACTTAAGTACCCTCAATGCACAAACTGCGACGTGTAAACGATTTAAAGTTGAAGCTAATTTGTAATTTTATGCCTGCACAGAAAAGTAAACGTGTACATCGCATGTGCTAAGAGGCGAGCAAACGTGTGCACGAGCATACACGATGTAAGGCGAATTTCTGCAACTGACTGCGGCCACTATCATCATCACAATTACCACTAACACGAAAATGGGTTAGTGGAGGCGAGGAAGACAGCCGTAGAAAAAAAGGGATAATTTTTTGCCCACATAGCACCCACCAATTCGGGCTAATTCACACTCATGGAATTGCTTCATTTTTGAGCCCTGTCTTTGCTGTACCTGGACGCACGGGAGGAGAACGGACAGACAATGCCGCTTCGCAACCTTTGAAATCCAGCATTACAGTTCTATTCTAACATAGTTTGGGTACTTGAAAGAGACAGATGATATCGATGTAATTGTAAGCGCCAGTATTTGTGCAGAAGACATTTGCGACTACCTACAGCACGCCAATTTCGTGCACTGAGGTTATCACAGCAAACGAAAATGGAGCCTTGTTCTCACCGAGTATGCTGAGTGAAACCCACATAGGCAAAAGCGCACATTAGATTGTGAGAAATGAGGTACTTACATTGGAACTCTGAAATATATCATGTACTCGTGTTTAAGGAAACCCCTGGGAATCAAGACAAATTAAATGAGCACCTTCAATCGGAAAGGACTACTAGTTTCTCAAAAGTCAAGGAGATAAATCAAAGTACGAGTGAAAGAAGTAAACACTCGAGTAAAACATTTTGCAAACGTAAACCTCTTTAGGCGCTAAGTGTATTAAAATCTTAAAGGCTTTGAAAAGGAATTAAAAAAGTGAAAAGGACACAGCTTTGCGCCACAGTTGTGTAATATTCTTCCTCTCACCACATATTTTCATATCTTCGCTCCTCACAGCGTGTCACCAAAAGTTGATCATTAAAAGAGCAAGAACAATATCCAGAAGCACCCACGTGAATATCCGTGGTACGCAAACACATAAAGAATCAGGAATTGAGAGAGGAAACAGCGCACGGCAGGACGGAGTACTGGGCTGAGGATTCGGTAGGTATGTGGTCGCATGATCCAACGATTTCGCGTGGGTCCCCACCTGCAAGTGCGCGTGCCGTCGCACATGGCGGGCGATGTACACACGATTATACTGAAGCACCAGCTAAGGCATCTCGTACAGTACACGTTGTAGTGGTCGAATTAACTTAAATGTTAGCTTTGCCTAGGCCAGTTAATGCTTCCAATGCGAGCGCAAGCATACACATGGTGCACGAATTGATTTGTCCATGCGGTGCCAGCACACAACACGCACAAAAACGTCAAATTTTCATGCTTATATCTCTTCGCCATGTCTCGTTTCATTTCCCTTGATACGCTTTCTCTCTCCAGCGTGCAGTGGGGTGCCAGAATACGTTTCCGCACTGCAATTTCCAAGCAGGCTGTTTTAGTGTTGTGAGGTGGCCAATCTGCCACGGGCATCTTGCGTGCGTTTGCGAATCAATGCGTGGCAGCCCTTCTCTCTCGCCCGTTCCAGCCTGGCGCAGACGCATGATGCGGAGGTGCACGCATATGTGTACGCGCACTCGCGCACCACGCAAACACGGCCACTGTCGCCAAACCGTGTCAAACAGAGGAATTGTGCCCTGTTTTGACGAGCCTCGTGCCTGCATGACAGAACAACGGGCACGCATGCACGCTGCCACAAAAAAACACCAGTCGAGGCTGCAGAACAACGCACATGAAATAAACAACCCGCCTTCGAGAAAAAGCACCCTCCAATCAGATTACGCTTGCAAAATTGTGGCCACCAAATACTGATTCCCATACTCAAATGGACCAGAATTTATTTCAGTCCCAATTTTTAACCTTTCTAATCATAAACATACGAACAAGGAAGGCACGGAACTGCCATTTCAGTCTGTGTATCTGGGATATGCAGGAAGAAATGAGATGCTACATTAAGTCCCACACGAATAATCTGTAACGCACAAGCGTGTTCGTAGGAACCACAGTGACAAGGTTTGTTTTTAACAAATAGTCGGTGGCAGGCATTAAATAAAGTCAAGAGAGTCTGTTCTGCTCACGTTTTGCGTAATCAAAGCCAACGAAAGTGAAAGCAGTGGACAATCAAAAATAAGCATGGTAGAACAAACCGACTGCACGAAGACGTGTTAGAATGATAGTGTAAGCGGTCGAAAAACCTATCAAATCCATCTTCCAAAACCTGAATGAACACTGCAAATAATTTGCTATTTAATTAAATCTAAAATAACATGAAAAAATGGGAAACCGCATATCAACAACTGCTCATTTTTACTTGAGCAAAAAGCCTACAGGAGATAACGTAACGATCACCACATTTCGCGTTTGTGAATCTGAAAGAGTAGCAAGCAGGGTAAGTTACTACTCTCCACCACAGGTCGGCCCAAGAAGTGAAGAAATCTGACGTAGTGCGAAAGGGATGCACCATTCTGCTGAGTGCAAGCGAATTCGCGTCCACTATTACATCCCGAACAATGGTGAGGAAAGAGGAAACAACGTATACAGTCGTCCTGGGATTCGCATGAGGTTTTCACCTAATGACCGTGAGAATTAATGCTAAATGGGCCCAGCGTCGACTGCAGTTCACCCAATACTAAAGGGACAAATTTGACGTGTCACCACACCAATTAAGGGGACTGCACGGATGAATCATCACCCCAAGTCATAAGATGTAAGCCAGGTGTAAAATGGACTGAAACTGCTGCAAAAATCATGGAGATCTTGTTAATGGGGGAAACACCGAGAGTCGATATGTAACAACACCACACTAATGACTATAAGGAAGTAAACTGTACACACGGAAAAGAGCCCAAGGCCCGGCCGATTCAAGTCAGTGGACCATAAGGGACCTCATCTACCCTGGCCCAGTGAGAGGACCACTGATGTGGGATAATAGAGGCAGGAACAGCCAAGCCATGCGTCATACGCTCCTCTCCTATGCCTGGGCCGCTTATTTGGGGCCTAACCATCGAGACAAAGGCCAAATCTTAACACCAAAGACTAACACAGTGCACCGCAGGCAGACTCGGGGGCTAGGATATTGTCACGCTAGACCTGACCTTAACACTTGCAATAGAAGGAAACTTTGTAGATAAAATACATAAAATGAGAAAAAAATCTGACAAAAGGTAAAGCCAATCAAAAGAAGGAAGATTAATTTAGAAAAATCTGGGCAGCAAGATGCAACGTCACACACACAACATTCACACCAAGCGCTTCGCGCCATCACGCAAACTAAGGATGCATTCTTGCAGCAGAACGCTTGGGTTGGGTACCACATTGACTCTCGGTTAAAAGTCACTCATCTGCTAATTAAAAGCTTCGTTCCTGTCGAAAACATATTATAAACAGCAAACATGCTGAGAGAAAGCTTGGAATTTGCCAATAATAAGCTAACAAGCCAATGGAAGATGCGATGCAAGAATTGCAGGGGCGGAAACTTTAAGGGTTTGGTTTAAACTGCACTACACGAATGCAATTGAGGTATAGCAACTAACAGTGACTAAAATGTCGTCAAATAACTCACCAAACACACAACACAACTTCACACCAGGTAGAATCAAATTTTATACGTTTACAGTGGAAAGTTAGAAGAATAATTACAGGACAGAACAACAGACAAGAGCGAAAAACATGATTACATGGCGTGTTGGGAGCAGTGAGACTGGCCTTCATAGGCGCGGCAGATGACTCCGGCGTGGATGCAGTGGGTTGAGAGGCCTGAGATACACCAGGGAGCACGGAGGGTGTTTCGTTGGGCGGAGTGAGAGGACAAGTGGAAGTAGAGTTGCCACTGCTACTTGCCGCACTACTGCCAGTGACGCCTTCTGTCGCCAGGGGCGCAGCGACCTGAGAGGATGGGGAAGTCGAGGATTTGACCGAAGGGAGAGACGTAGAAACCACAGGCAATCCTCTTTGCTGCCGAATTTCTGCTAATTCAACCGCCTCCTTGTCCAGAAGTCGAGCCGAATTGAGCTCATCAGCGAAGTCACTCATATATGGGTTTTCAATACATTCCTGTACGTATGAAAAGAGATCCTTTTTCAAAAAGTGACACAACTCCGCCTCCTCTCCAGCACGACCCAGCGAGGCGATGAAGGAGGTCCATTGCTGAATTGTTGGACCAACAGCCACGGACCAGTGCGATGAGAAGCCACCTTGAGGGGTTTCGCGATAGAGACGGAGGTCTTGTGAAACATAAGAAAGTATTCAACAACGTAGGCACTTGCCGCTTGAAGAAATTCCACGGTATCATAAAGGTCTGATAGGGAATTAGTGAACAGCGTTAAAAACCAAGAAGGATTTGACGTACAATGGTCGTCAATGGCACCAAAAACAAATTCAAGAATCTTTGACGGGACGAAGACGGTAAGACAAGCCAGAATTCATGCTGTAATTTGTAGACGAGTGCAACCAAAAACAAGGTATCAACAAAGTGATTAGAAGCCTATTAACACTCGGGATTAGTGTAATACACCACAGAAAATCACAAAAAGTGGAGTTTTGCGAGCGTACCACCACAAGCAATAATGATGGAACACTTTGTAACGCTTCTGATAAAGAAAAGTTCAATTGCTGAGCAACTGTGATTTTGCTGCAATGGATCCGCACACTCCGAGGTCTGAGAGGCGGACTGTGGCCTAAAGTACACCTAAGCCGTGAGCGGAAGGAGCACAAAAGTACGGCAGTGAGTCTTCATTTTGAAGTGTAAAGGCCAATAAATAGGACACTGTTTCCCATATTCAAACATTTAATAAAATTAAAACAAGAGACCAGCAAAACCAAAAAGTTTAATCTAAATTATATGAGGACACCACCCAAGTGGCCTAAAGTAAAGATAACAAGTAAAAACAGGTGCTCGTATTTCCCTTCTTAAAAGAACACTACAGATACACCGACATAATGAAGGAGGCGTAAACGTGATGAAGGCATTCACAACAGCTTTAATGGCTAGGCTAGTACGCACTCACGACGATGCAACTAAGTCTTATAAAAAGCAGAAGTGTATGCGGTTAAAACGTAAACAATGGCTTCAATTGGATGACAACGATTCACAGGGAAATGGTTGTTTACTATAACTAGACATTAAGCACAAATTGTGCTCTGATTGACCTTCCAAGTACGAAATGAAAACAAGTGCGAGTAACCCAAACTATGCTTTACCTGGAGAACGACATATCATGCGATGATAGGGTATACTGAATGGCAATTAAAGCGCTTTAAGAGACGGCCGACTTTGGGAGTGTACACGAAAGTCCGTAAGGGACTTGCCCAGTGAGAGATAGGACGGAACATGAAATTCCTGAAGGACAGGGTCAAGTCATCGATTTTTACACGAGAAAAGATAACCCCTTAACTAAAAACAATAAACGCCTTACAAAACTTGAGGCCCTGGAGAAACAAGAACCTCCTGCTGCAGTCTAGACAGCAGAGGCCTGTATAGGTGTTCAAACATGCAGTGCTATGAAGTCAGAGAGCAATATTTAACTTTCTACAGAATGCCAGATGGATTGCAGCCTAATCGAGTATCTAAGTGCACGCGCAAATAGGTGCTAATGCAACAAATAGAATACACAAACCACGCCCCCATAACTGTTGCCAGGAGAGCAGAAACTGACAAGCAAAAAAAAGGAGCTTACCATCCATGTAGTAGTAGCTTGATCCAGAAGCATCTTGACCAACTTTGATGAGAAGGCTCTCGTCGTCAGGAGAAGCAAGAACGCCGACGTCCCTCTCAGCGTTGGCCTTGGGCGCATTTAGAACAGCGTTGAAGCTGAGGTCGGGCCGCTCGTCATAAACACACTCAATTAAGTGCTCGAGGAGGAGAGCACGAGCGGGTGCATCGAGCTCAGAGACCGAACGACCGGCGCGAGCGGCCTGCAAAGCTTGGCGGTGAGTGGTGCGCTTCTCGCCCACAAAGGCATCCAGGGCCCCGTCAACACCAGCAATGCACACCGTCGGGTCGCGATGACGCAGAAAGCGCAGAATCCGAGCCACACAGTCACATAGAGGCACGGTCTCCGATCCTTTCAGTATGTGTTGATACAAATCCTACGTAAAGTACAAACGCACATAGTGATAGCGAACACTAAACTAAGCATCTCGAGGGTGAAAACGATGTTAGTTTTAAAAAATCTTGACCTAGTCACTAGGATGTCAGAAACTACCATTATAGAGAGCACAAGCGTTCACTACACTTTGAGCCATACACTGAAATAACCAAGATCAGAAGGTAAAAAGGCAAAAGTGGAAAAATTTTGGCCATAACTGATAGGACTAATTTGTTTGCAATAAAGATTTGGTAACTCATGAACAATTTTTAAAGCAAAACTAAACGAGCAGACACGAAATCTCTAGGGGGAATGATTTCCTTACTTACATTGACTGTCGATTAGAATATTAGAGACTAGACTGCCTTCCATGGTTGAAAGGACACCAGATATTTGATAAGCGGTCATTCACAAAGAGCTCAAGAGAGTTGTATTTCAAACGTGACGAAGATTAGGCGTTCGCCTCATCGACATGCACGTCAAACCCATAAAATTAACACCGAAAACAACAAAAACTTACAAGATAAAATCGAATAATAGGAGTTATCGGGAGTAACCACCTCTGCCAGTACCTTTACGCATACAAACGCAACAAAAATCGTCAACTATTACTTTCGACGAGGCGGCCAGAACCACGAGTGAGCGCGACAAATCGCAAAGCGGAGGCACACGCTCGACTACTGCACTCTCCGGCTTTCGGCGTTAGAGCAAAACCTTGGCCTCCAATCAACTAGTCTCGGCAAACAACGCTAAGATAGATTATTGTTGGTCCCCAACACGAAAATCCGTAACTAACTGACATCTAGAACTAAGACACCAAAATTCCTAACTGGTGACTTGTTTCATAAAATACGATAATTGGAAGCAGAGTTTAAGAACGCTGATAAACAATGGTGACCATGGTGATGAGGCTTGAAGGGTAGTGACAACAAGAATCAGGAATTCACCAAAACCGACGGCGGTGGTAGCGACAAAGTTCTCGCACAACCACACTATGGACTACAAAGGCTAAACTAAAATCGAATGCAAGAAAGAGCTCATGAAGAGGAAATGGATGGTTAAAGAACTAAAACCCTATATCAAACGAATGGGGTCAGTGAGTTTGCACAAGTGATGGCACATGAAAAGGTCCTTAGCGACAAATAAAAGACATTCCTAAAGCAGTTGTTATTAAAACCAATTAACACGCTAACTGAAGTCTGCCAAGAATAAAGTGGCCACATCAAAGTACCGCTTTGAGATAATAATGTACGAATCAATAAGGAAAACTTGCCTGTAGTCGCAAACGAGGGAATCGAAACCGTTGCTTGTGCTGGACAAAAAACTGCATTAGAAATGCCAACTTGAACTTCTTGATGTCCTCAACACTGACAATCGGGTCATCCAATTGGAGCGCTTGGATCATTTTTTCACAAATGTTTGTCGGACAAAAGCTTTGGACGTGCTGCAGGTAAATATACCATCCGACCCAACAGAAACCTGGAAAATAATAAAATTACAATGCAATCATAGACATGAAAGCCAGAGAAGAGAAAACGGACAGCAAAAGTGAACAAACACATGTACGTTGTGATGCCCTGAGAAGTTGTCATTTCTAAGAAAGATGAGGATGCGAAAAACAATACATTTTTAAGGCACGCCAGTGGTCGGGGAACAGATTTAGCACTCACGAGCAGAAATAAGCGTTACACCAACAGATGCCCGGTAATAGCACCAGAAGGATATTAATGGTCTATTTTTGAATACTGGTGCGAACAAACAAATGCGCATTGTAATAATCACAAGCCTTTGTGCATTATAATAAGTCCAAAAGCGTATTTGCCTCAGAAAGCTGAAGATGGGAAAATCTATGGTTTCACATATCCCAATCTTTGCCGTTACGAACTTCAAGTGGAAGTCGTCAACCAGTCAATGATATTGCTTCTCATAAAGTTATTGAATTTATAATATCATCCACACACACAGGTGTCGGATCATGGTAGGCAAATCTATCCCACGCAAATGCCACAATTCTAAATCCCTTTTGCTTTTACTATTCAGCATCTCAAGTCGACTCTGCAGGAAGAATAAAGAGAACCAGTTTAAAATGGTTTTTGTCATTGGCGTTTAGAAGGGCTAAGGAGGAGAAGACACACCTTAAGGGTCCTGCTCCTAGGAAAAAAAGGTCTACATGGCCAAAATTTAGCTCAAAATATGTACCAGTATACTACTTAACAAACTTCTTTTGAACCCGAATAATCAATTTTACTTTTCTACTTTGACTGTAAAAGGCATTTTGCAAAGTCTTATAAACCGTAGGGTATTATACAAAAAGAAAGGTCGGGTGGTACCCATTACCGATGATACGAGATTAGGTTCAGTCGGTGTTATCGTATATCAAATTATCTATGGAACAAACTGTATAAAGGACCAAATATTTAAAAAAGTGCCTCTAAAACCCTAACATTATTTGCGATGGGCAAGATATGAATGCTATGAGCCTTCTGCAGTCATGATTGAGCAAGGTATCCAACACATCACTTTGTGACGAAGGTACGAATGGTGTCGTTCAGAACATTGTAGTAAAGCTCTTTTAAGAGAAATTGAAATTTAATGACATCTGATCTTGCTCTGTCAGAAGTTACTGTTGGTAACTCAAAACTATGCAACCACTGAAAACAGGCGTCTTCTGAATCGAGTCACCACAAAACCCTGCCACCTACAACAGATGCCTTCCTTCAGCAAACTTAAGATTTGTAAACCAGTAAACGAAGGGTTTTTTTTTGCATAGACTAAATTTTTTTGCCACTAGTGTTGTTGACAATTGCATCCGTAATGTATAGCAACTTATTCACTGCTTTGTCCTTCGACCCAGGCCTTCATACCAACAAATCTGAAACACCGGTTGAGAGAAGACATTTTGTAATAATATGAGGTCTTGCAAATAGTCAAATTTTTACAGACAATCAAGGCTTGAGTCCTCTTCAGTAATCTTTGACGTCTTTTTCACTACGATGCGTGATTTAACCGTTTACTTCCACATCGTCTCTTAGTTGATACTAAGAGCGCAACTAAAACGCTCCCAGAGCTTGTCTAAATGTAAAATTTAACAAAAACGCTTAAAAGTGGCTCTGGCTCAAATATTCACTGACGCATTTGTACCGCCCAGAGCCTTTTCGAAGTCGAAATAAGTGTGGAGCGAGGCTCCTTGGTCTCCGCTTCCCAATTCCTAGCGTTCCTAGACAAGCCCGGTTGATCTGCTTTGGACATCTTTATTGAAGGTGACAAGATGGATAGGGAAAATACAATATTCAAGAAGGAGGGGAGCCGCAGTCACAGGGTAAGGGAGAGGACAATCCGGTTGCAAGGTTCGAATTTCCTGATTGCCTCCTCCCTGAAAGGCACATTAAAACAACATAAGTATTACATAAGCTACACTACAATGACAGACAACGAATTGGCAAAGTTAAGAAGCGATGAAGGGTAATGGCATGACCAGGAGGCCATGAATTTGCGCTAAAGAGCAGAGGCAGAGACTCAAGCTGCTGGGTAACAAAACGAACGATTAAATAAGGTATCACAGATGTTTCAATTCCGAATTCCGTAAATTTAAAATTCAATACTAACCTTAATCAAGTCGACTTTTACATGTATCTATATGGCTTGATTTATACCCTATTATTATCCTAAGAACCAACAAACCGCAAACATTTCAGAAAATTTCACGAAGTTTTAAACGCACCGCGAAGCCTAACAACCGGAATTGTCTCATTTCCCATGAGACAAGGGAAGTCCTATAGTAATCATTAAAAAAATAATAAGGCGCTAAACCAGAACTATCAAAATCAATAAATTATAGCTGTACCACGGCATTATTAGGTTGATGGTCGTTCTAGTAGGAGGCCTTAGTGCTTTATTGCAGTGGCATACAAATTTCGTGTGTTTGGTCAAAGTTTTTAGTTAAAGCTAAAGTGATGGAACACTTTGCATTTATTTACTGAACCAAACTTTGACCTTGATATCCCAAACGGATAAATAAACATTTTTGAATCATATGTGTTACTGACTTGTGCAATACTTTATAGCCCGGTGCATTATGGAATTTTCTTACAGTTTCCTGTAGTAACTGCAGTTTCCTAATAGAATCGTGTGATGCGCATGATAATCGCTTTTAAATAGGAGTTCTGTCTATTCTAAAACTCCTATCTAGTTTACGAGGAAACTCCCTTTTGCACAGCCTACAACGCTGTTTCACCCAATATGAGCGGCAACATGCGCAAGACTTCACATGTATCTCCTTTGCTTTTTGGATTTATTCCAATCGAACTATATTTGGTTATTGTTAGAAACGATAAAATGAATGAAAAGAAAGCAGCACTCTCGCGAATAAATGCATTGCTAAGGTCGTTTTTAAAGTGTATACCTAGTGGTGTGGATTGCTCTTTCACTCCAAGAGATGGTGTTTCGTTGGAAATTACAGCACATATGTCATCATTCCTCACATTATTACAAAAACTGCTCGACATTGAGGATGGGCAGCTAGCAGATGAATGTTATTCTCTATTAATGGTAGGTTATTTTAGTATGTGACTGTATTTTGCCTATGATGCTGGTTGATAACATGTTGAAACTAGGAGAAACGGCAATTTAAGAGTCGGGTAAAAGGTCCGTGATCCGTCGATTGCGTGTGTATATTAGGGCTATTATACAGTGACTTCTTATTTAAGCATAACTTAATTGTGTAATTTTTTAACAATCAGAAAATCCCTTTCTTTTTTAAGCTTCTTACTGAGGACCTTCCTACACATATACTTGCCAGCATCAAAGACTTTTTGCTGGCTGCAATTTTTCATCGTCTGGATAAAGAGGCCGAAAATATTAGAAAATTTGTTCACACAGCCTCTTTGATGCTTTGCAAACGCTTACCAACGCAATTCATATTTGAGTTTATCTTACTTCAATTGCGCTGCCACAATTCCAATATAAGAAGAAACTCTATTGATGTACTTACAACGCTTATTTTAACGAACACGATTTCGCCATTAGAAATCAAAATAATATGCGGGAAACTAGTCCAAACTTTGTTTGACGATGAGCCAAAGGTGCGCAATTTTTGCATTACTTTCTTTAATGCAAGTTTCACGCAATATGAAAATATTTTAGGTAATAAGAGCTGCATTGGAATGTTTCGCGGCAATATTCTCTTTAAACTACATGTCGGAGAATCAGTTCATCAAGTGTCTCTCTACTAGTATGCCTCTCTCACTTGATGAGGTCACGAAGGGGGCAATTTTACACTGTGTAGAAATGCGTGTGAAAATGCCGCATCCACCGAAGTTGGGATCTGATGGTTTACCTGTTTACGAACCAGGAGTTTCCGATTTTCTACATTTGGGTATTTTTACAAATGAGTTGTTGACCGTAAATATCCCCAAACATAGATACACCTTTTTGCACCAAATCACTTAAATTATGACGTTAAGCTCTGGCTCTTTACAAAACTGACGAGTTGTTATATACTTGTATTTCATAAAAAACATTAAACTTGACTAAAAACGGAAACAGATACGTTCTTCATAATTCACTTGTCTTTTAGGTAATTTGAATGCAATCTGCTCTGTTGGTCGAGATAAATGCAACGACGGGGCTCACTCTAGATGCAAAGTAAGCTGGCAGGCTTTGATGACACTATATTTTCAATTCATGAAATATTTTCTGATGCAGTATCTGCTTTTAGTACCCTATAGTGTAACAAATTGGTTATTTAGTCAGGGCATTTGGCTGTGCCCAATTTACAGATACTTTTATGTTCACTGTTGCCTTCTGAAAATCAAAGAATAAGAACTATGTAGAAGAATGGGATGTTGCTGAAGATGCGTATTTACTCAGGTCTCTATGATATTGCTGCACAATTAAAGGCGTTGTGATAAAGTTAGGACTTTTCTGGTGACCTAGTTTTATAAATCACGGTGTCAACAACTTCGAACTGTTAAATCAAGGAAAGACAGTACTATCTTCATAACGCTTTGTAAAAAATTATGAAATTCTCCCTAAAAGCAAGAAAAGATGCGCAAACTTTGTTTGGACAAAAATATTAAAAAAGAGTTAATGCTAAGTAGCAATTTATAGATTCCTAGTTTAAGTGCAGATATTTCTATGAAATAATTTGAAAAAATAGCCAGAAGGAAACGTTGGATTTGAAGTAGAATGCATTGTATGTGATTAGGTGACTCAGTGTTGCAGTTTTTTTTAGGAGATAATGAAATCACCCCAGCGAGCATCTCTTCGGCGAATTGCTGTCCAGCACTCTCGTCAAGCAAGTTTTGGCTATGTTGATCACTTTTCCGGTGAGAAATTCCCCCCACTCTTAGTGAGACACATTAAATCACCTTTTTTTCAGCATCAGTTGGTTTTCGTTTTGAAAGATTTTGCGAAATACAGAACACTAAAGTCATTGCGCCACAGGAGTATTACCATAGGTCAATACGCCCTTTTTTTCTAATACCACTAACTCCTCCAATGTACAACTGCAACATATTTGAAGCTAGTTACACCTAAGCCTTATTTCAGTACACCTTGTAAGTTTAGATGCATAACTCTATGGCACTGGTAGATTTCATAAAACGAATAGAAAGTCATATTGACTCAGTTGCATTTTTAGCTCTCCAGAAATTCGGAAAAGCTACACAGTCTCATCTCATCTCCAGGGCTGCAGCGACAAACTCGACCAAGAGGAAAATTTGTCCGTCAAATTTGGCACTTGAAGACCTTTCGCGCATCAGCGATCCTGCTAGAGATGCTCAGTCGAACGGCTACGCACACATAGCGGAGAGAAGGCGATTAAAAAATAACGAGATTCTGTCGAGAGAGCGGTCGCTGTTTCCTGAAAGCTCGGCATTGAGGTCGATTTCAGAAAAAAAGGTACTTGAAAAGATCAGAAGTATGTTTGAACCCATTTAGAAAATATTGTGTTTGATGATGCATTTGCATTTTGGTTAGTAAAACATTTTTACCTGATTATTCCTAAATAAACATAAATTCATCACATTTAGTTAAATGGACTGAGACGCTGTTATTCAGCCCTATCACTTGAAGAAAGAGATGGCGAAAGGTGTACTAGCTTCTCGCAGGTAACATTATTGTTGATGACAAGAAGAAGTCTGTCAGATTGCGGATTCGGTAATGAGCATTAAGTTTTCAGCTTCCAAGCGATTGGACTCTTTAAGAAGCAGAATTTCACAGTCGAGAAACTGTGAATGCTCACCCAATGCAAGGTAACTCTATAGTTACATCGTATCACTCCTGCAGGCGAGCACTGAAAGTAATGGACTCTCCTGAGAAAACGAGATCGTGGACACGAGAAACTCAGGGGCCATTCTCGCAAAAAAATCTTTTTAGAACTTCTACTAACAATGTTACCACAGTTATATCAAAGGAAAACCGGGAGGCTCTAACTCGAATGAGCAGTGGCTACGCCTCGGAAGATGTTAATCAAGTTGCCGGCACAAAGCCTCACGTTGAAGTTGTATTGAGTATGTTTGTAGACCTGGATGTATTTGAAGATACAATTACGCATCAATGCATAATGCATTTTTTAACCAGAAAGATATCAGGATGAAAATGGGGGAGAGTCGTTTCCTCAAAGGTCCACATCTTTAATGCTGGTCTCTGCATTACAGAAGCAAATTCGACCACGGTTGCGCAAACCACTGTATGTTAATTCGGTTGCCTTCTAAGCGCTAAATAACTTCCAGTAATTAGAATCCAACTGAAGTAACCTAGAGCGTATGTAGATTTGGTTCAATTTTTTTATTCCATACCCCTGTCACAGCCCTACAAGAAATCATCTTCATCGACACATTTGGCCATAGATTAAAATGAACCAACTTGTTAACGAAATTGTAGTGATTGTTTTGCTTGCCAGACAGCAGATGACGCTGCAATTTTTTCCTATAGACTTTTGTGCACAATTTGTATGGACGTACAACGGGGAAGAAATGACCTGGTATTGTTTCGTGTCATACGCACATGCACACGTACATGGTTACAGCTGTGCGCATGAGCTCGTTTTCCACGAACATAAAAGTAACGGGACATCGTAGCCCATGGCAACGAATTCGAAACACGAAATCGTCAAGCCAATAATAAAAGGAAATACTGCAATTTTTAATGCGTTCTCGAACTAAATTCTGGGATTTAGTCTATGATATGTGCCGTTCTGTTCCTAAGACATTTGGAACAATATGATGTCGTCAAATAAGAGGCCTCAATTTCAAATGAACTAGATTAAATGAGATTTTTACTTAGTCTTCGACATTTCGATGAGTTGAAACTACTTATCACAAAGACTTCATACACGTGCCACTGCTGCAGACATGCGCGATTCAAGCGGTCTCGGACAGTGCATTGGGCAAGTCGGCCTTTGTGTGGACCCAGTGTTGACGTCAGAGGTGCTGTGGACACTTTGACCTCAGAAGAGTGGGAGAAACAGCACGATGCCTTGCAAATCTTGAGCTATTTCTTCGGAGCCAACTTGCACACAGAGTGCCACGAACTTCGCAGCTGGTCGCTAGAACAAATCCAACAGCTCTGCAGCGGTCTTGTCTTCGCCGCATCCAGCCTGCGCTCGCAGGTTAACACACAATTACAAATGTCATTTCTGCCATCATCTACCGTAAACATGGATATTTGCGCTATTCATGTGAAAATTTAATTTACAAATGCGGAATTTCAAAAGCTCCGAAGTATTATCGCACTTTTCGATCCAACACTTGTATCACTTCCTACATGAGAAAAAAAGGCAAAGTGTATTTATTCATGATATAAATCATGTTGTCGACGAGCTAATCCTCTTAGAGCTGAGCTACTTTTTATAGTTCGCTTATTTCAAGACAGCTGCTAAATTAGCTTTTTTTCAGTCGGCAATCCATGATGGACACGTTGTAAAAAAAATCAGTAAATACCTGTTCTATTATATGCGGTGTGTGAAGGTGTCAAGAATGGCCATAGAAGGTATAAAGTCGACGGTGAAGTTGTTGACGTCGGAGCAGCTGGAACCGGTGACGCGGTCGCTCTTCTTTGGCCTAGTGGGTCGGGTGGGTGGCGACGCGAGCACAGCCTTCCTGCGCAATGAAGCGTGCGAGGCAATCAATCTGCTGGCGGAGCGGGCGCCAGCGCTTGCCCTCCTTGTCTGTCTCAACGACGCCTGCCACAACACCCCATCCCGCAGCCTCCTTGGTCGGCGCTGTCTCGTGCGCTGCTACGCTGCCGTTCTGCCTCGCCTCCTAACACCCAGTGCATGCCTATCCAAGGGCAACCAACACTCTCTCCCGACGCGCAAACACCAGGACACTTTCAACCGGATGCTTCCTCACCTCGCCTCTTTCCTCCGCAATGGCGACTTTGAAACAAGGTTCTTCACGTCTTCCAAAATCTTCACTCTTCTAATTTAGTTTGTGTGACTTGGAATTTCCAAAAACACACATTTGAGTATCCATTATAATATTGGATGCTGGAAGTTTAACACAAATTCTGTTGAAAGGTTGACCAACTTCACACAATTAGAGTTCAATATTATTAATATCCTCAATATCTAAACCAGGGTCGTTGGCATCATAAAGCTCTCGTAGCGCCTAATTTCAGTTTTTTATTACTTCAGCCTATAAAGCCAGATATTTTTGATCCATTTAATAAGACCTGCTGAATTGATGTTGGTTATATATATACTAAAATTTCCTTTATATCTTTTTAATCAAGCCAATCCACATTCAAATCTTTCAGGAACAATGGAGAAAAAATTCTTCAAGTGTTAATGACAAATCGTGACTTTGAAACACACCTCAAATCATTAGTAAGCGACCACGACCGCAGCACATTCATAGAAGCAATGGATAAGATATCAAAACGCAAGGTATTGGACGTCGTAAAAACTCAAAAGTAAACACACTTTTTTGGCGCACATAAACGTTATCTTTCATTAAGAGTAACTCCTGTATAAACAGCTCATTCTCGACTCCGCGAATGCCACGCAGACCCACCTTCCGTTGCGTTACGCACGGACGCTCAGGTAGTCGACTGTTTGACAGACGCACCACGACGTCTCCGCCCCCCGCACCACTCCCGCTTACACCCCGATCCCCGCTTCCAAACGAGGTCGTGCAGTGCGACTACTACATTGACGGCAGCAAAGTCACGATGCTGCGGTTGGGAGAGCGGGAGCGCCTCCTTAGCCTTCTCAAACTCGGAGCACAGATCAATGAATCTGATGTCCCTATCGAGCTTTCAACCCCAGAGGTCAAAATGCTACTTACTCTAGCACATTATCGCCAGGTTTAAAAGTCTACACTTAGTAAGATACGTTATGGCTCCGGCTAGTAAAAGATTCAAACCAGTTGTTTGACTTAAATTATGAATTGTGGCTCCTGCTGAATTACTTGTTTCATTGTGTAGGGGACAACTTCACATTTTTAGCTGCCTTCTCAAATAGTGCGACTCAGAAATTACGCTATTATCTTGCATTCTTTTTCAAGATTGCTTTAGTATGTTGTTATTTTGTGCATCGGCTGGAGTAACTCGGTTTAAAGGTACACACACATATATTTCGATTTCCCCTGGCAGTGATGTCTCGTTCAGACCAGTGAATGACTGTACCAAAATGCATATGATTTTACGAAGGTGGCATTGGTAGATACTTAATTGGGTTTAGATTTATGTAAAATACCTAGTAGTATTATTTTATTGACCTTAAATGTTCTCTTCATTGGAAAGATGAAATTTTCAGGCACAAGCATCCATTGTGATGTGTATACTAGATTGCTTCAGGTGATAAACATACATGCCTACATTACCTATCTTTACGTGAATCCTGAGTGGGAATGAGCTATATTTCAGGTATCAGTGACTATTTTAAATTAACGGATTTAATTTGACCAATTTTACTGTTTGACTTGATTGACCTTGAATGCTTCTAAAAACCAAGTTGAATAGTCCCGTTTTTTGGTTTCCTAATCACTGCTTGCCTGATTTTATAGATATTGGATCTAGTATCACCAATGCTAAGGGATGAAAACGAAGAAGTTGTCGTCACAGCATTAAAGCTGTGTCTGGATGCGAGGCGGTTGGATTTGAGAAACAGCTGTTGCAAACACTACGAGGAGAAATTTTGTCCGGGTCTGCTCTCTCTTCTCTGCGAAAGGGAGGATACGGAGGGCTTTACGAGTGTTTTAGCACTCATCTACCGACAACTCCATAGCAAATTGATTGCTGTGTCGAATTTATCACGCAAATGCCTTGACGAGACTCGGCGCATACTGGGTAATTTCGCCCCTGTAGCGTGCAATACCCTCTTCAAAACTACGGCTAAATTATAAAGGTCAAACCTCTAGAGCCGTCAACTCATTAGAGTCTTCATTCGAATCAAGAACTCGGATTCTTAAACCATGTATAGTTATTCATACCATAAAAGACGTTTGATTTAAAATGTATGTACACTTCAGCTGTTCCAAACTAGATTGTTAGTGGCTTCTTAAGTAGGTATCTTCTATAAGGGGATTGAAATGGCCTGTTTAGAGTGATTCATAGTCCACATACAATTTATTTTTTTGAAGAATGATGCCAATGAAAATTCATCTATGCTTATGTGAATTAAAGAAAATTACTTTTCAGCTAACATCCAAGTTGTTTATAATAAATTTTTTCACCCGAGAATAATCATTAAGGGTGAGTGAGTGGGGAATGATTGATCAACTGTTCTGTTTCATTAATTTATTACCAAAGGTCGATCGTTTGCGTAAATTTCAACTTAACTCTGTGGCTGGATCAGTGATGCGGTGTAAATATGACTTGCCCATGAGTAATGTCCGGTAATAACGTCTGATGTATCGTTTTCGGACTGAATTCTGGAAATTATTACAAGCATTAATGTTAGAGATGTTTCATTATGAACAATCTTGATCACTTAGAATTCCCCAGCACTTCAGTCGGAACAATTTATTTTAGTACTTACTGTTATCCCACTATGCCATTGTGTATTCTTGAAGATACAGCTGCCCACACATGTGTAGTGCCGCATGGTAGAGGGATTGTAATTTTTACTCTCTTTCGGGCTATGAATAAGTGATCGGGTATGATAGCAAGGAGACTTAACTGATCTGCGAGACTAGAGGAATCCTGTCTCGGAGATTTCTGACTTTGTTGGAAAATCACGAACCAATTATGACTGACTCGATTTTGCTCCCAATCAACCTAGTGTAATTGCATATTATTTAAAACTTCACATTTCATGAATGGTCTCGACTTGAGTCTACCCAAAAAAATTATTTAAAATTCATTTATATGAATGACGCGATGGTGAAAGGTGCTTCATATGGCTTCTAAGCTGCGTAGTTAATAAAACATTAGTGAACAACACATTTCATCTTCGGAGGGAATTTTTTTCGAAAATTCTTTTGATCAAAAATTGTAATCTGGTGCCTAACTTGATAGCCGCTTTATAGATAGGAAATTTTAATTAATTGTCGTAAATCGGAGTTAAAGGAGTTGTAAAATTTGTTGATATGGACTTATCTTCTTCTTAGTGATGGCTCCAATGCGATTACCATCAGCCTCACTAATATTAATTGCTTGTGGTGCAGGTGCCGGGGCATTGGTAAAACCGCTACTACAAGCTATACACTTGAGCACCTCAGGCACTGCGAGCCTAGTTCACGAACTGTGCGACATCACGGCAGACCTTGACGTGGAGTCACCGCTAATTGCACGCCATCTGCTGCCCGCAGCCGCGCAGCTGCTACGTCGGTGCCATCCACTGGCGGAGGCGGGGTGGCGGCAGTGCAATGAAGTGGATACCGCCGAACACGACGCTGTAGCCACCTTCATCAAGTGCCTCGCCAATCTGGCGGGAGTGGACGCGCTCCACGCTACCACTGCCATCGAGGGTCTGAACAATGAAATTCTTCAACATTTCCTAGTTCCAGACTGATTTTCTCCAGGACCACCTTTTTAACATCAGTCAAGTTCACCCATCACATACCTCAAATAAATGATAAAAAAGTCCATTTGCAGGTGTCGTGCTTTTGCACTGGGTGCATAAAACTGCAGTTATTCTCAGCGTTTCATCGACGACTCAAATCCCAATGCTCCAATGTTCTGCGGATGTTAATTGATCTCGGGCTTTATCCAATTTTGGCATTGACTTTAGAAACATTAGTACTTTCAGCGTTATGACACGACAGCGTAGTTTGCATTCTGAATTAGCACTTATTGTTGCCAGTTTAAATTCGACCGAAATTGCTATATAAAATCGAGGTTTTTAGTGACTGGTGCTGGGCCACATAGATGGCACTTATAGCGCACGTATATCGGAGCCAGAGTTGTTGTGAACCGGGTGCGCGTCCACTATCACGGCGTTTCTGTATGAGCCTGATAAGTTTCTGGGATTTCAAGCAGTTTAAAATCGCTAGTCTCCACACTCTTTGAACTTCAAGATCCAGGCAGGGCTCAGTACACTACTCGTGATTTGTGTCATCAAAGTGAATGAGCTGAGCCAATGCAGGAAGATGTTTGAAGCTCTTGCCAAGCCCTATGTATTATGTAGCGCCCGGAGACTTCCCTGAAGGCGGAAAGAGGCATGATACTCGGGGTTACTGGCATGGGCCAAGGGCCAGTCTACCCGGCGAAGGTGCAATGGTGAAAACAGTAAGCAGCCCCCTTACCGAAACCGAGAGTTAGGCGACCAGTATGTTACAATTAAGCACCCCTTTAACTTGCAGATTCCTCAATTTTACAGAAAGGGCATTACCAACACTTACCGGTAACCAATAAATCAATTAAAGTAATTAATCACTCAATTCCTTAAAATGAAACTCACAGAAAAACTGGGAAAATAACCTTATTTCAGGAGCTAAAAAGTCGGAAGCACTTTTGCAAATATCGGATTCCCAGTCAATTAGACGTTTAGGAGGAACAGTTTCGAGAAGCATTTGAGGTCGAGCCCTTGATCCCTGTGACAACTGAAATGAAGAGCGTAATTTGCACCTTAGGGATTCCCTAAAGGGCGCAAGATCAGGTTTTTACCTTTCTAAGTTGAAAACACATACAACTCTAAAGAGTAAAGCCAATCTCTGTCTCGTATGTCGACGCTTCAACAATTCGCCTTTCAAATATGTGCACTTCTACCCCAAGTATGAGCAACCCCTAAATGAAAAATAATGAATTTAACAATTCCTAAGGTAGTGGCATTAATGAGAAGGAGTCTACTTCGATGGTATCAGTAATAAACTGACATACACGTGAGTTAATAATAAAGAAAACCTTTGACAACAAACATTGTGTATACAGAAAGACGGAAAACCTTACGTACAAACAATATCCCAGCGCATAACTGTCATGCAACAAATATAAGTGTTTAATATACTTTTGCTTGTGCTTACGGAAACCGGTCTAAATAGTACGTGACCATGGCAAAGTAACTGGAATATATAAATTAGCTTAAAACTAAAATGGTGGCCAATATGGTATTAGAGATACCTAATGATATAAAATCTAGAGCCAGCGATAATAGCGAAATTTCACAGCTCAGTCACTACAACCTGCCACATCATTACGGTTACTGTTGAGGCCGTAGAGGGGTATTGAAAAAGGAAAAGGTCCACATAAGGTAAAAAGGTTGCACTTGTACATAACATAGCAGGCAATGAAAGGAGAAGAAGACAGAGTCCCAGGGGCTTGAATCCGCATCTAGATACATAGAAAAGGTAGCCCATTCTAAAAAATGTAATCCTTGGTACAAAAACTTCCTCCGATTATTAGACCAAGCCGATATTGTCAACACCATAAAAGAGTAGAACACTGGCAATGCAGTATGCAAAATTTAGGAGCCAGTTCATGATCGAAAAAACTCGATGGAAGAGGCTAACCAAACTACGGAAATTAAATAAAATAAGCGGTTCTTTAAGGTCAACAAAGACTAGATTTAGGGCCTTATATATATTGCAGAGAAGAGCAAAAAGGTTAGTGAGAGCAATATGGTAATTTTTTTCCAGAAAGTTAGCTCTTTATTAGGGGCAGTGGACTAACAGTTCGCGAACAGTAAACAAATGGATTGTGTCTAATTAAGTATTTCGAATTAATTGAAAACTATGGGAGGCTCGCAGTAAACAAATATGACACCTAGCACATGTATGCGCCGTGAAAGCAGATACTACATTTTGCCTTCGCACAAACAGTCGCTTAAAACAAAAAAACGAACAAAACAAATTGCTAGGACCAGCAAACTTAAGGAAACAAGAGGTAGTGGTGTAAGTTACGTGTTAGAAATTGCCAGTTTTTACCTTCGTGGACAGGGCAGAACTATGTCTTGTGTTTAATATGCAATCAGTTGATGTTGGTACACTAGTTCATTCAAGCTGAATAACTCTTCTTAAGCTCTTTTCAACCCCATCAAAATTAAAGCATCTTTTGCCTCAGTTTTTATAAAGTATATTCCAATACTTTTTACTAGCAGCGCTTATATAATAAACATTTGTAAAGCAAATGCAGTGATTTTATATTTCATCCGACGGTACGGGTGATGACCCTGACTATTCAGACTCCACAGTTTGTGCTATCAGCTTGCGGTGTGATTCCCAGTCTGTTCTATTAGCCACATAGCTTGTCTATGTGCTCTTAGTATGCACTTTTTTCCATTGGCTTATTTCGATTTAAAGACTTGGGACGCTACATAGAGGTGCAAACCATAACCTTGATTTGCTTTAACACTTGGTATCTACTCCTTGGAAAGTAGGCCCGAAGACCCACTCAGTATCCTTTGTATTTTTGCCATCAGCGCATTCAGGGCTTTGTAGCCCACCCACAAACCATGAATAAAGTCCGTACATGTCGCTATCCGAGGTGGCGTTTGATCTCAATATCAATTGCGTACTTCGCCGACTTTGCTAAAAGCACGGTTTCGTTGACCTTGTATTTCCCAAGGTTAGATGCGGCCCTCAGAGGGTATGCCGCTACAAGATTAATTGACTCAAGCCACAACCACCTAGTAGGGCCGTAGCCGAATTCAGAAACTCACCTCCCACTTCTCCTCCCATTTCAACGCCGCCCAATCGCCAACCTCGTTTTTATTCAGTTACTGCAATCGCAGTAGAGACGTCTCCTCACATACGTTGCGTATCTGCGGTGGCTACCTCCAGACTTTTCAACTCCGTCACCACACCCTGGACTACACAATAAGGAGATGATAATCCAAGGGGTTCGGCCACGATAAATCCCACAAAGTAGGTCTCCGAGGTCTAATTCTACCATGCTGGGGACCACTTCTAACACACCTAGATACATGACCCAACGTCAGCTTTGAACACTCGTTCACTCGGGCTTGGTCTGTTTACTGCTACCGCTACGGTAGCTTCCACCTCACGATCTGTCCTGAAGAAGCAGTAAGGGACAACGGGAAAAGCCAGTTCGCTGCTGGCTGGCGCTTAGAAGGATTGACACATCGGAAACATGGCGGCAAGCCAGGCCACAAGACAATTTGGATTTGTGTAACTAAGCAAACATTTAAACATACCTCCTCTGAACATGGATGACGCGAGTCCCACCTGATCGACACGTCTCGATTTCGCTGCGCTATAATGAAGCCTATGCATGCAAGTGGCGCATATCAATTTCCCTTGTTATCCAAATTTCCGCCGGTTAAATGAACCCGATTACACGCATAAGTCAATGAACAGACAAATACGGTCATCATTTTTAAATACGCGAAACGGGTAAAAAAGTTCATGAACGTCGGGTGAAATAAACACTCAAGTGCTGAGATGTGACGCACCACTAAGAATTATAAAGTGGTACACCGGAACAATACGTTCCAGCAAAACATCTACGTACCTAATGTTTGGGTTAATAAATGCTAATTTCAATGCAGGAGGTAGAATAGCCCTTTGCGTACAAAAAAATTACATGAAACAATTGGTAGAACAACTGTTTGTGATGTTACTATGAGTGTCAGCGTATTATCTCTCAATGGTGGAAAATTGAGTCAGAATGGGGTGGTTCTTCGGGGCATCTGTGAAAATTACGCCGATAAACAAGCGTCCATCAAAGTGTCGGCTTCGAAGAATCTTGCAGCAACCATCGTCGCCCACAACGAAGAAAAAAGGCGTCAACCGTCTGTTCAAACGGCTGATATTCGGTTCGGCATGAAACTCGAGGTACTAATAACGTAAGAACTAGAGTGATATCAAAGTTGTACAGAACACACCTGATAAAATAATAGTAAACTCACCGGTATACCCGATGCTGGATGGATGAAATCAGCCCAATAACCAAAATTTCGCAGTAATGCACATATGTCAATTGCGGATTGTATAAACTAAGTCACATATTAGAAACTTAAAGCAACTTACAATCTCAAAAACCTGTTCGATGTTTTCAATTGTTTGTATCTCCATTTTGTAACGAAATATAATGGTCGTCATCCGAGCCCCTAAGAAATTCTTACTAGGGAAAAGAGTCCTAAGATCCGGTTTAATGAGTTGCGGGCATGCACACACAACATATTCAATAAGGCTGGTGTCGATATCAGGAACAAGGGACTGGGTTTTGGCATCGAAGTCCTGAAGTAAGTTAAGGCGGGATTGCAAGTAAGTCAGCAACATTATAGGACAGGACATCAAAGTTTAAGGTATGAATAACCTGAGCACAGAGTCAAATTAAGTAGCATTTCAATATGCATCAAGTCACGTCCGCGTAAAAGAAAAAAAAATAAATAAAGAATAATGAGCAATTCTGCAAAAACCACTGAACACAAGGACGAATGAGGCCTAAAAATACGCCAAAAAAGCAAGATATTTGTAGCACAACCAACTTGTAGATAGCATACAGCTTGAACCATGATCGATACATAGTGATTCGTCGAAGTAGGGGGTAAAATAAGAGTTGCGGGAATGAGCGATATCTCGGTCTCTTTCGATATTTCCAACAATCCTACATGACCCGGTAATGGACACCTGGGATTTACGGCCTCAATAGGTCCAAGTTGAGTTTCAGGCCACCTCCTGGGGGGCAAACGTTTCCTCCAAAGGATAACTGTTTTAGTGTACATATTCAACATAAATGCCTACTGTAGGGCTGAAAGGATTCACGAAATGTCATAGAAGGCAACGAATTGGACGTCTTAAACCTCCTTCCAAAATTTTTTAAGCAGAATGATACTCCTGTACGTAATGCACACCTCATTTACGTAGAGACGCCAGCAAATGCGACATCCAGTGGAGTAAATAACCCGCCCTGAAAAAGAGGTCCTTTCAACTCAAAGATTATCCAAAAAGACGCAAGTTGACTAGGAAAAGCCAACAAATTGTAGCGTTTGACGTTTTTATAGTAAAATCGGTGCAAATTCATTGAATATATCTGAACTTTACATTAGATTTAAGATAAATATTACAAAGAGAAATTCTTACTACTTTTGGTACTTTCTTTGTTTCTCGCAGCACTCGTGACAGCCTTTAAACTAAGAGGTGTGATTAAATTTCTAAAACACTTAGATTTGATAAAAATGATTTTCCTTGAGGCTTAAGAGGATAATCGGTACATTAACCGTTTGCATTCACTACATCTCCCTACAAATTTTGACTTCACGTGCGGAAACTCTTTAGTTGGTTTAAAAATATACTTCTATTTGTCGTGCTGTTTATCTGCGTTTGTTGTGCAGAAATTTAGAAAACAACTTTGCCAGAATGTTATATTGATTTCATCGCTTTCGGCAAGCTGTTAAAAATTTTAAATATTTATATAGGATATTGACCTTCAGCTAAGTTGATATAGTAAATAGAACATGAAAATAGGTTTGCTTTTTAGTATAAGCAGTTTCATTCTGGGTGCAGTCAGCGTAGCTCACTAAGTTTTTTTTATTGGTAAGAAGGCGTTTCTGTACGGGCTAGCGGTTTACCAAGGGTTCAAAATAATTTGAAAATACAGTAAAACTAGAGGGGGTCAAAAATTTTAGAGCTTAAAAATGCGGCAGATTAGCATTGGTTTTTAAGGATAAATAATGGAAGAAGGGTGTGCTTTAGCGTGATTGACTTGAGTGAATTCGTACAATTTGCTTCGTCATGGTTCAGGTTTTTATTTGGGCGAAGGCAAAATCGCAGAACTTCAGTTTGGCACCATTCTTAATTATACACCAGAGCTGTAGGGTTCAATCTCTAAAATGTTTTGTTCATAATTAGCATCTACATTTAGTATTCCCTAAATTGTAGGAATAGAAACATTTACTAATAAAAGTAGTACATGTTTGCTTACAAATCTTGTTGTTGAGCTGTTTTTTACGACATAACAAACATTCATAATAGCCTGTCGTACAAATACTAAGGGATAAAGGCGCCTAAGGTGTTGCTTCTCTTTTGTAACTTCTTTATGTTTTTGTGCGGTCTATTGACCATTTGTAAAATCAAAAATTAACAAAATACTTAAAAAGTTACATCTTCTCCTAGTCATATCCCTTTACATTTCATTTTATTTTTTTTACGAGGATCTTGTGTAAAACCTTTAAATTTCTTGCAATTGATCCTGTTGATCCTACTTTTTATTTTGCGGGTGTTTATATAAGCTTGTTCGCTAGCTCTTCTAGGGTATTTGGGATCTACTATGCTGTCGTGTAGACGCCTAACTTTGCCTGCGCTACTATGCAAAGAAACCGAATGAGACCTCAGTTCTGGCCTGGATACAATCGTAAGCAAATGTATAGCTAGGGTAGTTGACTGGTGAACGCGTCGGAAGTCATTACGGTTGCACTTTTTGTTTTTTTGTGGTCGAGCTACTTATGAGAAGTTTAAGTAGCAACCTGTATCTGATTCGCAAATGTTTGCCTTTAGATGTGTCCGCGCTGGCAGAGCCCCGATTCCCGTCTCCCTATCGTTGGCGCTTTCACACACCCGCATTATCCCGTCCATTGTTTCAAAATGGTTGGATTTTGCGTGGTCCACCAAGATCTTATAATTATGCCTTCGATCCGGTTCCTCATCAGGCCCCTGGTCGGCCAGTTAGACGGCCTATTTCCTCCCAATCGCGTTCATCTGCATTTCGTTCCTGTAAATACTACGCAAAAAATAGGCGTCGTTCCCATAAAACATGGAAACCTGCCCTCAATCCTAGCGACCCTCTGAATCTTCAAGATCTAATGAAGGAGACGGATCGTCGTAGAATTGAAGGGCTGTCGCCCCCGCACGGTGATTCCCGTCTTAATACCCCCGCTCTGAGTATCAATGGTGAACCTGATGGAACTAGTCCCAACGTTAGTGACCCCCCGAACTCAATTCTTTCGCAACCCTCACTTAACCTCAACGGGAAAAGGAGCTCTTTGTCTTTTCGTTGTAGTGGTTTGTGTTTAAGAACTTCGCGGCGGACGAGGTGGCAAGGTAGACGGATGCCTCTTACCGGGAACTATCCCGATTATTACTCTAGACGGGACCCGGATGATCGAATTAAGGTTCTCATGCCAGAGTGGTTCTCAAACAGTGATGTTGCAGATTACGGTTGTCACAATGGTACAGTCACTTTCAAAATACTCGAACATTTTCCGGACGTAAACAGAATCGATGCCTTCGATTGTGATGCCGAGTTGATTGAAAATGCAAAAAGCTTACAAAGGGAGAAGATTCGTTGGGCAGCCCAAACTAGTGCCAACTTTGAAAAAATTAACTTTCAAGTTGCTGATTGGAGTGATTGTATATCCACGGATGACGATCCTACTTACAACATCATTCTCGCCTTCAGTGTTACTAAGTGGATACACCTAAACTACGGTGATGCTGGTTTAATGCGGTTCTTTCGTCGTGTGTTCAATCTGCTGAAACCAGGCGGTCATCTTTTGCTGGAGCCTCAACCGAAGGCTTCCTATAAGAACAGCAGGTTTACAGTACGTGTGAAATTTTTTCCCTCATTAATGTGCTTTCTAGATTAAACAACAAGAGAACTACAAGGCAATGACGATTGACCCGTCCAACCTGGAGCCTATTCTTCTTGATATTGGTTTTTCGTACTTTGACAAAATCAAGGTTCCGCGGCCTAATGAATCCTTTCAGCGGTGTATTATGTTATGCTCAAAGTCCTACGGCGCAACTCCCTCTTCCATTCGTAACGACTGTCGTGAAGCGGCCCACCTTTGGAGAGGTTCTCCAATATTGTCTGACACATTCGGGGCACCTGCAGGTCCGCCGCCTGTACGCTACTGCCCTCAGACCCCAAATTATTCCTCAATAGTTTCCCCTGCAGTACTAGATGCATATCCCACTTTCGAGTCCTCTGGTACTACCCCAAATACCATCCATCTCGGCGACGTTCTTCAGTCTGCGATTATATCTAGCACTGTGCCCTTCACAAATTCTGATTTAACTCCGGGTGAAGCTACACCTCCCCACCCACTGGATAGCGAAGTAGGGGTTGCAAACTACTCCAACATTTCAGCTCCTGACTCCACTTCTCAAAACTGATTGGCTGGACTTTGTCACCATCTCTTGTACATACCTCTGTCCAGGCGGCACACAATGTATATAATAATGCGGCTATCTAGAGCTGTTTGATTAGACAGTGGGCAGCTGGCATTTACGTAAGACGCATGTAATTGTGAGTTGCTCAACTTCCACAACACTGGGGCTGGAGGCGTGTTGGGCTTTGAATGTGGCAGGGTGTGTGCGTGCAGCGTTCGCAAGGTCTTGGCTCATCACTTTACCCAAGGTGGGGTCTCGATTGCACGACTTTTCGGTTGTCCACGCTGTTTTTATGCAAGGTATTCCAGTTTTCAAACCTCACCAGAGGAACGTTAAGGCTAAAAAGGTGAAGTACCCGTAGATGTGCACACACTTAATGTTTACGTTAAGGAAAACCTTGTTAAGACAGGCTTCCCAGCAGTAATAACCCTTCTTGATGTCAGTTTTGGTTTCATTTTGCCACAGAATTGTTTCCTTTGCCGGTAGTAGTACATGTTCTTCCACAGTCCTTTGGCTTGTCATAACTTCGGAGAAGACTCGGGGACCTATGATTGCAACTAAGTATCTTTCAATATCTGAAAGTGATGTGTAGATCCTCGAAAGTTGCCTACCGTACCCGTTATCAGTACTGACTTTTATTTGGCCTCACCTACTCTTCAGGAAATTGTCGATTCCATGAAGCACCCATTGTGTTTGACCGTCGTTCTCGCCACTATATGCGATCTTCTGTTTCGGACATCACAACAGTACTCATATGAATTAAAGCCGACCACAGGAATGAGACATGAATAGACTTCTGTGCCGTTGTCGTAAGGACCGAACCGTGAGAAACTCCAAAAGGTATGCGGTGACATTCAATTGAAGTGCACATACTATAAAGTAAGGGACTACGGTACTACTTTATCAGTGTGCTCCTTTTTTTATTAATTTTTTTATAGCAGAGTGCGCGGTCTTTCTCAAAAAGGAAAGATTTCCTGTTAGTTGGTAGGCTGGAGGTAATGCTATTGCTATACCAACCGCATCGTTAAACGTCAGGGCTGTAAGTGAGACAAGAGCACGGAATTCGTTTTATCGCAGTCATTGCCCTTTTCTCCACACCGAACTTAGCAGTTTCTGGGAGTGTATCATCTATTCGTGTTATGATATTTAAGATCAAGATTACATCCAAGACTCCCACAATTGCTTAAATGAAGTGTACTAAGAGGGAGAGGAGAGGCATGAGGAAAATAGGTGCAATAAATTAAAAAGGTAGTAGAATCAATGGGAAATAGTCGGTGTAATTTAATAACAAGTCTTATTTGGCATAAATGACAAATCTTGAATGAGAAAACGGTGTGGTCGAAACGTTGACGTTGCCTCTGAGTTTAGTTATTCTAAACAGCGATGATGTCGTCATGTACGGATGTCGGTTGCTCAAAAGCGCATAATGTGCGAGAGGATTTGCAATGCAGCTGCCTTCGGACGTCCAGGTGTTGTCTTCATGTCTAATTTTAGTCGCACTTAGTCGACGCAGGAGTGGAAATTATGCGGTTTTTGTGGGTTTCGTTGAGAGCAAAGATCAACTCGTAAGACATAACAGTAAAATTTCACTTCCGAACAGTACCAAACTTAAAATTGATGTATAATTTGGAGGGAAGATGCGGTGGTAATGGCAGGTAATTGAAGAGATGGCACTGGTGAATTTATTCCTTTTGACATACTACGCACTGCTGAAAAAGCATGCATCATAATTCAGAGCGCCAATTTTTTACGATTTGCCCTGTTTTAGGAGGGTTTTGGTAATCGACTCAACAATTGTATGGTCCCATGTCAAGGAAGAGACGTCCATGTTTTCTATTTTAATAAAAGCTGCCAAAAAAAAAGAAACCAAAAAAAGCATCCGATAGGACTATTTGATGTTGCAACCGACACTAGTCACCTCATCTCATTTGTGCATGTCAGACAGCAGGTTAACCTACAATAGCTAGGGTGCCTGCTAGGCAACATCGTGATTGAATGACATTCGGGAGGATTGTATGAAAATATGGTAAAAATGACTAATTCACAAGGAATCAGAGGAAATTTAACCACTGCGCATGAGCGCACCGCTCGAATGAGTGCCAAAATGATTAGCACCATCTTGGTGTGGGTAAGCATCAAGACCATAAACCATCATATCTATGCTCCAGCACTTTTCCTTTGCTGGGTTTTGCCTTGAGCCTAGAGATAATCGCGCTAGAGTCTGATAAAGTTTGTGCCTGAGCGCCTGTCTCCATCACGTGGCGTCACGGAGTTATCCACTCCTCTACCCGTCTTGAAAGTCCATTATTCATGCTGTCAACCGGAGTCATTTGGGCATTACGCCACGGCGTACGGTGGCGTACGGCATTTACAAGTGATAGTTTTGCGTGCCTAGTGAAAATAGTGCAACGTCTCAGGCACTACCTTGTTTTCGAATCAACATGCTGTAAGGATGCCCACTTTAAATATTCTGGGATTAAAACAAGCATGAACAAGTCAGTAACATTAGGAAGGCGTTTATGTACAACTATGAAAACAAACGAAAACGCTTGTGAAAACACACCCATTCGCTTGATAGGAAGAATCCCCCTATCATTTAAATGAACTAAGATTTGGGAGCTCGCCTTGTTTCCCAGAATAGTTTAATAAAATTTCCATAGAAAGCTTATATTTCCTTTGCCCCTCTAGCACCACTGCACCCTGGTACCGCTACCGCGCTTTTGCGATGTCGCGTCAGTATGATAACCCGAAATGTCATGCCACATGTTTGGACCCTGTAAGTTGTAGCCGTGAAGGCAAAAGTTGGAGACGAATTACTGAAGGACAATGCTAGCTGAGCTATTCTAATGCACGTATGAGTGGCACCTTTATTTCACTTTAAAAATAGAGCTTCCTGGGGCTGACGCAAGCACCACCATACCGTTATTTAGAGTGGAATATCTCACTTATGCATGCAATAATTTGCGGTGCCATCATACTTCAAGTATAAACGTTTGGCAATATAACACCTGGAGTCAACTATACAGTCAAACATGCTAGCCTAAAGTTTGTCATCCAAGCCAATGGCATTTATAGGAGGTGATCTGTTGTCAGAACCCACTGTTCAATATTGACGACGAAGTTTGACATTTTGAAGGTCATTCAAAAGGTGCACGCTTTTTATGAAGACTGAATCTTTGGCAGAGATGACACTAGTAATATTTGTTTTAGTTACTCATAATAGAATTACTGATATCATTAATTAACCGCAGGGCCAAAGTAGAAAGTTGCGTCCAGAACAGTAAATATCCTAGGAATGTCGCAAGAACTGACAGATCAAAGATACAAAAGGTAATGAAAATTACTTGACAGGACAGTGCATTCAGCATTAAGGACTAATGAAAAAAGTCAATTTTAAAAAGCCAATCCCTCAATAGCAATAACTAAATTGTTTAGTATTCGATATTTATTTGAGGTGGAGGCCGGATGGCCTGCAAGATCTCAACTCGATGTAGGCGCTTCCCGCACTATTGTGGCAATGTTTTTTATTAAATGAATGAAACAGAAAAATGCCATTAAGTTCTTTTGGATGCGCTCTGATCGATTAGATCTACAGAAGTGCACTTTTCCGACGAAAATGCTGAAGGCAATATGAGAGAAAATCGGCCAAAATAGTTAAATATTTCCTTGCATGCAGATGTATTTCTGAAATTCCCATCAATCTTTGAAAATAATGGTGGCTCTGTAAAGGCCGAAGCATTTAGTTGTAGAGACATATTTCGGGCAAGATATACACTAAACCAAACCTGCGAAATAATACTATATTGTAGCGTCCCGAGACTCCCTGAAGACAAAAGAAGACAAAATACTCGGGCAGAATATATATATTCAGCACGGAGAAGGTGTCTGGGCTATTGGCATGGCCCAAAAGGCCAGCCCACCCAGCGAGGTACAAGGGGGCTAATTCGAAGTACAAAAGTGGCGCCTCACCAGAACCGAGGGATAAACCACTATCGTATTACAATATAGTTAACGCTTTCGACAGCATTGTCTTGTGCACAAGATCATTATGTAAAGTGCTTACGAGCAATTCTTTTCTGGGTGACAAAGAGATTTAGGCGAGGTTTCTTTATGGCATATTACCATTTAACATTCAAGTTCCTAAATCTGAAATAAAATAAAATAGTGGTCTTTAATAGTTAGCGCTGTATCAGTTTAAGTAGATACGGCTATGAAAGTGTCCGCACGTGCTCGGTCGGCGCAACTAAATTTGCCCAAATGCTGTCTTTCGTCAGCAAATGTCAACCCTTAGAAAAAAATTACATAAAATCGCAACGAAAACAATATCCACCTATTATTTTACCCATTTTGGTCGTCAAATTAATGTTATAATAAAAAGAATTAAGGTTTAGTGGATAGATAGATAACACACAGAATTAAGAAAACTCCACGCTTCAAAATTAGTCAGAGTCGAAAATGGATATCTGCAAAGGTGAGATACCATGTTTTAGAAACAAGCGATTTTCCTTCCGTTTTTCAGGTACTGATAAGAGCTAGAATGCCTTTTTTAGAAATAACAAATTTTTGGAAAAACAAGAAAGAACGATGTGAGGTGAGGGACAAGTATTTCGTTAAAGTAAAGATGTAATGATTAATAGACCAATTATTCAATCTGTCAAAAGTCTTGATAAAAAATCAGCCATGTGGAATAAGTTTTCTTTTGTGGAATCAGACGTTTTACTAGTATGGCACAAACAGTAGAAGACAGCTAATACCAGCATTAAGGCAAGATTTTGTTTCAAAACACAAATACTATTCTTGTCTATTCAAAGTACTTCACAGAGTGATGTTGCTTACCTTAGTTGTAGCTTCTGGCGCGCAATTCTTCACTGTCTCATAGGATTCGACCACCGCATTGGTCGTACCTGACTCTTATAACACAAATCATGCTTCCGGTTCCACAACTGTCCGAACATTCTTAATGAAGCATCTTCAAGGTTTACTCACAAATTACAGTGGCGACGATACCGCCAAATATGCCTACCACTTTGTCATTTATAATAAAAGTGACCACTTTACTGGTATTCCATAGGAGGCTTGCATTAAAATTCCTCAGTTTGTTACTACACAGAAAGTGGTAGAGAAAAGCCACTCATGACTAAAGGAAAAATATAAATGCATTATAAATCTAGGAATACTCTAATTTCCCTTATGTTTACGGTATTGTGATGAGCCTGTATAGCCACCGTTAAGTCGTAAAATATACATTATCACACTATTTGGAGTTGCAAAAAGCTCAAAATAAAGAGTAAAAATAGTTAGGAAGGATTAAAATCCTAACGTATTATAGAAAATGAATGCAACCAGTAGAGAATATCTTAAGATTTAGTGTAGATGATCTGGTTTTCCTGCATGGTTTTTGCTTTTAGGCAAACGGTCACAATAAAAGCTAGTGTCATTAAAAGTGGGCCCGCCTGTAAAGCATCATCTAGCCTCGAACACCACTTACCGTCACAATAGTTTCAAAGCAGGCTGTTAGTAGAGCATGGGGCAAGTGAGTGAAGTCGAGATCGACAAGACACGCTGCCACCGTCAGATTCACGTCACTCCTCATGGTGATGTTATATCACTGCACGATTAATGTTGTGTTGCTCAGAATTTCATTTACCTAACTACTGCTGTGGTGACCGATGCAAAAAGGCAACGTACTGCGAACTACTTAATGTGTGAGAGGTCTTCCCACCAGCTGTAAGACATAAGTATGCCATACATGATTTGTCTGTTTATTACAGCAAGTTTGCACACTTGCCGTAGAGATACGCATCGGCCTCATTGGATCATGGATCAGAGATTTACTGCGAATAAAAGATGACTTTGGGGTCTAAGTGATTCAAACCTCAAAACCGAATTAAATATTCCTAAAATGAAAGGGACTTGAGCCGAACCTTAAACTAGAATGAAGTGCACATTTTGTCGCATTATGAAATGTATCTGTGGTAATAAAGCAACATTAAACAACAACAGATAAAATATTAAGTTTTGTCAATAGCTAACACTCAAGATAAGACAGATAATAATGTCTGAGTGAGGTGAGTGTGCGTTTTTCCCATTTGTTCAATTTAGATTGAACAATGTTTATTAAAATTGTTAACCGTACACAACCGCCACAGTCGAAAACCTGACCTCCGCAGTATTTGAGTTCTCCGACGTTGTTCAATCTGAGATGAATTCACATGAAAATAGCGAAGATATTATTGGGAGGAAAGTTGATCGCTGCATTTCAGATGTGCTAATTAAAACAGGTAATACGTTCTCCTTCGCTAACAACTCTAGTAGGTGCTGGTGTTTCCGTTGGTATAATCGTCTCTGTTTTATTTGCTCGACGTAAGCGACGCTTACCTCCATTTTAAGTGTTAGGTCGACTCTGGCCTCTGATATTCGGCGTCGGATTCGGACTTGGTATGGGAGTTTCAAACTGCAATAGTGAATTCAAGCAACCACTGCCCTTGCAATCCCACATCATCAAAGTCCAGAAGAAATCCGGTTGATGGAACACTTAACCCCCACCAGTCACCAGTATCCTTAGTTAGTTTTTTTTCAAAGCTAGTGCTCTGTAAATAAATCTACTGCATCGTGATCCCGTTTGCTGCGTTGCACACCAATGTATTCGACCACAAACTCGGGACCTTCCTTTGGGCCTAGTCGCCAAACCTGCTTCACTACGATCGAACAACCGCACTAAAGATATGGGCCGCACCTCCGCGTACTGCAAACTAGGACCCTGGCTATACTTTTATCCATCCAGGCCCTAAGAGTACACAAAATTAACGCACCCCAAGCGCTCATTTGCTTCTTTTATGGCCACAAACGAAGCCAAAGGCATTCTATAATTCAAATGACCGAATTTGCCAGACCGCTATGACTGGTGTTTTGAGCATTGTTTGAACGCCTCTTCACCCACTTCAACCTGGTTGCTTCCGGTAGCCTATGAGGTTGCCGACTTCGGGTATCCAAATGCCAACGATGTCTGTTGGAACCCTGGCACGTTTAGAAGGTTTTGCCTATGTTAGTGAACATGGTGACGACTCAGCGCGGCACCACGGTCAGATCAGAGCGGCAGAAATTTACGTACATGTTAAGGTTAATGATAAACTGCGTCTCTCTAGGCACGAATGAAGGTGGGTCGGCGACAAATCTCAGTGAAATTACCCGTCCCACAACTTGACAATAATACAATGAGGCTAGGCTAATGCATTTACAAAAACAACAATGAATAGTCACTTTGTGGAAGAGGGAATATGAGGGTTCCACGATTGTAATGTGTAAGGGGAGTCTGTTGGTCTGAAATAATCCGAGGGACAGTGGCATAGGAAACTCACACAGTTTATGCTGCGAGGAAGTTCTTCTTCCATTCCTGAAAATGGTTTTCAAAAAAAAACAAACCTATTACATATTTCGTTGGATCAAATTCTCCCCTTGTTGCCTCAGAGGTTGGTACAAGCCAGGTTAGCACAACTGAGGCATCTTCGAAGCTATCAACTATGATACTCCGCACTTGAGCGTAATACTCTCCACCGTCGACATCCATAACCGAAACTATATCGCCAATTTGAAGCCATTTACCCTAAGAGGCCACGATCAAAGTAAACCGAGCGAACCTTGTGTAAAATACGTGATTCGAGGCGAACAAAGGCTCGTGGAGGAGCAAGTTTAGTGGGCTAAAAGGGATCAAGTTAGTGGGAAAGAACAGACTACACTTGTTTTAAAAATGGACCGCCTCGATCTGAACTTAGAGCTGGATGAGCCATTTGAAGATTTTGCTTTGTTAGCTACACCTCTAGATCGGAGCGCCTTTTTCATGGGACCGGTGAAGTCGAAATCCGAATCTGTCTTGACAGTTCGTTTACGCCTACAGGCACGTTCTATAATGAAAGAATAAAACTACCTAGACATCAACGCCAGGTACGCCAAAGCGGAAAAAGGACCTTGATAAAACAGAACAAAAGTGAAAATGGCGGTGAATCTGACTGGTAATTAGGGTTCTACGAGTAAAACGGTAGTCAGGTAAATTTGAACCTCTCAAAAAACCTGCGGCACAGAGGTTTCGGAACTAATTCAATCAACATAAGGATGTGCTCGATAGAATTAAACCAACGAATTCATCCTATATTATTAGAGTGGCGAAACACGGACACAAGCAAGAAATGCACACGACTTCAAATGAAATCACTTTGGATTAAAAGACACAACTGGCACTGGACAAGATGAATTGCAGTGAAAGGAGGCCGTTTTTTTGAATTACGGTAATAGCAACGCGTCTAACGTGAAATAACCACACACATGCTACAAAAATTACCACTTGCTTGACCATCGAATGCAGCAACAGCTCTATCTGAACTCATTTCATTTCAAAACACGATCCTGAATTAACCGCCTTCAAATACTGAAGCGCACCTCACCTTAACTAATAAATTATTGGCAGATAGTTGTATATTTTGATATGTTGCACAAAATATTAGGCTAAACACACTGTAGTTTGTAAACAAGGCATGATGTTCCTAATACATTAAGGATTTCAAAGCATTTAGTAAAGACCTTGACATCTTGCTATCGGTTGCCTCTCGAGTCCGTGTGCGTTCGGGTTCTGATGGCTGACGGAAGTGATGAGTGTCTTACCTACAACCTTTCAGGCTAGTATTCCCTTTGTTCCAATAATTTTGCGTATTATAAGTTTGTCCCTCAAACATTTCACTTTAGGTGACGCTGATTGGACCGATGCATCTCAGTGCTGTTTATGTATTTTCGGTGGCCTTTTAACTAATGTTTTTAAGCTTTGAGACTACGGGCTGATTTCCTTTTATTCTTAGTGTATTTCCGGCTCCTGCACTAAATATGAATGTACAATAAGACTTGGGTACCTATATGCAGAAAATTTCCGGGTTATGTACTTATTCATAATTTTGAACCAAGTTGGCTACTAACATGCTGTACCAAAAGGATATATGTTTACTGCAACTGATAGCTCTTTTGAGACGTTATTTCATGCTGTTAAGTTTCAGAGCACTTCTGGGATTTTGACTAACGAGTTCGCTAATATTTATCTTAAACTTTTTTTGCTATTATAAGTATTTGTAAATTTGGCTCTCCATTGTCCATGAACTTGTGGTGCAAGTTATTTATTGCTCTGTAAACTACTGTTTATGCGTGAAAGACAGTATCTAAGGTCACCAAATTTAAATAATCTGCATGAGATTAGCCTTCGTCTTTCGTTTTTTACTTCTCGGATAACTATAGGGCCCCTTACTGTGTGGTCCAGGGAAGTTGTAGACTTCATCGTCCCGAGTGCACCAAAGACGTTTTTCTACATGCCGGACTTCCTTGATCCTGACGCTGAAGGGGAACTAATGAAAAGTATCTATGCTGCTGGGAGATGGAAGTGTCTTTCTCATCGACGTCTTCAGATTTGGGGCGGAACCCCTCACCCAAATGGCATGATTGCGGAGAAAATTCCAGAAGTGGGCTACTCACATACTTTTGTATTTTTCTTAGTGGCTTCACGGACTAATGGATCGTATTTCGGACTTGGGTGTTTTTGGCCCTAATCGGGCCAATCATGTACTAATTAATGAATACAAACCGGGACAAGGAATAATGGTGTGTTACCATACATTAATTATTTGCACGAATTATCCAGCCCCATCACGATGGTTCTCTTTACTATCCAGTCGTTGCAACTGTGAATTTGGGCGGGCATAGTGTTTTAGACTTTTACAAGCCCATTACGACGGAAACACTGGTGAGTATCCTGCTTACTGAGTAGCGCGAGTAGTATCATGCTCAGCTACTGTTTGATTATGTTGACGGTTCCTTAGGAAGCTCTTGCTTACAGCACACTTTATTGTGGACTTTACCACTACTTAACATCCCTAAGTTGCAGTTTCTTATATTCGCTATCATTAATCAGCGGGACTTAGATCTGAACGTGTCCATGTCATTACCTTTAAATACTTTTTGGTTTTGTTATTAAGAATGCATCTTTAATTGCGCGTTATGTTGGATCGGCACTGTTGATGCCTCGCAGTTTAAATATGGTGACGGAGAGTCTCTACACCTACTTTATGCATGGAATTGAGGAAAGAGAAATCGACTACTTACCACAGATCAAAGGCAGCTCTAATTCACTGAAGTATGTGGGATCTGATGACCAAATCGAGAAAAGGTTATTTAACCTCCTCCAAATCCCTAATTTAGAGGATTCATCCCACTTATTGCAGCGCCAAAAAAGAATCTCCGTCACAATTAGATACGTCCCCAAAACACGGAACGTCAATCTATTGCGCGCTCCCAGGTGATCCGTTTTGTAATTATTTTCCACCATATTTGTATTTTTAAACAAATAAAAGGAACTACTTGAAGAACATGCAATGGCTTTGTTTCTGAGCTCTGTCGATAAGGTATGATGATGTAAAATCTGATTAAGGGTTGGCAAAAGTGCTTAGCGAGAATCCGCCCAGCCGTCCTCAACCTCTCCAATCATACGCGTTTAATTCGTCCGATTTCAAAAAAAGGCACCTGAACTACTTCGAGAGGCAACCCGGTTACTGTTTTTTTTTCACACTCTAGGACGCAATCACAGAGGCTGAAAGTCCCGGTAACCCGAGTAGACATTTCCAGTCTAAGATCCCAGCCGAAAGGTCAACGTAACCAAGTCGCAAGGAGCCTCGAGAAATTCGATGAAGTCCATAGAGCACCTAGATTATGCTTAGCTTCGGCACTGGGAACTGTCACAAACAGTACTAAAAATACAGCATCTGTGACGTGAGCAAACATAAATGGGAACGAGTGACCACGTAGCGGTTCACCGTCATGATCCTGACCTCAAAATAAATGGGAGAGAATAAGATTTTTCCGCTGGGTGGTTCTACGCATATTCAGCTCAAAATAAATCCACCATATTGCGTAAAAACAAGAAGGCAGGACGCCACAACGAGGATGAGGGGGGTGGTGGTATTCGCGGTGGGTGAAAGGTAGAGTTCATCACAATCTGCTTGGACGGAATGGTGCACTTGAATACAGGAACAGAGACAATGGGTGATATGTATGGTATGCATGCTTTAGTGGTTGTTGGTATTAAAAAGTCTGCTCGCGGATGCTCTACGCCCCTGCGCGCCGGCGTTGCGCCGTTTATGTCGCAATGAGATGCGGTTAAAGAAGCTTGTTCGGGGCTGTTCTTTCATGGAGGTGACCTGCTGTGGTGCGTCAGAGGGAGTAAGTGCAGTTGATGTATTGGAAAGGGTGCACGGAGCTGCTTCCGTTAGGGACAGTTCACCCTCATTGGGCGAATTGAGAGAATTTATTCTGGAAGAATCTTCGCTGGCTGAAGCCGGAGCAATAAAGTCCTCTACACCTGAGACACTTTCGCTGCAATTGAGCACACGCCGCCTCATTCGGACGAGTGGTGAAACATCTAAATAGAGCATAGGTTCAAAAAGGAGAAATGAGCTACGTCTTCAACCAACTCAAGCACTATTTGCATGCGATTCCACATTTAAAGGTATTTTTTTGCAAATTCTCGGAGGGTCCCGAGTTGGCAAAACAGATGCATAAGCCAAATAGTGGAACATCACGGTCCTACATGCCTATATGCTTAAAACTTATTTAAAGCCCTAAATGTTTTAATCAAACACGCACGCATTTTCGAGGCCTGTATTATCGGCAATACAACAAATAAAGTGATTTATCATGAAACTTCCTATCGATCAGATCACTCCTATGCTAGAATAATTTTATGAAACAAATTACATGAAACAACAAAGCTTTTATTGCTGACTGACTCCACTCCAAAACTATAAGCCATTCTTTGAAGTTTTCGGTGTAAGCTGACACGCATTTCTAAAATATGGTTCTGACCGCAATGATGTGTCCTAGTAGGCTGTAGTAAATGTTTCATGCCCAAGTAGCCTTTGCACAATTAAAACCAATATTTTGAGACAATCAATGATGGAAAATAATAGCAACTCGCATGCAGTTCACGTAAAGTAGACGCTAAAACGAATGAAGGCAAGCGCAGCAAGGAGGCTGATATCAAAACACAGACAAAGCGATAATGGTATGGCACTAGCACATGAAACTTGCACACAAACACAAAGTGTTCCATTAGGATGCATACCGCAGCTCAGAGGTGCTGAGGAAGTGCTGTAAAGATGGTGTGTGGAGAGTAGTTAGAAGCAAAAACAACAATTGAAGAGATATGAAAAATGTATGCAATGAAACGATATCTCATGTGTAAAAAGCCGTAAAAATCATCACTACAAACGACTACAAACCCTCTTGCAAACTTAAAATCCGTTTCTTTAGTCGACTTTTACTTCTTCGTAGAGTCGGAGGAGCTGCATTAACGCATATACGAATCGGAATACGGGAGCAAAATCATAAAATTAAGTCTTAACAAATAAGTTGGCATTAAAGATGAGCTATGTAAGGTGCAGAGAGAATATGGGATACCTTCCGACAGGATCGCTGCCCCTGCTTGGAGAATATATGCTATGGTAAATTTAACTTCAATAATTAATGAGTAAATAAGGACTAAGATATTGGGATCAATGTCGTCATTGGTAGACTGAACGGTCCTTAATTAAAAGTCAACCAAACCTTAAGCCTCGCTTGGTGGGGTCAGGTAAGGGGTTTCATGCAAAATAATATTGTTTTTTTTTTCTAGAACCCACTCGTAAAATGGTTCACAGTGTGTACAACTAATTAATACCAAGGACACTACACATAATAACGGAAAAATAACAAAGATAATGCCGATGAGAGGGAAAAAATTAGGTATGATCTGAGTAAACAAACCCGCTACAAGGTAATTCACTTGCGACAGCTAACATTCCTTTGCTTACTGCCTGCCACTTATCAAGGATAAAGTCATTTCTCACCTTAAAAACTAGGATCATTGGGAAAGTCAAAAAGTAAAAGAGGGAACGAAAATGAAAGTAACGATAAAAGCAATTAAGCAAAGAGGTGGGATTTTACTATAAATCTGAGAAACTACCTTTCTGTGGGATACTCGGGAGTCTCACTGAATCCACATCAAGATGAACTGGAAACCATGGTGCTACAGCTGCAGGTCCACGATCGGAGTTCTCCTGACCTACGAAGGGAAATTTGATAACTGTGAATGCAACAGTCAATCAGCTCCGAGTTAACGATGCCCGAATGGTAGTGAAACTCGCAATACTTTACAGACTGTCTTGGCACTAATGAACGAGGAGCAATTACTACACCACAATTAATTTGCAGCAGAGTAGTGCTACGGTAGGAGAGGAACTGGAGCCAATGAAGACTTATTCTAGCATCATAAATGGTTACAAATAAGCCTCGTGATGATGATGACCAGCATATCGCAATATTTCCTCTCAACGTATGCTAGGGTGGTCACGTGTATACAATTAGAATGATAAAAAGCAACGCGAATGCTTTCGGTATACGAAACGAGTTGAAGATAGTAAATTAAAGAGAAGCACAGCTGCAGCCGCCACAAACGAAAACAAACTCACCAAGAAGAGGTCTTGGTGAGGCCACCTGCATAACGAAATCTTCAAAGGTAGTGTTTTGCATATGACTACTGATGATCGATTGGAGATAGAAGTATCGCTCCTCAAAGCTAGGACAAGAAGGTTAAGTCTGTAAAGGGAACTCATACAAGGGGACTCATAGAACATGGGAATCGGTAACAAGATAAATCGAAGCCGTCGTGCTTGATGCGATGTACAAAAGGATACTGTTCCTTAAAATTAGGTTTTCTGGTATTTATGGCGTTGCTAGCTTGAATTGCTGTTGAACGAACTAGGAACGGCAGATGTTCTTCCGAAACCAGCATACCATCGATAAGGGGACCAAAGAATGGTATCTTAGTCACAATAAAAGAAAGATCAATTAGATATTAATTTAAAACGAAGACAGTCATTGAAGAAAAAATGCAAATAACATGTCCGCAAAAAGATCAGCTAGACTCTTATTCATGGAAATCAGAAAAAAATGAGATGCCTCTTCTTCAAGAAATTGACTAACTTGAATGAAAGTGCCAACAAAAGATATGTTAGGAATTAAATTACCTCCGACTCCTTGCGTATTTCAATTCGAAACAGACCACTGGAAAGCGGTGAGATAATAATGAGTACATCACCAAACTCTGTGCGAAGGCTACTTCTTCGGAAAGAACGCCAGTGCTCAGTCCATATGATCATCACTTCATCATTGCCAAGGTGTTTAAACTAAAGTGGTGGTGAAAAAATAACTCCGATATAAATAAAACTTAATAACCCCACACTAAGTCATTCGTAAAAGAAAAGCACAATAACTTAAGTTTACACTTATCTTTGGTGTACAACCGTAGGCCATAGTACTGCAGAAACATGATGTGGTTAAAAATAACGAGTAGTGATGAGGAAGGAGCGGTCCCAGGGCTCACCATTCGATGTCGATCCTCATCAGTAGCAGAAGGCATATGAGTGGAGACGTGAAAGATGACTTCAACTGCGGGACTGGCGAAGTAAGTGGCGATGTCGCCATCCTCGGGGTACTGCAAACCTCCCGTAAAGCCCTGGTGATTGGCCAAGTTTATGGGCCAACCGAGGTTGGAGACAAACCGCTGAAACTCGATGGAGCCCCGCAGATTCGACAATATATCTTGTTTTTCCTCCTGTCCCGGTCCAATGTACACCAGTGCTATCTTGTGAGTCTGACGCCTAAAGGGACATGATCGGGCACCAAAACGTTTAAGTTTACCATATGCATTTATTGCCAGACATACATTTCCACATTTCAACAATGCAAAAAGGATAACGCTTTATCCAATTTTATCACTTCATTGAAAAGGAGATTCCATCAAATTTATCAGTAGCTGTTGCATTTCACAACTGCTCCTATACAGCATCAGTGCCAATCATCAAGAGTGATCGCAAGTAAGTCACATCAGCATTCACACCATGCAGTAAAACAAACCATATTAAGTATGGGAGTTGGGAATTGTCGAAAAACGAGTAGATGACTTCTGCCCATTTTAAATATCCACTTATTACGTATCTAGAGGAGGCATGATAAACGGATGATTAACTGGTCAAGAGTGATAAAATACGAAACTCACGATCGCCGCTTGTCAAGGTTCTTAATTTCACGGACTAATCCCCAAGACTTCTTCAGCAATTCGATAGAAGGTCGACGACTTTGCGATAAAAAACCGAGTTGACACAGAAGTTGTTTAATGACATTGTATTTCTGGTTAAGCTTAGACCACTGTTCCATTTCAGTCGTTTCCATCGTTTCCTCAGCACCATTGCCATAGAAAGGCCTGAAAAATAAATAGAACAGAAGAGGATGTTGTGGTCGAAAATATTCAACTATGGGAGGTAGGGAAAAAGTTGTTCAATTATTCAATTGATGAAAACGGTTGTGAACCATATACCCGTGGCAGAAATATACTAGTGGAGCATCTGATATCACCTGATAAAAAGTGATTTATGAGCGACTAGGCCGGTATGAAAAATACCTGGTGTAAAATGAGTAAAATATGGAGGTCATTTAGAAAAACTCACAAAGACAGATTCTCAGTGTTGCGTCCAAGGATCCGTTTTTCGTTCTTAATCGCAGCGGAAATCCGTTGAAAAGCCCATTTTTCGAACGCTGGGTTCGCCACGCAGCTGCTGGTATTAGCTGCACCAACCGCAATGGTGTTTTCAAGTGGGATTTGGGATCTAAGCTCAGGGTGCTGCAAGATCAAGCCTTCAAGAAGCTAAAGAGTAAAATACACTGCAATACCAAATTAGCTAAAGAAAAGATGATAAAACTCGTCAATCCTGCTCCGCAAGATACTCATATCCGATCCCATCCATGGGGGAATTTAACTTCCAATACAGAACAGTGTAAATATAGTCAATGGGTGTACTGCGTGAAGTAGAAGTAGTAGCATAGGAAGGTAGTCTCAGTTACTTCCACATAGCAAATAGTACTCGATAAAACATTAATCACTTAGCCGCATGTACCTTGGTGAGGAAGTCCACCTTAGCCTTGGTGTTCTGCTCATCGCCATTAGGTTCGATAGCTTCCAGGTTGATTGAAAGGGCTCGCTGACGGGGTGGGGGCGATGGTGCCCGTTTCTGAGTCTTCGGCATTAGGCCATAGATGTGGGTAGCATCCCACGCGTACTTGCCCACGACGTCCCTCACAATCACGCGCACATTACAAAGGTCTACGTTGTAGCAAAAAACAACAGTTTCAGGTCATTGCCTTGGACTAAACAATAGTCCTCCAATATCTAAAACGTAGGGAACTCATGGAATAACGATCATAGGGGTTTCAAAATAATTTGCACCTGTTGCAACGTCTTCTCTGAAGGCTTCGGTATTGACCGCATGTCCGGTTCCCGAGGCCCAGTTGTTGGATTTATCAGGAGATGAAGTCACAGTGAAAATTGACACCAAGAAGGATCGATTGACGACAAATATTTGTACGTCAGGCTGATCAAACGATTCAAAAGTCAGCTCCTCATCTGCATTGCTTACAGTCGTTTTCCTATCATGATGCTCCTGAACACGGGAATCGAGTATATCATTGGTACTTGACTAAAAGAGAAGGAAATTATGGCAAAAATTCGACAAATCTCATTTATCAAACCATCCACCCAGTGCGAAATAATTACTGACATTTTGAATGAAAGGACATCGAATTAGGCTATATTGAAGGCATAAAAGTTGTGGAGGATTGTGAATGAAGGGTAAAAAGTGCTCGTCGGCAGTGAATGCGCCTTCAAATACTGCGGTTGCAAACGCGCGTCAGTGCTGACAGTTTAGGAGAGAATTGGCACTCACCAAGGGGTATCGACCGAGTTGGCAGAAGAGTTGACAGCGAGCGAACCGGGCCGCCATCCGAATGCTCTCCGGAGTGAGGGGAGCTGGTGTCAGGAAGTAGCTTTGGTCGGAAAAAACCCCCTCTACGAGGTGGGAGTGACGTTCACCACCACCCACGGTTGGTCGTAGCTCATCGGTGAACTGAAAACATCGGTACGAGGACATTATACCATCGCTGAGTTTCAGAGGCGAATAAGCACACAAGAATTGAAACAAACGGTGACAAATGAGTGTGCGAAGACGGAGACATGTGTCGTTCCAAACTGAAGATACCAAGCAGTAAGTACACGCGTTTAGGCACCACCAATGTATAAAATGAAAATTTTACTCACTTTCTTCTTCTGCTCAACAGACAGCAGTTGGTAGGGAAACCATGGAGTAACCTGGTGCAGTAATATTAAAAATGACTTTGCGCTGCTAAAAGTTGCTGCGTCGGTTTTACAAATGATAACTTTAACCTTATTTATGAATAGGCGGCTTAATAACCGTCCATCAGTAAAATTGAAAATGAAAAGAGAGCAAGACTAGCCTTGTTTTCGACTTCATCGGCAAGAGGATCGGAGATCGGGCAGCCGGGCACCCAACCAGGACCCGCTGGTTCCAACTGAACGGACGTAGCGGAAGAAGAACAGATGAATTCGAGAACCGAGAAGACCACCCAGAGGCAGGTAACTTCCTTTGACCATTCTTGACCACCTCCTTCCGCCTTGTTTAAGTCAACGAACGGTGAAGTCAAAAGCGGCATTGGTATTTTCACTGTCCATTCCATCAAGGTTGATATGTTTGTGGTCAAGAGCTAAAGCAAGCAATAAAGCGATTGTACTTTTGTTGATCTCTACAAAGTAAACTACCCAGATTTTCAGAAGCAGTATTTTGTGCAAATAACTTCATTGATAAATAGGGGAAGTAAAAGCAATTAATATCCCTGTCAATATTCAAGTAGGCAAATCGGCCCAAAATAAGCTTAAAAAATAAACACACCTGACGCGATAAAACGATAAACATTGGGTGGACGCAATGCGTGTTGGTTTATAGCTACCATTATTACTCAATTCGGATGAGAACATAAATTTGAAGTTAAACGAATCATTACCATATGATTTAACAATAAATGGGAAAATATGCTAGAACTAATACCATTTTAAATGTTGGTGATATTTTATCCTCCGTATAAGCTTGACTCCACAGAAAAGCTAAGTTCCATGCGAGTGCCTGAAATGAAAATTGAAGGATTTATTAAAGATGCTCAATGTGAAATACAGTAGTCTAGACTAAGATGTACATTTAAAACTGAGCATTATTTACATAAGATAGGTGAATAATCGAGATTTTGAAGCGAATACGAGAGATAAATGTCAACATTTATTTCATTCTCTGATGCATTGCGAGGGAGGCGACAAAACTCTGCAAGCAATAAAGGAAAGAGCGAAGACCACTTGCCTGAATGATGAGGATGGGATAGGTGGGGTTGATGTCAAAGATGGTCTCCGAGCACTCGGTGAGCGTGCGAAGCATACTCATGGCAGTGAGGGCGACAGCGCGGTTGGTGAGGCGAGTACAGCGCAGCAGAGTGACGAGACAAGTGCGTAGAGAGGTAGCCTTCTCGGCCGAGGCGAAGCGCAAAACCGATTGTCTAGTGAGATTGGAGTAGCACATCATTAGAAGACCACAGATCGCCACCTGACGCGCTCCCTCATTTGCCTCCGCCACGACTCCACGAAACAGTTGAGCGGCCAGGAAAGGCTGAGGGGGAACAACAGTGCCTCATACATTAAACAACCATCAGTAGATTAAGTATGCTGAACCCTCTTCAGTGCGGATCTAACTCAAAACAACGTACAAAATTCAAATACTATATCAAGCTTTTACTGATTATATTAAAATAACGTGCTGAGAAAAAAGTGCATGCGAAATGGTTAGTGGAAGTTTAAAGATCGCCTAATCTGGCATTAAGATTTGTTGTGAGTATAAAGAAATTTGGCTGCTAACTCACGATGATATCGTCAGTCTCCTTCACTTTAAGCTCACGTAGAGCGGGATCGAATACTTTCAGTGGTCCAAAGTGATGTTGAAACGGAAGCAGAGCGACGAGAATGGACATTGCCCGAGTGCGTAAGGTCTGAGATAGGCACCAAAACTTGCAAGAAATGCTACACATTTAGCTGTTTATTTGCTTTAGGAAATGCTCTATTATGAATAATGCAAGTGGTTGTATAACTAGGGAAATGTACACGTCAAGTCGTAGTATATCGAGCAATAAACGCTGCATTTTTTCCACTTCTTTGATATGGTAAAATTCCATGCATTGTGGGAAATTATTATTTTATGACCATTGCATGGTAATAATGAAAATAAATCCGATAGGTGTTGAAAATAAACGGTTAGGTTTAGGTCAAAATATAGCAGAAAAATAAGCAGCGAAATGTCAAAAGCACATTAACAGGGAATTTTTGGGACAATACAATGAAGGCGCCAAGATGGGTCACATATATAGCATAAAATTACATCAAAGAAGCTAAAGAAATAAACCTTGGATTGTTCAAAAGTGAAGAAGAGAAATAAAACGGCAAACAGTGCGGTAAACATTACACAAGACCCAAAGATGTTACAGTGGCTGTCGATGTAGGGAGATATCATTATCGATAAGAAGGGAAACTTTTGCTGCTAAATGTAACTTTTGCATTTGAACAGATCCGCTTATCACAACACAACTATGGGTTAAAAAATAATAACTGTATAAAATAGAATTAAATTACTAGCATACAAAAAAAAATTTACAATGACGAACCTCGTCCTCTGAAGAAGGCTGACAGAGGATTTCGTCAACAGCCTGAATAAAGTCCAATGTCAGCAGACCACAACCAGATAAAGAGTAGCTGAAGATCTTTCCACAGTCTGATCGAATAACTTCACTAGCAAAGTTCTACAGATACAAAATAAATGTCGTGAAAACCATACCTACTATGCCGCGAGCGGCTTCTTGAAGCCACAAACTTAGGTAAATAAGTACGCGAAAGGAATCGAATACAAAAAACAAAATGAACAAAATATTGAACAAAAACAACCAAATAAAGCATATGTAATCAAACTGTTGAAAAGCGTTCGCCTTTCAAGCCTACCTCAACGTATCGTGGTAAATGGCTAAAAGCTGATATCGTTTAGTTAAATAGTTTCAGAATCCCCGAAAATCTTTAATAAATGTGTTCTCATCTACACGAGTATGCTAATTTAATTGGAGAACCTTAAACTGAGATAATGGGATCCAAAAACTCGATTTCGTATTTTAGTTTCCAACACCTTTCTTGTAAAAAAAAACTTACACTTTCTTTCTGGGTGAGTAAATGATGCAGAATACGGTAGAACTGGGCCAACAGTTCTTCGCTCGGTTCGAGATCATGCTGCGCGATTAGAATCTTCTTCAAAATACCGATAGCCAATTTTTTTCCTTCGATGAATTCGGGGGACATTTGCAAAACCTGTGAATCGAAAGAGAAAGATCATCAGCAGCCGCTATTTTCCACTTCTTAATGCTAACTTGCAAACAAAATGTATAGCACCTTCAGATAGACAGGCACAAGGTAGTCGATGGGAGGACGATTAGTGGGCGCTTTCACGGTTCCGTCTGACAAAAGTTCCAGCGGTTGATAGGCATCAATGGCGAGGAGGGAGTCAGTTAGTGAATCGAGGTACGCGAAGACATCGACCATTACAGTAGGGCTTGAGAAGTGGCTGAAATCGCCCAACAGACCGAGAAAGCGGCGCCAACAGACCACAGCGGAGTCAGGGTTCCAGCCCATCTCCTTCCCACCGGCCAAAACGCTATTACCCTTTAAACACTGGGGAGTTGGTTTCTTCAACGTGGACGCTCGTGAAGACACTGTAGATTGAAAAGCACCATTAAAACATAATATTATTAGTTAAAAGCTGGTGAAATTAGGTACCAAAGGCGTTAAGTTTATTAGTGCGATAATGCAAAACGGAAGAGAAGTCCCTAGAAAATCAGAGCACTTAGTAAATGTGTGTTAAAGAATACGTCAGCTCTGTGGAGCAAACAAGCAAACTTTTGAAAATGTTTAAAAGCACCAAACGAATAAGGTTATTTTTTGAGGCACAATTTCATGCTCCCTTCGAGAGGCCCAATTAAGAGTGTTTGAGTGTCGAGTTGTGTAGTATCATGCGCTAGTCATTATTTGTTAATAAAAGCTTTAAAAGTACTTACTCTCTGAGTTGGATACCCGCGTTAGTGTTTTAGTGAATGGCAAGTTCTCTAAAGACAAAAAATAGAAAAAAATTCGCGAGTTTGTGGGTTGGCGATTAGGTGACAGTCAATGAAGTCGCGTGACAAAAGGGAACCCACCTGAGAAGTGTTGGCCTTGCCATACATCATCCAACTGCGCCTAGAAAAAAAAGACCTAAAGTTGAGTGCAAATATGCAATCATTACTGAGACTTAATCGGTTAGCAAAGCTAGGAACACCATCAATGCGGTTTGTCAGTCTTATAAATACAAACACTGAGAAAATCGCGGCAGAAATGGGATGGTTCACTTCAAGGTTAGGAGGCAAGCGCAGTGAGTATAATAGGCGTTTACCTGTTTACCAAATATGCAACATACCCCACCGTGGCAAAAAAGAGCAGAATATGTTTTCAATAATCTACCATGAATTATTAATTTGTGCATCTGTTGTAAGACAAATAAATAGATTTTTTAAAACTAAAAGATCATGCGTTTGTATTTGTTTCTCTTGCTTAATTTTCTTGACAGATCTACTGAATGCTGAAAAGCATAACAGGAAAGTAAGGCAATTAGTAGGAATAGCATAAATAAAAATTGGCCTTAACAGCTAATATATTCCTAGAAAAATTCTTTAATAACAAAAAAGCGGCAACCAGCAGATGGAATGACACCTAAGTCAAACGAAGGATGAATGCACGGAAATTTTCAAATGCATTTGAACAAGGTGAAGTGAGTGTAGCCACAATGGGGTAATTCCACGATTGAGTGCTAGAAGTCAGGCTTTCAGCAGCATTATGGAAGAGAATTTGATTCTAAAAGTTGGAGCTTCCAGAAAACGAACGATGTCATGGTTTCACCATAAATAAAAGCTGCTGTAAGCATGAGGAGTTGAAATCGGCTAGGGTGAAATTAAGAGGTTACGTTACCTCGATATCTTCAATTACAACCAATCTAGACTCAAAAGAACTAGGAGATGGCGCATCCATAAGCTTGGTCACTTTACTGTGCTCAATTTAAATTGAAACCATTTCTGTTGCTTTTATGACAAATGTGCTGAAAGGGGTGGTGTTCCTTTGGATTTGATTCCAGTGAACACCAAAATATCGAAAGGAAAATCGCAAAATACAGAAAAGTGGAGGAAGAATACCTATTAACCTTCAACGGCAAAAATACAATGCCGTTCCACACACGAGTCAAAATCTAACGAAAAACCTCATGAAGACCACATACTAAAATCTTTCCATTTAGAGTAGCATTGTGAACACTGAAAGGTATTATGCTCTACGATTTGAGTAAGAAACAGGAGAAAATCAGTTGAGCTGACGATTTACCCACGTTAGAAAAGTATAAGAATATGGAAGAAGAGAAATCAAAATTTTGTTTCGCATTTTCTGGGCACTTCTCATACTGCCCATGCGATTTTCTATCTGAGTAAAACAGAGTTATCATCAAGGTACGATGAGTGAAGATATGGCCAGAAACTAAGAGACGCATACATTTCTAGTCTTAGTTTGGGGTCGTACGGTGCGAAGATCATTGCTACGCGTCAAGGCCGTTTGAATGACATTTTCTGACTCATAGGCGTTATCGAGAGTGCGATTTTCCATGTAGTAGAACTGGGTCTGATTCATCAACTTGCCGTTTCCATTGTTCGACGTCCCAGAGGATGGCAGTGCCACACCATCATTGTCTTTCACATCGGCCTCATTCATCTGAGTTTCAGTCCAGGGCACAAAAATATGATGCTTTTGGGGCTAGATTAATAAAAAAAACCCCAAAGATATCATTTTCAAGGTAATAACACATCGATCTTCTAAAAAATATGCCGGGAGTTAATATTGAGAATGTCAAAAAGGATGATCATACAGAAGACAGATGAAGACCTACATAATAATCAACGTCACTACTGCCACCATCCGAGAAGTTGGATGATTCATGATAGGCGATGCCTATCCCCTCAGCAGGACTCAAGCATTCAGCAGCTTTATCGGAGCTAACCGCTTCGGCATCGTCAGAACTGCTGGTCAGACTGAACTCCACTGCCGGTGTCTCCTGTCCCACGACAGCCGAGGTAACCTCATTGGAAGCGGATTCTTCCAAATCGAATGCCTTAGAAGGCAACTTAATGTCCGGCAGGCCTGACATAACACTACCAACAGCATTAACTAAAAGACAATTGTAAACCATATGTTACATTTAAAAAATGCAACCGTCAGTTAGTTCTACCGAATGATACATTTACGAATATGGTTAATAACTTAAAAAACCGACACAATTTCGATACGCTAAGGTGGAATAGCATAGTTTCTGAATGGTCGGAGCCTACAAATGCAATTTTCAAAATACCACCAAATTATTTAGTCCACATCTCTTAAGGTGATTTGCGACAAAATTTATAGTTTCACAATCGTTCATGCAGCGACAACACATTACTTTTTGAGACGTGTTTAAAGTAAAAGTAGCCTTGTTAAACTGTCTTGAAGAAAAACCTAAGCACTATGATGCTATGAGAGGAACCCACCATCAGCAGAATTTCGCCTTTCCCTTGGAGCAATACGAGATGGACCCATACATTGTGAAGCGGCACCTAATTTACCTACAAGGTATATGGTTAAGGTTAATTGTTAATTTTACTAGACTATTAGCTCCGATACAAAAAATTCCCCTCTAAATAACTCGTTGGCACGAAATAACTATCAAGGGAATCGAAATCGAAACTTCACATTAAAAAAACTAGGACACTAGAATCCAGTAGGGATATGTATCAAAGGAATGTCTAGCTAAACAAACTGAACAACATGTAAATTCATGATACCAGTTTAAACCGACTACTAAGAAAGTAAATCGCATAAAATTTGGCGCGTCCGTAAAGAAATTTCCCATTCTAGAAAATACTATCACAGAGATACTTTCAAACATTCTATCTAACTTTTGAAGTGGGTGAACTCTTCGTCAAGCAGATGAAATTGTCGAAATAAGCAGATTGAAGCGTTAGCAAGATTTAATCAGATATGCCCATGGAGGAACAATATGCGATCATAAGGGGCAAGAAGCGCACAGATTCAGCCCTCTTGATGGCTTAAGACTGCCAATAGACATTGGTGTGGCACGAATTTTCGTGAAAATGAACCACTTTAGATTGCGAGATTCTCCGAACAACCATGTATTTCCGATATGAGTAGAAGTTCGACAAATGCATGACAAGGTTTAGGTTCCTTCCCTAGACGAGCTGTGCTGAGGAAATCTGCATAAATCAAGTGGGCGCACTTCAGTCGTCACAATTGAAGGAATTGATCAGAGGTTTACGGCCACAAGCGACAATGAAAAATCACGACAGATCAATTGCATACGTTTGAAAGGGAACACTAAATCCCAGCACTTACGGTACGCAAGGGGATCATGTGACCACAAGAAATGCGACATAGGCGATTTTGGTTGACGCAAATAGAATAATGAGTGAGGGTACTTTAATTAAGCCAAGTGCACTAACAGTTAACCCCCTAAACCACTGATTAGTCCAATACGAAAGGGCTCGCTTATCAGTATCAATAGAAGGGTAGCTTCCACTTTTGAGCTAGAGCATCTAATGTGTAAAAACCGACAAATTTAAGTAACAAGGAAAAGCAGTAAAGCTATTTGCCAGTCAAATTATGCTGCAAAAAAACATTACACAAACTCGATGCCTTGAAGTTTATATAAAGAAGTCTTCTAAAGATACGAAACTCAAGATGGTTTAGCAAAAATTTGAAAATTCCTGAGAGGTGGGAATCATGGGAAGGAAAAATCCCAGAAAGTAAACCAATAATATGTAGATATCTCACCCAAAGCTCGCCTTCCTCGATTGGTTTTCGTTTCATCGGGAAGATTGGCGAGGTCCACATCAAAAACTATTTTTCCCAGTTGACGCGTCAGAAAATCCATAGCTTTCTGTGAAGAAAGTGAGATTGTCCAAAGTCTTATTTTTCTATAGACTTGTAGCAGTCCAGTGTATAACTTGAGTATGTGCTGCAAACTGAAGACACTAAGTGAACTCAGTTCTCTTATGACTTTTTAAAGGCATGGCTTATAAAAATAGTACGCACAAATGGTACTACCTGAGAGCAAGGTGTAATTTGACAGTATCAGACCACGCGATTGTAAGCAACGAATCCCTGTGTTTTTGCACCGTGAATAAAAAAATTAGACTAAGCAGTAATACTTTTCTAATCAAAAAACAAACGTATATACTGCAAACGAATTCAAACCAAGCATAAACACTGCCCTTAGCTTCAAAGTAAGATCACATTAAACGAAAACTAGGATGTTTAAACGATAGGGTTGTGTGCAACAAGATACACGGTTGCCAACTTAGATTCGTACAAATAATGACAAAAACAAGTTTATGCTGTACAAATCCACCGATGAAATCAAGCTCATGATAACATTTAAGGCAGATTACTTGCCTTCCACTCTCGAAAGAGGGCCGGACAATCTGGAAGCTTGGAATAAATGCTCAGGCACGTATCCCAGGTAGATGAGGATATTGGTGCGGCGAGAGTTGCATAAATACAGGCCGTATTGAGAGTCTAAATAAATTAAAACATAGAGAAAGTGTTGTAGTGAAACTGAATGATATTGCGCACCATATATTTACGGAGTTGCCACCAGATTAAGTAATGTCGAACATTAAACCGCAGTTTACCGCACTCGGCCAACCGTCCAATGAGGATACAGATTTTTTCCCAAAAAGGAAATCCGCAACTAGGTATTAGGTTCCAGAAGTGCTTTCCCATTGGGAAAAATTTAAATGAGTTAACTCTACTATTGCGCAATGATTATCTGGAGAAAGGCCCGAGAAAAATGCGCATTCTGTAAACTTGGTACGAAAGGTGCGATACAAACACGTTTCAAATGATGATCAAGATGCTTACCAGAGTTAAAACACAAAACAAAAATAAGATGGTAAAAACTTCCAAATGCCTGCATGCCCCTTCTACTAAACGATTATTCGGCACCAATTAAACACGTGGGAAGAATTTACTCGAGCGTGGATTAATCGGAGTTGCCTTGTCTAAATATGTGGAAAGATTTTGAAAAATATAAAATACTTGGATTTCTAATAACAATTCATTTAATAAATTACCTTCAGTAGTAGCTGATATGATTTAAAATACTTATGAACGTGTGGCATTCAAAACCAAAAGTGCAGCTAGGTAGAAGGGATACACTCGCACAATAAGGGAGAGATAATAAAGGAAACATGTCAGTTTGTTTACGAGTCAAAGAAAACTCAAGTACTCCGTAAAAAGAAAACGTATTTCTGGGACTAGTTGAACAAATATGCCCTCACGAGCCATATTTATGTTTCAAGAAAACTAAAGTATTAAAGGGTTTAATAGTACGATAACAAATGCGTAATCTAGTTAGGTGATGCAAGGGAGGAAAAAGCTTACGAGCACTGAAAAAAGTGCAAAATTACAGAAAGTTACCTGAAACATTTTGCCCAAAAGTTTATCATTTGATACCCAATGAGAATCAAATTGGTCCGTCTGATAGATTTTCGACATCACCTCCGAAATGATATGCATCAAAGTGAAGAGTAATTTCTCCCTAAAAGGACATAGTTGGGAAAATCTGTTGACATCCTGCAGGCCTTATAAAAGGGGTATAAAAGCATCCACCCAGCTAAAACAGAAACGAAACTTCCATTGCTCTTATTGGAGTAGATCTAAACGTGCCATTTGAAATCAATCCATAGAAGCGTGAATGAAACCATCATTAGTAGGCTTCATCAAAAGTATGGAGTGAAATGGTAAAGCCTAAGATGTAATATTATGTGTTGAGGTTTCCAATAATACAATGAAATACTACAAAAAGTGTGACTTAAAGGCAAAATTTGCAATATCAACGAAAAACCTTAGCAAAATATCGAAGAACAGTGGCTACCGCATACATGCCGGTACCAGCAAAAGTCAAGTGGAAGCGTGAAAGAACGTGGAAATTCAAAATATTCAGCAATAAGTAAACTGATAAGAGATAATACTAAGAGACGGTTGTGGGAGCAAGGGGAGAAGTGTGCCTACCAACTTTCTGTGCTGAGGGCGTTGGACTGAGTCAGCGGTTGGACGATGGTGTCGAGAATGAGAGTGCACAATGCAATTTGCTGGACGACAAAATCCACCGGCGTCTCCTGCACCCTATCCGTCAGCTCCAGAGTCACCACACAGGCCGGGGGACAGACGCGGAGGAAAATGTGTGCCAGATTGGTAAACATCACCTAAAGAGAAAATGATTCAGACTTCGGAAATATTCCATAAACTTACTAAAATGCCTTCGGAGAGCTATTTGAAATACCCTTTCAGTGATCATTTGCTTTCTTTGTCAATCCCACTTTACTAAATTCCAAGAAGTTGGGTAAAAGAATTGGAGGAAATTGGAACAATGAGTGAACAATAAGGTAGCCAAGACACTGTATGAATAATAATGGGTTGAAACGTCTCAGCAGCAAATCTGAAGATGGCGTTCGCATTACTTAACCGCGCGTATCGAAAGCAAATACGAGCGTTTTCAAACAAAGTTCGTGCATCTACACCACTTCATCAATTCATTGTAAACCATTGCCTTCATATTTAAGCGATTGATGTTAGCCACAGGAACTGCTTAACCTCAAAACAGTGGAAAGCATTGCGTTTGCAGTTTTCACTTACAGGCGGGGGAGGTGACTACACACCCTAAATCGTAATGCCCGACTTTGAATAGGCACCACCAAAGGTTTAAAACAAACATTATACGGGACAGATGGGACGATGGATATGACGCAATAGGAATTTGATCGTAAAGCTGCGTTTAACAAAACAAATATCCGTGTGACGGGACATCTCATTTATTGGTAAAAAGCAGCTAATGGCTGACATTGGTAAAATAAATAGTAGCCTGAATGCTCCAGATAAAAGTGGTATTCTTCATGAAATGTTGCATAAAAAACCCAAAAGCAAACTGTAATAACCAAACCGAACCAAAAATCTAAAAAGAATATATTCAATCTGTCATCAATAAGTCGAAACTAGTTTTCAAGCCGTGTTTCGAAATGCAAGCATGAAATGTCTCACGTGATCAAGACCAAAGGATTTAGTCAACGACCTACCTGGTAAGTTGTCTGCAAACATCCACCGACATCATTGTGTGGAAATGGGAGTGAATGTTGTGTTGAAGGGGCAGGCGAATTGTTAGGTAACTTAGAAAGGCTCCTATTGGAGAGAACCGTCGACTGAATTACTTCGCGGCGGCGTCTCATGTCTTTAAGATTTGAACCCGGTCCACAATTTGGTTGTATAGCGCTCTAACATTACAAATAATAGGCAACTTTATAGAGGAACACCAGCCGAAGTAGAACAGAGCAGCAAGACGGTTTTTAGAAAAAATAAATATGAAGGTTACCAACACGGATATGAATTTGAGTAAATTTAATGAAATGAGAACAGAAAGCCTTTTAAGAATCCTTTTTTTTTCATGAGGAATACGCAATTAAATATAGATTTACAAGTTTGTGACATCATTACAAGCCCAAAGTGAAAAGTAGATAAGCAACTGCAATATCTCATTTGGTTCTCCTTTACCTGTTGGACCACAGCATAAATGCATTTATTTACAGCACTTTATTATCGAAATGTGACAAGCTTTATGTGGATGGCGGAAAACAACCCACTCAAAAACAGCGAGAAATGGAATTTAGCGTTTTTGTGGAACGGAGGAATCGGCATACACGATTCCACTGTGCGACAGACTTATGTATTACTCTCCAAGGTAGATCATTCGATTGCAACCTACAACTTTTATTCCTTAGAGGACTAGTAATGAAAAACAAACGTAGAGTGAAGATCGGTTATTATTTGGACGATCTAGAATAGCCACACCAGTATCCTAAGTAATGATCAGGTAGAATGCTGAAAGTGACAAGCACATCATCAAACCTAGAAAATAAACCCATCTAGAGGCTTGAGGTACAAATAAACGCAAATAATGACAAAATTTCGTTTTACAAGTTAGCTATTCGCGAAGATACATCCAAGCGAATTGTCACAAGGTACTAGCATTCGGATCATTTCTAGGTTACAAGATAACGACTGCAGTAATTGATTTGCAAACGAATGTCCATAACACCTTATCGGCCTTGCCACTCAGTATATTTGTCCTCGAGTGAATGTCGGAACTTTTTTGTTCCAATGGTAAAATTATAAAACTGATAGCTTGAGCGATAAACAGTGATTGTTTTCCAATAGGCGTCGTTCTATAATCATGGTTTAACCTCAAACAATTGTTCAATTCCAAGTTACTTTTGGGGCTTATAAAAAACAAAACCGAAACTAAGCACAAAATTGTAACGAGAAAACGTAAGACTAAAAAATCTTCGCATCGGTTGCATACAATAATAGTAAAAACCAGGTAATCAGCTTGCGATTTGACATAAAAAACTCACTTTGCTTGGCACGTGTTTGGTGTCTGCGTCCTTCACAAACACTATCTTGTCCTAAACATAAAATAGATTTGATGACATGAGACTATTACTTATTCAAATGAATCAATGAAATTCAAAGCATGCGCCTAGAAGGAAATCATATACTCTACTTACACCACATGTGCTAAGACCACGTTACCGTAGTAACGAGAGCACAACTAGCTTTTCGCTGATGAGGCCAACAATGGAAGGATAAAAAACATCGGTTAGACTGTTAAGAATGTATCAATCAAGAAAATACACTTAAATTTATTCCCTTGATATATCCACACATTGCACATTTCATAAATACAAGAAAGTAAAGCACTTATTATAGTTTTATTCCTTAACACATTCAGTGCCCAGTTATTGTGTACTAACGCAACAGGTTGGATTTACGGCAGGTAGAAGAAACAAAAGAGCGCAAACCAATTGTTCCACTATCATAAATGAGACGTTATTTGGGTAACACGTGTGGAATACATTCGGTATCTCCGCACCGATTCAATCAGGAAACGAAGTCCATTGAAATGCAAGTGCCATTACGAACAGTGACCCTTGTGTATGCGCAAAAAAGAATGATCCATTTGTTTCATATAACAGAGTAGAGGCAGAAGGTTGCCGATCCCAAATAAATTAGGATATGAATATTCAGAACATCCAACCGTACAACCCTAAGGAGGAAATCCACCTTAAACGCTACCTTTAGAAACCAGCTTAATCTTAATTTGGGATGGCATTACTTAGTAGGTGAACAGTTCCAAGTTATACAGAGAACTACAAAAACGAAGGAGAGTGAACGTAAGAGAATGTGAGGAATTTTCGTCGGCATTTTTAATTCGACAAAGCCCTTTCCAAGCTGACTTAATTTGGAAAAAGAGGGCTAAATAGCTAGGCTTGGAGAATCACTCACCTTCAACCACGAACGGTAGACGAGAATGAGGCAAAAGAGTGCCTTGTATCGATCAATTGGAAGTAAAGAAGCATGGTAGAACACTGCATGGATGAGATTGATATTCTGTCGCGAGTAAAAGAGGATGTCACGCACTCGTTCGATCTACAATCAGGAAAGCAAAAAGTACTGCTCCGTGTGTTTGAAATTTGTGAGACCAAACAGTTTCAAGGAGAACAATTAATAGGATAGATATCCTTGAACGTAAAATCAATTGGGTTATCAAACAACATATTGAGGAGCATATGTATAATCAAACAGCAAGGTTCATTAAGCTATTTAGCGCTTGAAAAATTTCCTGGTCGATTCTTCCCTACACTTTAACAGCGGCGGGTAAGGGAGGGTAAAATCTGTTATGCAAACATTTAATTCTCACTACACGTCGAAAATACAAAAAGACATTTCAGATAGAGAAAAAATACTGTTTCCTGAACTCAATCCAAAGTATTAGTCAGATGTGTGATTATAACAAACGCAAAAGATTCAAGAGTCCAGACTAGGCTGTCATCGTAAACCGGTTAGAGAATAAGCAAGTCCATCCTGCTTCGAAAAATTGATACTTAGATAACACGTTATAGACCAAATACGCCACCACGGCTTATTGTTCTCTAATGGCTCTATCTTAGTGGAGCAAAACAAGTACATTAAATGCGCAAAGCGAGCCCGGAACCATTTAAAGTACCAAGAGAAATTAAGCGAGACTTCATTTCCATACGCTCATAAGCACCAAAATACGCAAATGCAAAGTGTAATCCAAGCAGCCGATCGTAGCAGTCCAGTGTCACACAAGATAAGCAATAAGTTCAAACGAATTGAAACCAGAAAAAGAGAAATTTAATGAAGAATGAGCGCCGGTAATCAGTTGCATTTGTTATAACTTGATGATACTGATAATGTCACTCAACGCAACATTAGATGACACAATCCAATTATAAATAAAACCTATACTATACAAAGCACCACAGACAAAAGCAAGACCAAAATGCCCATCAATAATCACTGGGACTGTTTAAGAGGAAAGTAGGCAGCAGACTCACCATTTTAGAAGAGTACTCAGAGCTCCATTCCGGAAGTATAGGTAAAACGGGTTCCAAAAAAACCGTTCGCTGTGACGCCATTACCGAATGCTCAGCAAAGTAGCCAGGAGTCGTTTGACGAATCTCCATGATAGACAGCAGATTTTTGAAAGCGGCAGAGCTGCGACGTTGCTGCCGTTGGCCAGACAGCACAAGTGAAGACGAAATCTGGGAAGATTGTTGCTGGGGCGACGTTTCGCTGCACGAGCAGGATAAAGGCACATCTATACGTAAATTCAAAATAATTTGATAGCTCTTCCCCAGTCTCGATGACGGTACAGGTTTGTGTGAATTTGAAAATTCTATTTAAAAACGAGGAAAATTTTTAAAAAGTCCAAACTGCACTGCAATAATTGGAGCAAAGACCTGAAATTAAGAAGGTGAAGAACACACCGGAAAAGTAAAAATTTAAAATAAATTGGCTATACGCACTATGAATGTGCAGATACTGGTAAATGAGCCTTAAATTCAGCAAACGCGTAACACAAATCAGCCTTAATGAAATATGATACGACGCAAACAAACCAACCGGCGGGGGGAGTAGTAGTTCGGTGGTCTTGCACGTTAATGTTAGGGCGCTGTTGGTCTGATTGGCTGGTTAAGTCGATTCCTGAGGTGCTTCCCTCGCTAGAATGCGGATTCCTCAACCCAACTCCATCACTTGCTGTTTGATTGCGCAAGTCACCTGTGCTAGAGCTGGGCCTGTAATGTAGGTAAGGTGCTCTAGTTATATAGCAGCACGTCTATTGAGACTAAACTAGCCAATACTACAAGTTCTAAATACAGAAAGAAAATCCAGCTCAGAGCAATGCACCTTGATTATTACCCACACAAAGAAACAACTGCTTACCTCAAACTCGGTAAAAAGGCACGTGGACCAGTATATAAAAATTCAGACAACCATCGCACGACCTCTTCCTGGTAAATAGCAAGACGGGTAGCGGAAAGGGTGTACCCTTCAGGAGCAAGAGAGTAATCCAGAGGATTTTTTATCATTGCTGGTAATACACCTCCGTAGTAGAGACTGTGTTTCACAGAAATCCTATTGAAAATAGTAAGATCACAGCAGCAGGCGTGCGGAGAATTTGCAAAATAATCATATTCTTGAAGTTACTTTGGAAAGATAGCAGGAAAATAGTAGCGTTTGAGTTGCTCAAAGATGAACCAAAAACACATTGGCCTCCGATCAAAAGCACTTGAATTCCACTGGATTTTATCCACCTCGGTAACCGCAAATCGAAGAAGGTATCGAAGAAGAATGTAATTTTTCCGCTTATAAAAAACAAATGGGATGGTTAAGGTGGATGCAGATTGAAAATTTTCAGAACACTCAGATTTATAATTGTAGAACACAAACGAAAGGAGACGTTGATGATTTCAAAGGGAATATACCAGTCCGTCTGCAACAACATCCACCTCAGAATGAGTAATCCCAAGTGCTGCATTCAGAAAAACTACTCCATACTTCTTATTTGAAAAACAGTGACAAGACACACAACCACACTTTTATTATAAAGCCAAATTAATCGAAACATAATTACCTCATCACTTATCGGAGCAGAAGCAGCAGGTGGCATTGAATCCATCCTTGGGTAAAATGCCATATTACGATTGCTTTTTTGACAATCACCATCGCAGCTAACTAATGTCGGGCTTGATGATTTATCTAGAGATTCAAGTACATGAGTAGTGCGTACTTTTTTGTGACTTGTACGTATCATGGACACTACCAAAATCTGGCACAAGGCGGATAAACAAGTCCGTGCACTCCACAATTGCATTTTCCCCAAGTATTTGATACCAAAGTAGAAATATTCGCATCCCATTTACTTGGACAGATACAGGATTCGATGAAGATAACAAATCCTGTACAAGATCAACTAAACTTTAATGAATAAATTGTCCAAATTACAAATGCATTTCATTTGCCATTGCGAGTTGAAACGCTCTGGTAGATAAATTAGTAGTTTCTATAGAAAATAACCTTGCTATAGCGAAAATTACCTCAAGAATAAGAAGGGAACAATCGGTATCCTTGAACGAAAGTGTTGAAACTAAACACTATGAGTTAGAGACGAAAATTACGCCTGGGTTTAAGCTCAATATCAAAATAATCAAAAAAACTATGAAAAATTTCGGAATGATGCTCCTCAAAAAGTTTCTGAACTTCGGAGTTGGGTAAATTCTCTAAGCAAGGAATATTCCAAGGGTGAATTAAGTTACCAATTAGGAGCTTTAAATGCTTGACTTTCTTGGCCAGTTCTTTATGGTACAAAAATTTCCTCTTTGAGTTTTCTTCAACGAACTCCTTTTTTTTATTCCTGCGAAACATCCCTTTCGAAAAACTGATCGCCCACACAGTTAATGTAAACAAATTTTCGACTACTTAAATGCAAAAGCAGTAATGCCGAAAGTTTTTCAACATAAAAACACTTCAAACTAATATTGGCTGATTTTTGTGGTGCACATCGCCTTGTGTTGATATCATCTCATACACGAACCACCCCGGCGCCAATAGTTTAAGACCCTGGACGGAACCTACTACCTGCAGTAACCCCTTTTCTCGGCTAGCACTACACTCCCCACACCTCTAAAAAATCTAGTACAGTTACGCGGACCCTATCCACATCCTCTGTGACAGGGTGTCGCGCGGAGGGAGAAGCGCGCCTCGGAACCTGGGTACCCACTCCCCTGCCCCATCAGACTCCTTACAAGCTTAAAATTGCCTGGCAATCACACTCACTAGGTTACAGATCAGGTGCAAAATAAACATCAGAGTAAATGGAGAGCGCAACTAACAAAAGTTGTCAAGTGAGACAGATCGACTAAGCCCGGTGAGTAAGGAAGGTTGCACACCTTAACGACTAATCTACTCAAGATTTGCTGTGACAACCCTTTGTGCCCCTCCACACTGGAAATAGAAGCGTCCAAAGTCAAATTTACCTTGCTCAGCTTGAGGAAATAGGCAGTTATGGAAGTCAACTAAGACCACATGAAACAATGAGGCGTAAAACTCAAATGTTTATAAACAGGAGAGAAATATCACGATATGACGTCAAGAGAAAGAGTGTGAGTAACTGGGTCAAAGAATACTAATGGCAAGTCTCCAATCACATCAATGACATGGTAGTGAAAGGCTAAGTTGGCCAGTATGAAGATGTGTTCAAAAAGCGCGAACACGGAGTAAACTGAAAAAAAATTGAGAAAGAGATACACCGATTGCCATGTGCATTATAATAAAAGTGAAACTTAACTCACGGTGAGAGATGCAGTAACGATTGTGCAGAAGGTAGCAGACGGCAGAAAGCACTATTGACACTGTCATGATAGCATAAAAATGGTGCTTCCACTTAATTGAGTGGATCTGAAAGAATTACATATTTCGTTTTCATACCAAAGAAGGGCACGTGCTCCGAAGCCCCCTCAAGACGTGTAGATCCAAAAATCCAAAGAGCGCACACGATATAACGAAAAGGCTGAAGGCATTCCGATGTATTTCTGTTGTCAGTAAGAACATAAATAAACATAAAACATTTATTTCTGGAGTAAGACATATAATGCACAGCGCTCCACGATAGCATGAGTAATTGAAGAAAGACCAAAAGCAGAAATAAACATCAGTTTTTTTTCACTATGCATGGGAGAATATGAAGAGAAGTGGCGCAGGAATGTGTTTTCAATGAATGGAACTATTAAAAATGGAAAGGACAAAACTTCTTTACAAAAAACTTAATCGAAATCGGTATGATAATGTATCAAAATAGGTGGTCAACTTACGAAAGTTTTCCCTTGAAGTGAAGATAGTCAGTGAAAAGAGGCATAAAATCTCTACTAAATGCAACCAGTAGTGGACCTGAAGGAGAAAACCCATGCAGTTAGGTGCATAGACTAGGTGTGATAAGGTGAAATTGTAAGTAGAATTGACGAAAATGCGAACGGCACATGAAAAACCGATACTGCCTATCCAAATGCGCTTCCTCAGGCCAGAGGCAACTGACGCACTCAAAGAGGGAATATAGTTTGGAATCTACAAGATAAAAGAAATTAGTAACTACTCTATAATGAAGAAAAATAGTAGTTTCGGCGGATATCACTTCTTACGGCACAGTGTGTACGTGTCAGACCAGAGGGATCTTCAACTATAGTCCAGGTAACACATATGATGAGTGACATAACTGGTAGTGCTGCCAGTGCTGGGAGAACACGCCTCACCATAATCTTCCGCATTATTAGGATCGGAAATCGTGCATCTATTGAGAAAAATACAAACTAAGCGCAATGATGGACTAAAAATCTTACCTAAATGCGATTTACCGGAATAAAAAGGGGTAACATATTCAGACAGGTATGATGCTCAAAAAACAGTGTAATTTAAAAACGAAAGATGGGATAGCGCCATAGAATGATGTACAAAACAATTTTATAAACCGGTCTCAAATACACCTAAAATATGAAAATTTGAACAAAAACTATGCTTTTGCGACTGCAAACAATGTGAAAGAGGTCAATTGTAAGTACATTTATCACATTTCTTCAAACTTGAGAAACCACTTCACCCCATTCAATATATGGTAATGGATGCTTGGCGTACTATGAAAAATAGCAAACGTTCATTTAAAAAGTTCAGCACATTATACTACTAGGAAGCGAGTGCCAACACAACTGTGGATTTATAACAACTGAGTTCCGCATGGTAAAAGTTAAGGATGAGGCCCCATTTATGAGCACGTATGTAAACACTTCATACAGCCGAACTCAAATTCCCCATCTTAAACATTAGGGTAAGGGTAAAATCCGCTGATATTTATACCCATTGAAAAAAAACAAAAATTAATCAAACAATAACAAAGAGTGGACACACAACATGGTCGGATCCAGATACAACTCATCTTTATTGCAATCTATTAACGGAAAAATTCAAAACGGCTCAGTGAAACTCACTTCAACTTGGAAGCACGAGACTAATCCGATGTCGACCCCACAAAACCTGCACCACAAAAACACCACACCTTAATTGGGCAACAGAGTTACCCGGGCTTTCTCCACAAAGCGCAGATGGTGCACTTAAATAAAAAGTAGGGTTGGACTTGAGAAGAACCGCCTAAATAGTTACAATTTTTTATAAGAAAAATGTCAAAGCAGAAGGACTTGCAATCCGGATTTCTAAGGATGATAAGCAGGCCGCTGGCTGCAAAGAGACACTTTTTCATGCAAGTGTTTGAACACTATTTTAAAATACCTCACCAAAAATAAAAATATATTTTTCATATTTTTATTGTTGTTAAATGACGGTCTTTTTATTAAAATGCCTATTCTTTATTTTATCCTGTTAAAATTCTAGTGGACCTTGCATTTATATTGCATATTGAACTTGCCTGCTGTCACAACGAGCAAAATCTCTTTTTGTTAAGTCCTGACATTGTTTTAATTTAACTTCCATGCTCCAATACGGTATTATTTGCCTGTGTTTTCATCACTTTGAAGCACATTTATATAGGTAATTTTTTGTTATTAATTTAAAGAAAAAAAACTTTTAAGAAACCTTTGCTTCAAGAAGCCTTATATTTGGCTGCCACTTAGTGCCCTCGTTTTTTTAAGCGCCAATTCCGAGTGGATGTGATTTCACTGGCTTCTGTTGCCTTTGTGGCGCGCTACTTTTTTCTTTTAAAGCAATAATTTTCCTAAAGTTACATGATGGCTGACTCCATATCAAGTGATACTAAGAGTGCTGGTGAAGCCCCGCCAAAAGCCGCTCTATCAAGAAGGAATAAGAAGAGGGCAATTAAGAAGGAGGCAAAGCCGACAAAAGAAGAAATTAAAAAGGAAAGGGTTTCGAAGAGGTTAGATGCTATCAAAGAACAAATAACACGACAGCGAGAAGAGGAAGAGCGGCTCCGAAGGGAGGCCGAGGAAGAGGAGCGTCGTTTTCGGGAGGAGAAGCTTAAACTCGAGGAACAGCGACGTCTAGAGGCCGAGAGGCGTGAGCGTCGGAAACAGAAGGAAAAGGAGCGAAAGCAAAGGCTTAAGGATGAGGGGAAGCTTTTGACAGATAAGGAAAAGGAAAACAGGAGAAAGGTTATGGAACTTGCTCAAGCTCGGGGTTTGGATCTTGCTGCAACTAAAAATGATTTAAAAAACCGAACCTACTCCAGAAAAAAGAAGCGTCCACCAGTTCAAATGGAGCAATCTGCTTCGCACCGACCTGATGTTGAAGAGGAAGTAAAAGTCGAACCTTTTGAAGAACCCAGTGATGGTGTTCTCGATTGGGAAGACCTTGCTGCAGATCTTGTCGCCTCGGAAAATGGTGCATGTGAAAAAGCATCCGTTTTGTCTGAAGATGAACTTCATGATGTAGTTGGCGAGGTTGGGAATTCTCCCTCCCCTCCCGTTTTGGAGCTCAATCAAGTAACCGACCAGTCAGAAGCGTTTCAAATATCTGAAAGTCAGCTCACTGAAGAAGAGAAACGTAGTCTCATAGAACAGGTGAAGATAAGGCTTCAGGTAACCATCCGAGATTTGCTCATTGCGTTTAGCAACAATATGCACAAAATGATGAGCCTGGTTCTGAAAGAACACTCAGATCAGGTGTTATATGTGTCTTGGGTCACGTCGATACTGGCAAAACAAAGATTCTTGATAAATTACGCAACACAAACGTGCAAGATCGGGAAGCTGGGGGCATTACGCAACAAATAGGTGCCACAAATGTGCCAAGAGAAAACATTATTCGTTCGACTCAAATGTGTAAATATTTCACAGGAGATGATTTAAAAATGCCCGGTTTGTTGATAATTGATACTCCAGGTCACGAGTCATTCACGTAAGTAGTTATGGTCTGAGCTACTACTTTCAGGAACTTACGAGTTCGTGGTTCGTCATTGTGCGATTTTGCAATTCTTGTGGTCGATATAATGCATGGTATAGAAGAGCAAACGAAAGAATCCATTCGGATTCTCTTGAGCCGTAAAACACCTTTCGTTGTAGCACTTAACAAAATTGATCGGCTATATCAGTGGAGGAGTTACCCGAATCTTCCTGTCAAGGAGGTATTGGCAAAGCAAGATGATGTTACAATTAACGACTTCAACCTGCGTTTCAAAGAGGTCTGCATTCATTCTAAAGTCCCCTTTTGCCCTTAAAATGTTATCAATGCAGGAAACGCTTTTCGGACTCTCCGTATTTCTGCCTACTAATACTAATGCAACAGTTTATTTTTTTCCTTTCCGAAAAGTTACTCAGGCTATAAAAGCAAAATTACTGGTAGTATGTTGACAAGCCAGAGAAATTTAATTGCACTAAGTCGGAATTACGGTGATTCAAGTTGACGTGCTATAGTGCTTTATAACCTTGTTTTCATTTCAGGTCGTTCAACATTTTGCGCTGATGGAATTAAATGTTAAACTGTTTTACGAGAATACAAATCCTAGTGAATTCATCAGCATGGTACCCACATCTGCTCATTCTGGTGATGGAATGGGTGATCTTTTAGCCTTTATGTGCAAAGAAATACAACGTAGGTTGTATAAACGCTTAACTTTCTCCGAGGAACTCAAAGCATCGGTTATGGAGGTACCTTCACGTATTCCATTATGTGGGCCCCATACTTGAAAGTTTAGTTTTTGCAGAGTATCATATATTATAGTATCCTAAATATGCTTTTCCTCCTAAGTATTTTTTAACCAATCAATCAAACAATTTACTGCCCAAACTTGCTGGCATCTTGAGCTACCTTTTTAAGTATGACTGGAACACGTAGTAAAGTATCTAATAAGTGCATTCAATCTTATTCAAGGTCTGAGTGCCTAGGCATCACCTTAAAAGTCTGGATTTGGAAGAATTGGTCCTTTTTTCTATCGAGCATATCGACCGGCTATTAGGAGTAATAAACTGTGCCTAAGTTGGTCTTGCAAACATTTACTTCCTTTTTGCTATTTTTTTGCTTTTATAGGTGAAGGAGACTGTCGGGTTAGGCACGAGTTTAGATGTGATTGTAGTGAATGGTCGCATTCGTGAGGGCGACACCATCGTGCTGGCAGGCCAGGAGGGTGCCATAGTGACCACGGTGCGCAGCATTCTCATGCCCGCGCCCATGTCCGAGTTGCGTGTGAAAGGAACCTATGAGCATTTAAAAGAGGTGGTGGGTGCACAAGGCGTCAAACTTATTGCTCGCGACCTCGAAAAGGCACTGGCTGGGCTTCCGTTATATGTCGCTAGGGATTTGGCCGAAGAACTCTACTTTAAGGTATGGCGTTGAACGCTCCACTTCTTGAGGGGATCTTATTATCTTACCAATACTCAGTCTTAAAGTCCAACTTTCTACCGTCCTTGTGTATTCACAAGTTTAGTGATAGCTTTCGTCTCACTTTCGTTAGGCCTGTTATAAATTTGTAGGTCTATGCTGTGCTGTTTTCCCAATAAAATATTGTTTGAAGTGGTTTCTGGATGGTGATTGTCGTTGCTATCTTGTAGATTTGAATAGAAAGCAAATTTTACTAGACATTAGTTGCTGGTATAACACCCTACAACCATTTCTGATGACAGACTTCTAACTATTAAATTAGTTGTTGCGATTTTCTAAATTCTACTCTCGGAGTTTATAGTGCACGCCAACCTTGCATAGATTATCCTAGAACGAAAGGTGTTACTAATGTTCCCTGCAGGATGAAGTGAGCCGTGGCTTAAAGGCGGCACTGAAAGCAATCGCTGTTAGTCCTGTGGGTGTCTACGTTGTGGCAAGCACTCTCGGATCTCTCGAGTCCTTACTCACCTACCTTAAGTCTGTTAACATTCCGGTAAGTTCATTTCCTGTTTTAGGTTTGTAAGGGTTCGCCCAACGAATATGTGATCATCAACGTAGTGTATTTGTATGCTCTCCAGGTTTGGCGCCACATTCGCTAAGTACATTAAGGGTTTGTAATTGAAAGCCCGTTCATGTACCTTAGCAATTATTGCCACTTAACTATTGGTTGTGGAAAGGAAACGAGTTATAATATTGCAGTAGACGTTTTTGGGACAATGTACTTTTCTAAATGATTCGTTTACTTACTGGTGATTTAGTACTCGGGAATCAGTATCGGTACAGTACATAAAAAGGATGTTATGAAGGCTTCTATCATGGTGGAACGAGACAGGAAGTGGGCCGTCATTCTCGCCTTTGATGTGAAAGTGGACAGGGACGCACAAAAAATGGCCAATGAAGTCGGTGTGCAGATATTCACCGCGAACATCATCTATCACCTCCAAACCCGCATGGAAGAATATGTGTACGTATTTTCATCGGGAATAATACCAGTATCATTTTTTCCCATGGAATCAATTCGTTTTAGATTTGGTTGATTGGACTATGAATAAAAAGCTGGACTTTTTAGATATAAGTAGATTGTATTTATGCTAGCCGAGCATATATTCCTTCAATGACAGGGAGGCTCTGATGAGAGAAAACCGAAGGAAGCACGCGAATCAAGCTGTGTTCCCGGTGAAGTTGCGCATTCTTCCTGACATGGTGTTCAACAAACGCGCGCCGATCGTTGTTGGTGTGCATGTGGAAGCGGGGTTGCTGCGGGAGGGCACACCGATTTGCGTTCCCTCCCGCGACAACGTGTTTCTTGGCAAGGTCTTCTCCATTGAGTTCAACCACAAGGCCATTCAGGAGGCGCGGACTGGCCAAGAAGTGTGCGTTCGCATCGACCCCATTGAGGGCGAGACACCCAAATTGTACGGCCGGCACTTTGACCACACAGATCTGCTCATATCAAAGGTAAAAGGCTACATTTATCCACAGCCATTAGTAAACGGCTGTAGATTCGGTGACCATATTTGACCTCGTTTTTTACTTGTAAATAACTATATCTTCCCGTTTGATGAGAAATAACTGCAATTAGCGGCGAAAGTTTATTGAAATTTTGTCCATATGTGTCATGGGGATTTCTTAATTTGTTATTTATCAGTTTTTTGTCTGAATCGCTCATCACTGCGCAGAATTTTTCATCTATGCTCTGCAAAGCTAGTGAATCCACTATTTGTAACACGGAACAATATTCTGGAATCTGATCTCTGGAACTTTTTACAAGCTGTAATTGAATTGCGATTGCCATGGCAGTAGTGCCCTTTTGGAGTTTTGTGCTTTTGTTAAAATGCGTTTAAATGCTGTTGTGTAAATGAATGTGTTACCTTGATTAAACGTCCTCGTTACTACCATTACTTGTTCTTTGTAGATATCTCGCGACAGTATCGACATTGTGAAGGAGTTTTACCGAAACGACTTAAACAAGGAAGACTGGAAACTGATGGTAGAATTGAAGAAGATGCTCTCCATCATATGAGGTGAGGGGGTGATGATAGTGGGGCCGACGTGGAGTCACATCGCGACGATTTTGATGTTTTGTCCTCACTTCTCTCGACTCCTGCTATTGTTACTAATCGTTATTTTGTTAAGACGTAGTCTTGACGTCTTTCGCTTGGGTAAATTGAGTCCTTCTTTTGGCTATTTTAATTTTCTACAACACAAAAATGCTGTTCGGGTAAGTGGTGCTTTCCTGGATTGTTTGGTGTAAGTTTTAGAATGTATTCTATTATCGCATTACAAGTTGTTTAATTTTGCTGAGAAGCCGAACCTGCACCTTGCCAAATCTCTACGCTCGTGTGCTTAAGGATTTCTCAAATCGGGGTTGTGTGAAGCGCTTAGCACAACTGAATTGCCCGGGTATGTGCAAAATAGGTTGAAGGGAACTGTCCAATCGCAAACTAATTAACTGTCTGGCGTAGGTGAGCATGGCGCCTAGTTGAATGTTCAAGTTGGGGTGGGGTGATTTTTTGGTCAAGATGCCGGTTTCGGGATATTGTGTGGCAGTGTACTCAATTTGACGTGCAGCAGAGGTCAGTTTCTATCTTGACGCTTATCAATTTGGCGGGACCTGGTGGACACGCATGAGCCATCACAAAGAGAACTTTCCCAACTAGCATATGGCATTTCAGAGCGCGGCAACCTTGTCGGACTCCCTGGGACTCTAAGTCACGACAGCTACCCCAACCATGCATTCGACCTCAACCTCCCAAACCTGCGATTCTGCTATCACTTCAGTGCTGCAGTACCCTGTTTAATTCGTCTGTATAGTATCGCAACCCTTCCATAAATGAAAGTAATTTAGATTTGCGTGTCTTATCACGTCTTTGAGAACAACAACAACAACGAATCGTTACCTGGTTATCGCATAGTTCTGAGATTGTGGATTTGAACTTGATCGGATCGTAATTAACTGCATGACTACAAGGCGGATGTTCTTAGCCAAACAACCACCTAAGTGCATTTCCGTCAGTCAAGCTCACATAGACAGGCAGTAATAAAAATTTGATTAAGACTTCATGAAGAGAATGGTTAAGCAATGCTTATAATCATGCAAATTCACTGCAAGGGGAAGTTATCAAGGGCTGGGGGGCAAGGAAAGACGGAAGTAGGAGAAGGAAGGACTGATGGTGAGGCTTTGCAAAGTCGGCTGATTGTCGGGTGTGAAATCCTCGGCAGTGGTGACGGCGACAACACCAACAACAAGCGTTTCAGTGGGTCATGTAACTGGGACTGACTGTGGAGGTGAGCCGTGGCATCCAGCGAATCCTGTAGCCGCTGTCCACGCGCATCTTAATACTAGCTCCCTCCGCTACCCGCACAGTCTCAATTACGGCCTGCATCAAGTTCTGTGCATTGCCCACCAAGACTTCCGTGTTCTCCCGGTCCTCCGGGGAGTCTACATTAGGTAACGAAGATAAGCTCATTTCCTATCAAATAGACATTGGTTCGGATTACTAAACGGCAGCTCCCTTGTGCATTGGTTGTTGACGCATGAATGTCAAAAAGTGCAAGCCGGATATGTATTTTGCAACTAAGTGGGGCGTACAATTGCGTTCTAGGCCTAAACATTACAGTTTGAAAACAATGTGCAAAGGCAGAAGGGTTGTTATGACGACAGTCTGGTTCTAAACAGAATAAGTGGGTTGTAATTGCAAATTTCCAGTCTGCTTTTGGTGGCATTCCGTTGACCTGCAATACGGGTAACTTGTCCACGGAAGTTTAGACCGCATAGGGTAGATAGAGGTACAACAAATTTAAGGGTCGTAATCCCAACAAAACCATGCGATTCTTCTGCTTGGCTCAATTCAACGCATAAAAGCAATGTAGGATGGGTTTGTGTGAATGTCATGAAGAAAGTTGAGTCTGTGAAGCTGAATTATTTTTGAAGTCTGATCCAGTGAGAAGAGTAAAAATGTGAAGAAGTGTACAAGACCAAAATGTGATGCGATATCACCAATCTATGCTATATTCTCAGCATCTACTGATAATTGATATCCCGGGCCTATTCTCCATAGAAAAGGCAACGATGGCGAATTTGCCTAAGTGTGGAACAGCAGCACGTTTATATGTGCTCGCTACAAATTTCGACTCAAAATTAGATTCCAATTCAATGGTCTCATGTTGTATAACAGATTTGACTGAATGTGAAATTAGGCATAAGGACACTAGAGAAAGTGGTTTGAACAGTTATTACCCATCTTTTTTTCACGAAATCCTTATATGGCCTGATTTGTGTGCGAAAAGTCTCTATCTACTTGACGTTTGCTGTGCAGAATCACCACCATTAGCCAGCAAACTCCTTAAAATGGACATAACTGGGCCTCTTGCCCTAAATTCATGCATTTATTAGCGATACCGATTTGAAATTTCCAAACACATTAATTATCTACAAAATTCTGAAGAAATTTAGCAGGCAAGAGGTGACTACTGAAGATGAGGTATCTTCGTGTGATACAACGAGAGGACTGAATTGAAATACCGACGAGGGGATACAACAACAAGGCTTACTGGGATCCAGGCAAGCCGTGCTCAAGTCATGACCTGAATTGGCACAAAATGCAGAAGGTAGTAGACATGCAGGGGTCAGGCACGTGCACATCTTTTCAATCTGTTTATTTACCGCATTCGAGTTCTGAGATCACCGGATATTCACTGAAACCTTGACATTAATAACGTCGTCTTGTAAAACAGTAGGAAATCCAGGATTTTAGTCCCACAAACGATATGTAAACGATTAACAAGAAAGAACGGAAATATATCTTAAAATTCATTAAACTTTCAAATATCTGCTTAGTTACCGGAGCGAAAACAGGAACAGTTGCCAATTATTAAATACGATTATAAACTACTCTGTTAAAATCATTCTTGGAAGAAACATTGGAAGTGTAAGTGAAGCTGTGAGATGTAAATTCCAGTTGAAGTGTAGTAAAAAAGCAAATCTTTGAAGAACGAGGAGTGAAAAGTGCACCTTCTTTTATGAGAGCAAAATGAATGGAGGGTGTGGGCGTATTAAAAGGCCGGGCCTGGAGAGAGTCTTATTAAACGCTTTCCATCAATGTTAATAGCATTGGTGAGATGCATTACCTGCGGCAGTGAATTCTAGGTTTATTGGATGACCTATGCGGAGAATTGAGATACAAAACTTAGCTTTTAAAGGACCATCTGTGTCTATAAGACGGGAAGCATAAGACAATAAGGTCGAGTCCTTGATGAGATCGAGAGTAAGTTTTTGAAATGTTACGGGATGATTGCTTTTTGCTTGAGTGCAAGACATTCAAAAAACATTAAAACCAGTGATGCAAAGAATGTGAGATTATGAACAAAGATACATACCATCTGATCCGAGCATAGTAGCCTTCACTGTTGAAAGGATCTTCAGCTGATTGCCAATCATTTGAATGCGTTCGCTCAACTGCAGGAGACTCTGAAATTTAAATAATACCAAATACTCCAATTTGCTAATACCGTGGTCTATATTTAGCCTGGGGTAAGGGTAGTCAAACTTACGGTTTTCATTCGTCTGTCGGTACAATCCCTTCCGAGAGCTCGAGCACAACGCGTCACGTCCACGGAGGCCTCTGCAATCGCCATTGAAACGCTGATAAGGTCCTTCTTGTTACCATGCTCACCACTACGAGCGAAAAAGCGAAACAAACAGAGACATATTTATAAAGATATTTCCCAAAATGTCGAGAACTCAACCTCGAAGCCACACGCAAGTGGAGAGTGATGGAGAGCTTTCAGGGAGGGAGGAGAGCGAAATAGAGACCAGTTTTCGTTAGAAATAGACTCAAATGGAAATCAATGTTGCGTCAGACGAAGAAATTTGCAAATGCAGCTTGGATTAAAGCCGTACAAGCCTTAATAAATAGTGGGAACGTGCTACATTCCATATGTGCAGAGAATGTCACCTAATTTAAACATTTTCGACCCACAGAGTTATTAAAGAAAATTGATACATATTCTAAAGGATACTTACTAGAGCTACGTTTGAGGCTGGAGAAACACTTGGACAAAATCACATCACAACGAGAATGAATGATCTTTAAAGGGGATGACATAAGATTTGAAATTAACTTTAAAATGTCTGCCAACCTTTTTATATACCTGCAATCTTACTAATTCATTCATTCCCAAAGAAGCTGACCGGAAAAGATGAATATAAGATGAAATCCTGAATCTCTTGCGATCCAAGATTACTTGGTGATCAAGTTTCTACTTAGCGGGATTTTTGCCTTTCAGATAATTGCATTCCTCAAACGCAAGTTGCATAAGCAATTTGGAGTGGACGTGGAAGCAGGAAAACTTGTTTAACTTTTCGCCAGAAAACTGAAAGAGCTGCCAAATTGAAAACGAATGGTGTGAATAAGGCAGAACAATGTCACTCTAATGGGTTTGTGTCGTCAAGAATTTAGAAGCTATATATAGTGATAAAGTGTGCTGAGGATTAGATTCTTGTGAATACTAAGTAAACAGTCTCCAGGTTTGAATGGGTAGCCTTAAGGACGACTGGAAATTAGGGTGGACATGGTCTTCACTTACCTAAGAGGTAAACTGTTTAATGAGAAACCGTAATCGAGTTTAATGAGAGCGTACAAAGGTGTCTATGAGCCGTAGGTGCGCTTGCGAATGGGAAACATGTGCTTTAGCTATAAGATTCCCAGAATGACGCAATAGCGGAATCACAAAGAGAAGGCATATAATCATTGCTATAGATGACACGTTCGCATACAGCGGAAGTCCAGACAAATGCTACTTTACAACTGCTTGCAGGTCAATCGCTTGATGATGGTTGACCAGGACAACTGCACTCCATGATGCAACTTTTGACAGAGAATTGGTCGAACGGCAATGTTGTCGCTGCGATGCAAGGGATCAAGGTAACTAACTTGCAGCGAAATGAGAGAAACGCACCGGACAATCTGGCTGAGTTTAGCCATAAGCGCGGCGATACGCTTGGTGGCGGCGATGAGTTCGTTGTCGCGACTCGACCAGAGCCGCGCCTCCTGATGTAGAGCGTGAGCGGCAGCCTAAAGGACACAAAATAATAGTTAATGATGTTCGCGTCAAACAGGCGGTAAAGGATATACCCCAAACGGAGTTGCAAATTTTCTTGCTTGCAATCAATTTATAATGAAACATTCAAATAATAATTAAATATACAAATGGTGACGTTCCTAAACTGTTTTGCAACCACGCCAAGGCAGTGAATTGGTGCTTAGTATAGTTGGAAAGGTTAAATCGGATCAAGCCAGACTAGGAAGTTGTGTGAAGCTATTTAGCGGCATTTGTATGCAAGCATGCAATTACGAATAGTCAAGCAGAGTAGTAATGATAGGTAGAAACTTGGCTACCCTATTCAAAAATGACTTGCTCATAGTAGTGATTTCAACTTTCCATTTGTCTGTGAGCAAATGGTTATCACTTTTGTTGTTTAGTTCATGCATTCAAAGCACCCGCCTCTTAAAGCGCCAAGCAATTAAATAAACAAATTGACCTTTAGAGGTAAACTACAATCAGAAAGCGCAGGCGAGAATCTATGTAAATCGGCTCACCATGATTGGCTGATTTTTCTCAGGGAGGGGATAGTTAAATTCATCCTCCAGGTCGGTTTCTGGGGAGAGAGGACGCGAATTGTCATCACTTAGACTGGAAGAGGCACCACCTGCAGGGCAGTAAGGCTAATGATAGTCACAAATATCGAAACTAAACTATGCAGCGACATCAGGAGGAAGATACGTGCATGGCATATTGCTTGCCGGAATGAATATAAAGTGAGCAGTCACTGGATGGGTTGGAGTAACAGAAACACCAATTCCTTGAAGGGGTGATGAAGCGGACACATGGAAGAGCAGTGATCTAGCTGTAGAGTCAATCATAGTCAATTAAAAAGCGCGCCTATTTCGGTTGCATAAATGGTTTATAGCACCAAGTAAACTACGTTTACATGAATGGACAATAAATATGGAGAGTTCAAGCATAAAGTCTGGCAGATTGGATTATTTCAAAATGAAATAATGCGTGCTGAGTTCAAATGAAAGGAATGTAATGACTACATCCAGGTATATCAAGATGCAGAACTGCCTAAGTTGGGGATGAGTTACGGCTTGATAAAGATTGTCGTCAATCTTGAAGGTGAAAGTTCATGCACAGGATTATATTGCCAGAAATAACACACGAACGTAAAAGAGAATCTTTCCTCAAGCCATATCTATGAAATGTCGTGCGAATAAAGGGGAAACGGTTAGCTAGAGACCATGCTTTCCCAGAAGACGCCCAGGGAAGAAGATAATGACCATTGCTGACGTCTCCAAGCTCATTATACTTCTCATGCAATACCTTGGAAACGCTCCAATGGGTATGAAGGAAAGTGCTTATTTCGAACGGAAATTTTGAAGCCTGCAGGGATGGAACTGGAGGTCGTTGACGAGCCACCACCGCAACCTCCACCACCATTAGTGAAGTCGGAAGAGAAGACACCTGGTGAGTGGACCATAAGCAAGGCGGATAACTATTAAATTATTAATTATAGTATCACCCACAGGATGAAGAAAGTTCACATTTTAACAATTACGAAATCGAAGGTGAAAAGAGGATTCTACCGAATGCAAATTACCTTGACCTCGAAAAGCATGTAGGAATTCAGCTTCACTCAGTTTGTTAGAGGGCACCAAATAATAAGTACTCCGTGTAAACCTCCAGGCAAAATGAACAATAAGCTTAAAAAACCAATGAACAGCATGAACATCTTGGGCATGACAGCAGTCATGTCGATGTGATGACGGGTCACACGCGCACGCTGGTGTGCGGCGCCAGCGCCGCGCAAGGGCATGAGTCATCGCGGACGCGGCCGCGTGGACGCACTAACTTCATCAATGCCACAGTCACCGCGCCACAATGAACAGGACAATTTCGCTTCATCTCGTCCTCCCACCCTCCGAGGATGACGACTCGACGTATGTGCAAGCGAAATGACAACAAACACGCGGGTTTGTGCATCAACGCTCTCCAAAAAGGGGCACAAAAATCCAAGTGGTTTATCTGAAAATCTTGCGAACTAAAATATATCCTATGGTGGATATGACGTTCGTTCACCCTCAACTCCATGCACTATCACATAAAAGTCTACTGCCGATGACAAAGATAAAAAACCAATTGATCGGCTGTTAACAGGGCACCGTAACGGCACTTGGATTTAGTTAGTTGGAACGATAAAAAAGATAGGTTAAGAGATATGGAGAATTCAATTTAGTGAGATTTATCCCTTACGGCCAGGAAAGCTAGTGACTCCACAACTCAGAACATTGATGTGCCAAAAAATGCACAATTTAAACAACTTTCGAAAGGAGTAGTCAGAAAAGAGGTTTGAGGGAGGAGCAATAGGCAGTAGCGCTAGACGTTTACTGAGCATCAGATGTTGAGAAAATAAACACAAATTGAAGAGATAATAGTCGGAATAAAATAAACTGAATGAAATAATTGCCAAATTTAGGAGCCGCTAAATCCCGCAATCTCGACCCCATTGACTTGCAAATAAGCTATTAATTTAAATTTATGGAAACTCCGATGGGCAGTACTTTGTTCGAAAGTTTTAGTCACTCAGCATAATTTCTCGCACTCGGACCGAATTCTGTGAGTCATCGAGGCGTTCCGTTTAACTAACTGGTGTTCAATAAAATTGCAAAAGGGAGCGCGATCGGCCACATTTAAAAGTCAAGTCAATCACACCCTAGATACACAAGCGATGAAAAAGGCGTTTATGCCTCTCTCTGTGAATGTTGGACAAAAAAACGAGCGTCTTGAGGAGCCCACCTCCGATGCCGGTAGATTTACATTACGAGGCGAACAGTGCTTCTCACGATAACATGCTAAAATCACGCGAATCTGTTTCTGTAGGTTAGAATCATGGCTAGCAACTGTTGCTAGACCGCTTGCGACCGCTGAGGTGATGAATTGAAAGAGCAGACTTTGATACAGACAGTAATTGTTAAGCCTTGGTGCATACTTTATCCATGAAACATTTGCGAGTCCCATTGCCATCCGAATTGTGCAAACTGATCAAGATTGGTTTGAGGCATTATTTGTGATCAAATTCCGTTTATTTCACGAAGGTAATAAAGTGTCTGCACAACGGATAAGAAAACATTGTCATATAACCAGGTCTGCGCGGAATAACGTGTGCGCGCAAATGTTATAGTAAGAACTGCACTAATCCAGGGAAAAAAAAGTAACATTCATGAATGTTCACGCATTGACTCGAAAATGAGAAAGAAATCCCTAGTTTTTAAAGTAACTGATAAGCAGGCAGTAACATCGTGGAAAGATCATCCTGGGAAGCTCATAATTTCACCCAAGTGAGAAGCAAAACGCTTGTTCAAAGCTGGGAACACTCGGCACGAGCTACCGCACTGAAAGCAGTCTTCAGAAAGCAAAGAATTAAATGAAAGCAGAGCATGTATAATGCCGGAACAAAAAGTGGCTGTGTGAAAAGAATTTTTCGCACCACTGAGGGGGCAGGCGTTGGCATAAAGACCGCGGGTTTGATTGTCTCAGCGGTTATAACGACGGCTAAGTAATTCACACTGCTTTCTGGACACAAGAGTGAGGAAAACACTACGCATGGTAATTTGCGAGACAATGAGCATGGCAAGGAAAGGAATGGCATTTCGTGTACACGGGACACCATCGAAAAAACATCAATAGCCTATTCGATACCGAGGCAGCTAAGCTGCATCACTATTGACATTAACCAGAAACATTTAGTTAATAACCATTACCAAGTTGCTCTGTTGTGATCTCGTCGACACTAGTACAGTAAAGATGAAGAATTGGTGGTGCACATAGCTAAACTACACCGACCACACAGGTCTCCGTGAAACAATCGCATTTTTCGATCCACTCGCGTAAAGCTTGGGCGACTTATTCGACTTTAAAGTGGCAAATTCTTTTGAATCGTGCAAACAACTATTCGACCGAGAGAATACTGGTTTTAGAGCAGAATAAAAAAGTGCAAAAGAATACCCTTTCGTAAATAATAAGCGCAAGTCAATTTTACCAACCAAGTGAAAACATCCACAAAAGACCATTAACGGAAAGTGTTATTTTTTGCTTAAGGGAAAAATACCAATTTAGCAATAATTTACGATAGGAACATTATTTTATTCACCAAACTCATGAGAAAGTATGACATAAATAAACATTTCACCCGGAATTTGGCTGGGAGACAGCTCAGAGAAATGGCGAGGCAGGTACTACGAGAGCATGGTAAATATTTTTGCTATCCGAGGACAGGAAACCTACATTCTAGGGATGCCGGAAAAAAGTTCTCCAATGAATTACATTGGAATTGGAAATAACTCACAACTCCAGCAATTGTAAATGGGAAGTCCATGGCAAGTCAAAGTAAACACAACAGTTTACTACGCAAATTTATAGCTAAAGTAGGATAGTTGTGTAGTGCGAAAGAGCACCAACAACCGAAGGGGGGCCATTTCAACACCTGGAGATCTGCCTATAAGAAAAGAGCAACGACGAAAAGCTGGCCGAAATCACAAGCCCAAAGTCAAACCAAAAACCAATGTTGAAAACTAGACAGGTTATTAAAAATACTTGTTAAATAATTTAGTTGCGGTCAAAAAAAGTCGTATTAGTGAAAAGTAGTTAATTTGAGGAAGCGACTTTGCTGAAGTCCTCTTGTCTGAAAACATGATGCTGAAATAACAAGAGTGAATGACAATTTTGTTACATAGATCAGTTTCATTTTATTTTTGGTCTAGATGTGCAAAATGTGTGTACCCGGAGAACAGTTTAAGAGAAGAAGAATGAAAGCTATGGTACCTTGGATGTAAAGCTGCCGCATCTCAGCAACGGGGATTACATCAGTAACCGAAGCTTCCTTATTCCTTAGGTTGTTTCTTTGGAAGGCCGGACCTATATTGCCCCCCGCGAGATGGAGGTAAGTCGGCTCAACTACCTGGCCTACGCCAGAGACAGCATCGACCAAATTTCGGCTGGAGGCCCGCCAGCGCTCGCGGACACTCAGGTCGTCCATCGCCAGGACCATGTTCTTCGCATCTGCTACCATCGTTGTGATTGCTAAGAGGAAAAGGAAGTGTTTACGCAGGGAAATGTGGTAGCTGGCCGTGGTTGTTCGCGTAAGGAAACACAAAAATCCTTTCCATTCGGCTACCTTCTGGACGAAAACACCAATTATGAAGAGAATCTAAGCAACTCACTAGCCCGTAGTTTGTGGACAGCCTCATTAACACGATCAACATAAACGCCATCCTCGCTGTTCTCGGTCTCTCGCATAGCTACTTGCAACACGCGATTCGCCCTCAGAGCAATGCTCGTGGTTCCATTCACAACGGAGGTGGGGCAGTGCTGATCAGCGCTGTCCTCGATTTGATCAATGTCCCTCAATATTCCGGTTTCTAAAAGAATTTAACAGTGAAGAAGATGAGGCTCCCTTGCTCACAGCCGTTACATAGTCATGGCGATTAATTTACAAGGCCAACAGCTTCAGTCCAAAATATTGGTGCCAAAGATTTTATAAGCTGCAAACTATGTCACGCAAAGTCTCTAAATGCGTCAAACGTTTTAAAAAATGGCGAAGGTTAATTTGAAGACCAAGAGCTAATGATAGAATATTGCAAAAGGGGGGAAGGCCTAAAAGTAACTCAAAAATACAAATGAATAGACTAAGTCATAGGCAATTGATAATTCAACTAGAAGTCAATAAAAATAATCAATACTATGGGCAAGAGAATATGAAATGTAATGTAATACAATTGTAATTATCTCCATAAGATTACTTTTTACTCTCTGAGGGTCACTTGATCGCTCTTAGTCCTTTAGGCTAAGCGAGGTGTAACGAATTTCGTGCCAATGGAAGCGGTGAAGGGCACAGGAGATGTTAAAAGTACCTTGGGCCTTAATGAAGGCTTTGGCGTCAATGGCCTCGTCGACCAGATTTCTGGTGCGCTCGGCACACTCGGTCCAGTGCCTCTTGATGAGGTTAAAGTGGTCCGAGGCGGCGTTTTGAAGTTGGGCGCTGGCCCCGTTCTGGCGCGCCGACATTACTGCCCAGCCGGCCATGCTGACCTGGCTGCCGACACTCTCGAGGTTGGAGGCAAGGGCCTGAAGCGCGCTGCCCCGCCAAGGATCCACCAGATTGCTCGCCGCCAGGCTGGCTGTCCGCTTCACCCTTCGCGAGTGCTCCTGTGCGCATACATACCAAACAAAATTAGCGTCAAAATCAACAAAAACTCTGATGGGAATCACCAACAGCATCAAGTCTCGTCATATCATGTTAATGGGCCCATTCCTTTCGGCAGTACTGAAATACCAGATTTAAGATAATGTTAGACACACACCATTACCAGGAAATTTATGCACCCATAGCTCTTGGTGCACTAAGTGATTGCATGAGATGGCCAGTGGAGGCTTCGAATTTGTAATTGAACACGCAGATTTCGTGGGAAAATTCTCCAAACTCCAGTCCTGGTCAAAATATTACCACGTAACAGGGTCAAAGACTGGCTTTCGTCTGCATAGAATTTCTAATAATGCGGAAACAATTCTAAGTGGGTTCTAGACAACATTTGGAGTGTGTGAAAGTGGATTCGAATCCATACGGAAAAATAGGCGCAGTTGACCAACTTGTCTATTTGCCTTGCTTTAAGAGAGGTTCAACCAAAAGATTATATTCCACAGTTTTGCAAGATCTTAAAATTTCCGCATTGAATTACTGGAAACCACTCGCCTTCTTTGGGTTTAAACGAAACAAAAAAGCTCACAAGGAAGTTATCGGCTGCCTGCTGGTAAGCGGTTGCATTGGCAGGGACGGCAGAAGTTGCCTCCTGCAGATTCCTGATAGGACCAATAAGATCTGTGAAGAAGTTGGCGACTTGTCGAACCAACCCGTGCTGCATATTGTGCCACACAAAGTCCAAAGTTTGAACGGCTTCCGTTGCCAACTTTTGCTCCCGCACCCTCTGGACTTCAGAAACTGATTAAAGAACAAGGTCTATATTATGAAAATTTACGGATTGATTTTGTGAAGCCAGGTCTGGAACCGGCAAGACGCCAATTTACCAATTTATTGTTATCAACAAAAACCAATTTCAATTATTCCTGATCAAACGACCGCAGAAAAGATTGGCATTAGGTAGTTGATAAAATATCAGATAGCAGAAATTATAGGATCTTGATTTGCATAAGACGAAATATTTTTATGTTTTCACTGGTGGTGATAAATTCTACGCGTTGACATCAAGTTCATTTACTTCACAATCAACACTTCAAATGCCCATCAACTGTAAAAGCTCAAAAGAGGACTTTAAATAAATTAATACTAAGGCCATAGTCATGAAGGATCCCTGAAGTTCAAGAAGAAAGGCCAATTTATCGTTACTTGTCACCCGGTTTTGTTTACTGATGACAGCATCCTATTCGAGCAATGTTCTCAGTTGGCCATTTTTAGTCTTAACCGAATGGTGCTGGGAAGTTGCACAAAGTTTAAGATAGCATTTGACCAGTGTACAATCCAATAAATTGTATAAAAGCGAAACTAAAGGGCTCACTACTTTTCCAATAAGTTGTGTGCCACGCGATCTCAATAAATCAGACCAAATTTTTTTAAAACAAACATGCGCTTTGCATTCCCGTACACAACTTTAATAGAAGCAGCTAGGAAGGAGATGTAGCTAAATGAAAATATGGTAGTTTCGAATATCATAAAAAGCTAAACTCACATTATAGTTATCTATACCAACTACTTGGCAACAGCAAGATGCAAATTGCGGCATCTTATGGAAAGGTCAGTAATCGACAGTCAAGCCTTAAATGATAATGCTCAAACTGCAAAAATGTTCATTTGGTAGCAGGGCACGAACCAAGTGGCTTCTCGAGCAGAGCATAGAGCTCGTCAGTTTTGGAGCGAAGACGGTTGCAGGACTCCTGAAAGTCGGGATCCTGGAAGCCTTCCTCTTCGGCCTCTGTTTGGATGATTTGGAGGGCCTGAGCGAGGAGAGCCCTGGTGGCCTCATAGCCGACTTGTCGCTGGGGCCCGCGGGGCTCGAGAAGCCAGCGCCTCGCTTGCGTCGCCTTGCCCTCCAATGTGCGTGCCAGTCGGTAGATGGCGTTCTGGTGTTCCATTCGCTCACACAGCGCCCGGCACAGTTCTAACAGACGTGCCAGGTCTCCACGGCACGCCGCCGCGCTCTGTGTTGTCGCTGCATCGCCCTGTTACAAAAACCCACATGTACATACATGCATGTCCATCGCACACCCTAACCACACCCTAACATTGCATAAACCCTTAAGGGGACAAAAGAAATCAAATGAGACAACCGGATTTTTGCATTTATTTACTCTTGGCTTAATGTGGGTACTGAGACGATCTAACATTGAATTGTATTTCTATCAGTAGTCCAAAGAAGAGCGACTTCCAGTATTTTAGGCTAGTAAACTCAGCGACAAGGCATGTTCATGAGCATAAGCGTACATAGTTTTGTATTAACTTGGCTTCCAACATTAGCAAACAGTTTGCATGACAAAAGAACGGTAAATCGCAGAATATTTCGAGCGTCGCTGCGGTATAGGGCTAAATGACACTAGACCTACCCCAAAACTATTTCACCCATAAAGTTACACTCTATTTAAGTTACGAATTCACTGAGGTATTCCATATTATCTCAGAGGTTTCATACGAGCTTGCCTTAAAACGTTTCGGGTGCCTTTCGTCGACTGGACAAAGCGAAGAAACAAATGACTTCAGAATGCGAGAACTACAGACCCTGAATGGGTATCCAAATGGAACTAATTGAGCGCGTTAATGGTGGCAATCCAGGCAATGATCAAGGTGCAAGATCTTGTTAGTAAAGGGCATGCAATGCGTAACCCCGTTCAGGTCATGGCACAAAGTACTGAAATGATACCATTTGTAGGTCATTAAGATGGGCCCATGGAATCTACCAAGTAGTGTTCTAAACTTATGAAAAATGTTTAAAGCTATTAATTAGAAGAAAAATCGGGAGTGTAGTAATTCAAAGACACACGAAAGCCATTTTTTATAAAGCAAAATACCACACATGACGAAAGTAGAATCACTTTAACAATATCAAATCACATTTTAAAAACCAATTGTTGAGAAGAAAAGGGTTTGCAGAAGCAGAGCCCTATTTTGATGCTTCACTCTTGCCACTATGCAATCACAGGCATACGGAAACCAATCAATTATATTGAGGTCACGCCTCTGTGTACGAAATAAAAGATTCGAGGTCACGTACTGGGGAAGTTACTTTTCTGCGGGCTTGACTTCGTGGTGGAACAATATCAGCTGAGGTATTTGCCATCACGAATGTGAAAAGCCTACAGAAGCAAGCAGAGCTGGAAGAAAACCAGGGCTGTGTTAAGACGCACGCGGAATCAGAATGACGACTATGAGTTATGGCGATCTTAGACACTACCGGACCTTTTACTATACGTAATTTGATTAACAAAACTGAGGAATTGCATAGAAGAAGACCGGTCACACCTTAATAGGATCTGATTGCCGTTTACAAAAAAAGACTTCCCAACGAGGTATGAAATTCTAACACCTAAAAAGAACACGGAAATGGAGGCGTAAGATCAGGTGATATTTTTTTGCTACGCACAACACTACGTCTTCCACTATACCGGGATGCAGACTTCAACTTAAACTGTAACTTGCTGCTACGTAAAATACTTGGGTGATATTTCCCCCATGAAAATAGAATGGATTCCTAGTAGAAAGTTCATTGTCAAGTGTGCACCTCCTGTTGGCAATGATGCGATAAAAGAGAAAAGTGAGGTTTAAAAGTGTGTTGCCCTGAGGAGATTTACGTCTACGATATGAAGGCCATGTCAACGGCGCCACAATCAAGGGAAAGAAAACTAGTAAGCTCATAAAAGAGCATGAACTTATGCTGGAGGTACTTATTAAACAAAACACCGAACTTAGTAAAATCATAGCTTTTTCGTTGCTAGCTCTGTGGAGGCATAGTGTCCTTCCATGAGCTGTCAAAACCTATTTCTTTTAGTGATCAATTGATGTCACATTAAAGAAAACGTGTAAATAGTTTATTCCTAAGACAACTTAAAAATCACTGCTGTCCGAAAAATGCAAAGAACCCCAGCAAATAAACAATAGGTGATTTGAAAGCTGTTTATACTAATATCGACGAATCACGGGAGAACAGTTTTTCCCTTAACTTCAGTTTTGCAAACAAAAAGCAATAATGGAAATTCCGAGAAACTAGTGGCTGAAACACGATAGCCTCAACTAATCAGGACGCCAGATAGAGCTCCAAAGGTATCTACTGAAAGAGTACAACAGACTGAATTTCAAGAAAAGGCACATGAGGCGTTGATGCAATCCACCAACGCAAAGTTCAGTCTGAGGAGACGCATCTTACGCACACTTCGCGGCCATTCCTGAGCTCGAGTAAACGTCTTCATAATACAGAATCAACACAAAAGGAGGGACTACATACTGCACTCAGGGAAAAGATTTATGAGATGTTTGGTGTAGTGAGTTGACAAACTCCTCGTCAGGCCCACCCGATGCAAATAATCTAGCATAAGTGAAGGACCGCCATCATAAAATTGCATAGTTTTGAATGCAGTATGATCCAACTGAAGTCCTTAAATGTCTAACTTAATAGCACTTAAAAAACGCAGTCTTCTAGCGGTGATTTGGTTTTGTAAATGTGTAAATCCTTAACATTAGTTCTTGTCCACTTTTGTGCTGTTTCGCATCCCTTTACCATTTTAGCCCTCACTACTGTTGTTTAAATCAATGTTTTTGTTATTATGCGCGACTCATAGAGTCACCAAAGCCTGTCTTTGGGTAACTGAACGGCTGCTGCTATTGTCTCCCTGCCAGATTGCTGTTCACTTGCATAACCGCGATAAGTCGGATAAACGCGGTTCCCTACTGGAATGGCTTGCCACCCAGTTCCGCGTTCTGCCCTCGTCGTGCGCCCAGCCTAGTGAGACTGAGCTGCTGCCGCTGTACCACGTTCCTTTACAAGTAACAGCATGAAGAATAAAAAATTAATTTTATGATGATTTATGGAGACTGCAAATTCTAGGACGTTCGCACTGCATGAGTCAGTACTGACCGGAGCTCAAACCAATTGGGTAAAGAATCAAAGAGAACCGAAGGCTCATACACAAACGAAAGTAACTTGCAGTAATCTGGGCGCTCACACTAAACACCTGCCTGGGCTAAATGACTTAAGTGTAGGACTTTTCGCACCTGTGACGAGCTTGCCAAATAGCTGTGCGATAGAAGGCAAGTAAACATCTGTAGTAATCAGCATTGGATGACATGTACCACAAAGACAAGCATATGCTTAAACGTCTGACATATCAAAGTTGCGAAATTGTAGTATCAAATCTTGAACAGTGTAACCGAAATTTTTTTGGAACATGCGCTCAGTACACCCGTATGGTCCAAGTTCAAAGATTAGAATAGAAGCTTTTATTTTTTTTCTAAAAATGATTGGCGTAAATGAGATCCTCCAGTAAATGAATTGGATTCACTTTATTCAACACTACGTAATCAAGTAGGAAACCTAGAAACCTCAGAAAAGAGAACAAGATATACGGACAAACTATATGTAGGTTAACCCAGAAAACCGCTGTTATTTTGTTATGAAAATCACATCTAAGTGGATTTAGTAAGAACTACAGATAACTGACAAGCAACCTTTCTGATGAAAAAGATGGGTCTGAAGAGTGCTTTCAGATTATAGTAAGTCTCTCCAACAGATGGTAAGTTCGGAACAAATTCTTACTTAAGCAGCATACAGATGTGATTCCGCATTGAAACCTGGAAAGGACTTCAAGGCAACTTATTTTGTGCACCAACAAGAAGACGATAATTTCATCACTCACCTTATGATAACAAAGTACATATTTTGGATGTAAGCGTTTCACTTTTATAATAACTGAAGATTCGCTAATGTTATCCGCTAGGAATGCATAAAAAAAGTCCTGAGTTCACTCCAGAGGTACCGCTCGAAGTGTTTTTTTTGTGGGGTTTTGTGGGGGAGGGGGAAGTGAAACTCAAATGCGCACAAAACGATTCCACGGTCGGAGGAGGTGACAACGCGGACAATAAATAGCGGGTGGACACGGGGAGATCATTGATCAAAAGCCAAAGTCTAGTACGCACATAAAAAAGAGCAGCACACACTGGAAAAGAGTTCGAAGACTGTTTGTGGAATAAAATGATTTACAGTAGGGTTTTGAAGTTGCAAGTGCACAAAATCATCAAATTAATAGGGACGAGTACAGAGATCACCCTGCCAACAAACCTACGTAAGCGATTTCACAAATGTGGATTTTCCGCATAACGATCAACTAAAACTGGGGATTTCAAATACACTCATCCATCTATAATATCTTGAATAGAACTTGTTTACCAATTCCAAATTTTGTTTCACTAAATATATGGGTTAATTTTTAAATACGTAATTTTTCCAAGAATTTGAGTAATGTAGTTCTTATTCGTCAAGATTACTAGACTCCTTGCCTTTGCCGAAATTTTAGGTTACACTCCAATCCATTTTTGAGAAACAATTTGGCAGAGCCGACCAAACTCATACTCTCCGGAATTCTCAGAAGTCAAGTCGTTTAAGCGGTTTGTTGAAGTTAAGCTGAGGCCAGAATCCGATAGAACATGACCCAGACATGACCGCACGTACTTTAGCAAACCTATTCTGCTTTATAGCCGCTACTAAACGTTCATTTCCTCTCAAGCACACAACGTAAGCCAATTCGTATGCATTAATATCATCTGATAGTGAGATTTTGGCCTGGTCAGATTTGAATAGTTAGCATTAAACAATCTCTCCATTTGGTTTCGTAAATTAAACTTCAGCAATATTCTCCTTTCTTTGCCTACTGAGCAGATTTTTCCCATCTTGAGTAAAGTGTAACTCCCATTTATTAGGTGTTATAAGGAGGCACTGTACACCAATGTAACTTTCGACGATGAGTACTTTAACTTACTCATGTCCCCTCACGACTCATCTAGAAGAAACTAAGCTAAAAATTTGCTTATTGATAAAAAAATTACGTTCTCAAATTGTATTGGCCGGAATATTCTTTTAAAGTTAACCCACAAGTTGCAGTATCATGCAGCGTTTCCGGAATTCGGTATGAAAGGGCACAAGTAAATACAGTGAATACTTTGAAATTTTTACCATCTAGAACAGCAATTTAGACCAAATTACACAATTTCAAGAACCACAAGCCAAGCTTCAGTACGAAGTATGAGATTGACTTATCTACGCGGCCAACTTGTAAAATATGAATTCTTATAATAGCAAACTGCCACATATTAAACGTTGAGAGTAGAAATGGATTAATAGGCAGAGAAATACATTAGATGACCAAATATACTACACTAATTGTTTAAAATGTCATTGACGTTGCATATACAACCAAATCACTAATATAACAGAAATTATAGGACTATAAGGTGACAGAGGTAGAGTGATACTTCCGTGCCAATTGTGAAAGTGTCAGTTGAGAAACCGGGTTCATCACTACATCGAACTTGATTTGCTATACGGTTAAAATGAGTCATCATGGACAGAACATCCATCTAGACAAAACTTTATCGCTATTAAGATAAAGTATCAAACAACATGTTAATTGTCCATAGATTGTACTATTGAAATCAAAACAACTACAATACAAAACATCAACAATGGTTGCTAATGCCAAAATTTTGAGTTGATACGGCCCATTGGATCAGAAACGCCATTAAAATTAAGTTGATTTGATACGGAAATGGGCAATGCAAATAAAACGACATAAAGCAGAGGTGAGCGAGGAATAACTTTAACATACCCTCTGCTGCGCATCGAGAAGCTGATGCAAACAAGAATCAATACCACTGATAAGGCCATGGAGACCCATTCTCTCGGAGTCTGACATACAGAATGCTTCAAAATGCCGTGCTGTATCAAGAATACCCTGAATAAATTCTGCACCATTTACGTTGACCTACGGGGAAAAGTAAGGGGGAGATTTCGGTTCATACAAAAAAGTATCAAAAAGGTAAGTTATATTGATTGAGCCAAAGTTGCTTCAAAACTAAGTAATAAACAGATTAAAAATGGAAACATGTGTATTAAAAGTCACAGTAAATTTTGGAGGTGGAATTTTAAGCTCTCATTACAACCATCCGAAACAAGCCAATGACCAAAACTTTTCAGTAGTGATGTTTTTTAAAAAATTACATCTAGGAAACAGTTAAAACGAATGATGGACATATCTAAATAGAGCATATTTTATTTAATGAAAAAACAGCTAACTGTGAATGGTCTAAACACGTGCTAAATTTCGTATTCTTACAGCGGGATTCAACAACCACTCATCTGCAAATTTGCTATTTCGAACTAGTAGCCGAAGGCCATTGTAGTCACCCAAATAATCAGTGTCATCGGAACTTGTAAGCTGAAGACCACGTATGATTTCGCATATTTCGTCGGACATTTGACGTAAAAAGTAATCTCTGTTCGACTGTGCTTCACAAGCTGCAGGCAGACCTAAAAAAATACCGGTTAAAAATTTTGACTAGGGCAAATACAAGAACAAAATGTAATAACACACGTTGCTGGGTTGTGTTGAGGTAAAGTTTGATTGAGGATATGAGAATAGGCGTTATACGTTTTACTTGAGCAATTCCTCGTTGGAGGATTTCCGCGTGCGACCTAATAACAAGTTCGTCCTGCCTTTCATCGACTTCCCTAATCATCTGAGACATTCCAGGAGTAAGATTCTGCAAAACACTGCAAAAAACACGTTTTTACCTTTACAAAATCAGCAAGCTCTGGAAAGCTCTTGATATTCGGAACGGTATTGAGCATGGTGAGTACAGAATTACAACAATCGACGATTTTCCTGACTTCCGACATATCAAACGCAACTAATACGGACCACGTCCCCTGGAGGATCCCCCTAGAACCATCGATAAGTTTCTTTCGGCCAATTGTAGAAGATGGATCGCGCGAAAGCAGTTTGACAGCATCCTGTAGAAAAACGGACGCCTCCTCCACACGAACAAGTGCAGGTGGCATATCGTGTTTAAAAAGTTGATCCAAACTCTGACAAATTGTTTCGTAACCCACCTAAGCGTGTCATTCGAATATGTTAAATTACTTTAACGAGATTGTCGACAGCCATTTTTACGACAGAAACACGATTGGCAAGATCAGGTGTATCACCTGCCGTACCTCCATCTTCAAACAACAAAATTAGTTTCAAAACCTTTGTATGTAATATTTTTGCTTAAAAAACGCACTTGTTGAGCTACAGGGTCCAAGATCCGACTGATCGTTTTGGTATGAGATGAAGACATCTCAGTCGCCGAAGGGCGTTATAATTAGCGGTGTTATTATACCCATTTAAACATACAATTAGTTGACCTTTGACATCCCTTTAAGTTTAATAAATATTACCTGCATCAGCAACAAGCAAATTCTTTCAAAAATGCATTAAGCCCCTAAAACTTTGTTGATAAACCACGATTCTAAGTGTGGCTGATTTCACAGAAATCAATCTAATCCAATCCTTTTTATGTACACACATCCAGCTTTTTTATTAGCTTTAAGTTGTTCTGTATTGTGAAAGTACAGGTGTACTTCTATAAGGTGCTGATTGTCAATCTACCTTAAGTCTCATGGAACAATTCCTCTACACCTATGTCTCTGCTGCAGAAACTATGCTCTTTCTTTCCTTTATCTCCGGTTTCACATCCTTTGACAGGGAAAATTAACTCAAGGGAAGCGTAATATATTGATCCAGTAAGTACTGTACATGTGCTAAAAATATTATAAATACATTTTATCCGCGTTCTCTCGGAGTTTTGACGTTAATGCCTGCATCACCAAGGGTCTTAGAAATCGGAGGCTCGCTACCTATTAGGTGTGGTCAAACAAACATAGTGCTAGCAGGTATGGTAAATTACGCCGAAACATACTGCTTTCATAGAAATAACAAACGTGCATTATTGCAAGTTTTGGGAGCATGTTTACTAATCTCGACAAGCCGTACTGTGGCATCCCGGGACTCCCTGAAGACGAAAGAAGACAAAATACTCGGGCAGAATATATATATTTAGCTCAGAGAAGGTATCTGGGCTATTGGCATGGACCATAAGGCCAGCCCACCCAGCGAGGTACAAGGGGACTAATTCCAAGTACAAAATTGGCGCCTCAACAATGGCGGGGGCTAAACCACTATCTTATTACAGTACCTCAACATAATTGTCACCAAACCTCATTTAAATTCAAAACAATCTTGCCAAATAACTACGTTGGTTACGTATCGGATAGCGTAAGAAATTCATGTCACGGCCTTAATTTGAGTGCCTTTATGCGAATATCTTTTGCACCCTTCTGCTTGGCTTATAATGTGGGTTAGCATGGTCGGCGCGCGACAATTCCACTTTACACTTCCATTACTGACCAGAACTGGTATTGCTCGAGTCTCCCTTGAGGTCGCAAGAAGTTATAGTAAAGTGGCAAAAAATTTTTTGTTGACGAACAGAGGGGTTGAGGCTACTAACATGGATCAGAAGCCATAGCGCCGAGTGGAAGTACAATCTGCGGATAATTAAGCTTTCTCGTAATCAGTCGCAAAGCTAAACAACCCGTCAAAACATCACAACATGAAAATAATTTTTATACCTAGTAGCGCTTGTGGTTGCAAATGAATATTGCAGTAGCAATCTAGGAATTCCTCT